TTTAAATGCCTTACTTTGCTTATATATGGATACATATCTAAATACATAATAAAAAATAGTTGGCCCTTTGAAATTGAAAATGCAACTAAAATCTATAAACTTCAAGGTAAAATGTATTTCCCCAAAGTCAAAGGTGGCAGAAGTATATCACAGATGTGTTAAAAGGAACTGAATTAAAAGTTGATGAAACAAAAATGTTTGCTTAAACCCCAACATCAACATTTTGATTAAATCTTATTTTCCTGGACTAGTGAACAGACGATTGATGTCTGATTACAACCGGATTGAGTTATAGATGTATGCTTTTGACGAAGGGGGTTGTAATGGACCAATAAGGATCATCGCGATAAACGTGACATGTGTGACCTTTGTAATAAAGTCTCCGCAAGAACAATACTTTATTTAAAGCGCAACAATGGGGTATTTGGCAGCGGGTAATTGCCCAGGTACCTTTCAAGAGCTTGCATAAAAGTAATGTGGAACCTAACCATTATTGCCTTTAATATTGTCAATGGCGGTCAATTGAAAACACACCGTGGTTAAATATCCACTGGGGCTTGATCTATTGATGACCAAGAATCGGCCACGATTGAGATTTAATAGGCTTAATAAGGTAATCAGTTGACAATAGGTCGGAGGTCAGTATTGTTACGTGGGCAGGTCCACTATTATTCCCCAGACACGCCTTACCCAATAATTTATGACACCTCTTGTATCAAAGGTACAATACGCCTAATGTCCCAGTGTGGAATCCATTTAATATTTCACTTGAAAATTCAATCTAAGTATAATTTGTTAGAAAATGAAATTAACTTGAATAACTTTCATAAAAATCAACCAAATGCCAACAGATGTTGGAACATTCCTTGCAATTCCTTGTCCAGTTTGTTAATTTGCTTTGGTTTGAAAGTCCAAAGGTGAATATAATTATGATGCAACTACGGAAGAGGCAATCAAGTTTAATTTTAAGAACCTGAGTAGATTAAGTGGGGAGGGAGTGTCTATTAATTTGAACAGCCACAGAGAGCTTGCTGGGATACGATCACTCACCCATTTCCTATGGACCAACCTTTGATAATAAGCACTATATCTTTAACCATTCTTTCTCTTGGCAATTGGTAATGAAACAAACTTCAAAATATAGCTTAGTTAATTCTGAAACCTACATATATATGCATAGAACCTCTGTTTTTAAGAATTATCCGATCCAATAGGTTGCTCCCGGTTTCATCAATGACAGAATCGTTATACAATGTTACAACAGATCTCAAACAGTGCCCTGCATGTTAGGCTAAACTGTTTTCTCAAGTGGTGTTCACTGTCGTGTGGATGTTATTTTAAAGGAAAAACACAATTGTGTTTTTCACAATCAACACAAGGACTAATTGGATTATTTGGTGGTGGGGTGCCTAGGGTTTTGTCCAGCTCAATTGGGCATAAGTCCATTGGTTTCATTTTCAAGAGCTATTTAGTTTCATATCTTGTTACCTTAATAACAGCTATGACCATTGTCAGCTTAATATTCTTCATAATGGACGATTGAAAGAAACACTTATTTGGCAGATCTTGAGAATTATTTTAAGTAAATATTTTGCACCAAAAGTTGGAGTATGTTACTCTCAAATGGGTCCCTTTGTTAAATAGTGAATCTCCTGTATGGAGTTTATTTGATTCTTTCTCAATGAACATGCTTTATATATTCATTCCCTTTCTCATATTTCAACTTAGTCAGTCTGCTACATTTAGAACGTAACATGTAAGAGGTTCAATGGCAAATCAGTGTTGACTTAGTTTTGAGAATATTTGAAGTTATGGGTCTTAAGAGGATTACACAACATAAATAAGACCCAATGCAAATATGGGCATTCTATAATGTCCTCTCATCATATAAAATCCCCTTCATATTGAAATACGAAATGTACAAAAAGGGATGAAAAGTGAAATTTCGGTATTTAAAAAATGCAGTTTAGTAAAGTTTTTATTTAAATTGTACAGTGGAGTTATATAAAACAATAAGATCAAATTTCAAGAAATGGTCTTGTCATAAAAATATCGTAGTTGAAGTTGAAAAGGTCAATAGGTAAATATAAAGGTGCTTTCGTCCTCTGGCCAATATTTTGTGATACCTGAGATTTTTATAATGGATTTACCTTAAAAATACATTACATATAATTAAATTATTACATAAACGTTTACCTCTGACATTTTTAACTATAGCCTTACCTACTCTAATTCTGTTTTTGGAACATCTTTCATTTTTAATATACAATGAATGGGATCTGAATCTTTAAAGCATTAAGCGAGCTCAATATAGGCACTGAACCAAAATCTTAAACATTTTGGAGTTCTTTTTCATTCAAACAACATAAACACAAAAATAAAGTTTCAAATTTCACCGCAGATGTGTTGTAATAATAAATGCGACCTTTCCCTTTCCCAATTCATCGTAAATCTTCGCTACAGGCAATGACGGCTAATCCTAAAAGCCACCTTACAGTTTTAATGGAAGCCTACATAATGGTACAGTTGCCTGTTTTTCCAAGCCTTCTGTCAAATTTTGATCACTTACTCATTGATGAATGAAGTAAGTCGCTTATTTATAACCAACAGAAACAGCTATTGAAGTTCTGTTTTTTATATATTGTCAATTGCGAGAATGAATGACACTTCAGTGGTCCTTTAATAGAAACAACAAATTACAGTTATGGAAATTCATGTTTACATATATTCTTTTGTCCGATTAACATAAAAAGTCCTTCAATGAATAAAACATGGCACGGAATCAACTCATATAATACACAAATCTATTCAGATTTAAAATTGAGGACATACTCGTACTCTAAAAATATATATTGAACTTTAGTTGAGCATTAATACGCTAGCACTCCTGAATAATGTGTACCGTTGTACTTTGCACACTATAAAATTAATCAAAAAACTGTCAAAAAGTGAAACGAAATCCAATTTTCAAGTGCCAAATACATTATAGTCAAACATTATTAATAATTAATAAATATTTAACAGTAAACAAACACCACATTTTATATTGTTTTCCATTCAAATGTTTTACAAACTATGGATATTAAGTTGTAAACATCATTTGTGCGTTTTTCATATAAAAAAGACCAGTGGTTGTTGGCTACTTTTAATTCAACAGTTCCAATCAGGAAGGTTTGAAAGATACCAAAGCAAAGGTTGATTTTATTGCTCATAATGTAGTCAATAAAATTTGTGATTCACTATCTCAGATTTCATTTCAATATGCCAAAGTTCAAGTTCAGAAATGAGATGAATTGTTTTGAATTCAGATATATTCCATAAATTGAGGATAAAGTGTGACGGCAATCCTGTCATGTGTCAAAGCATCCAGTAGGGGGTATGTGGGGGTCTATACAGTGCTCCCCTAGGGGAGGCAATAATAGTTACCCCCTAGCAAGCACCCACACATTCACTTATTGTAACGTCATACATCCAGTCAAAAGTTGCCTATAAATGACTATATTAGACTGTTAGACCTGGGTCAGTTGATATATCATTGAGTATTTAACCAGGCGTAAAGACTGCATCAAGATACAAAAGATACCAAGATATCAAGATACCCAATACTCCTTGTTCAACTTCCATAGTGAAAATTAAATTTGTACAAAAATTAGAGAATTAACAAGGAATAAAATGAATAGGCATGAAATAATTACTTGCAAGGGCTCAGATTGTTCAAATGTAAAGAAAGAGTAAAGATAAAGCATGCTCAGAATGGACATTTTCTAGAAGGGATATCTCAAAAGAGCCCCAAAAGAAAGAAGCCCATTATTGAACTAAGCATGGAGCGAAATCTAATGAAAAATGCAAATGAGCCGGGGTCTAATTCTGATTAAGGAAATGTGAGACGGTAATGACCAGTTCATTAATAGCCGGGATTAAAATACTTAATAGAGCTGTCTTAATTAAATTAATCAATAGTTCCAATCAATATAGAAGCTGGTCAAGTATAAGGGGCAATCAATCAGATGTCAGCTATCTTTAATCAAAAGGGATCTGATGTGCAACTGCAACAATAATTCAATAAATAAATAATTAGATTATTCCATTCCTCAAATCCAAAGTCAAATGGACACTTATTATAATAATGGGGAACTATGGCAAGAAATTGTAGAGTTTCAACTTGATAGAATTTCACTAATTTTCATTTGAGCTAGGAGTTATGATTGGTGGGGTACAAGAAAGATAAAGTATCAAAAAGTGGGCAGGTAGTTCATCATTATCGTCCATCATTTTATTCTAATGGGCTAAAATCTTCAGGAAACACATATCAAAATATTTCACAATTATACATAAATATAAAATTTCACCTGGTACTGTAATAATAGCCTAAAATTGCACTTGTTTCATTGACCAACCATTTGAACTATAGCTGGCCATTTAGACAATTAACCACAGAGTATCTTTAATAATAGACTGCATAAATTTATTATACTGTTAAAGGGTCATCTTTGTCAAATAGATAGATTTATGATAAAATTCAATACATTAATAACTTGAGCTATTGTTGCAAATTTGGCCCATTGTTTTAGATGCTCCATTTAAGTCTTGATCTCAAGATATATCAAATAGCTCCCCTCACTTTTAAATGGTTTATTCAAAACATTCTTATTGTGTTTTCCAAGGCTAACTTAAATCTTTCCCATGTTTTTGTTTAGTTGATATGTTTATTTGATTCTTCAAATAATTTTGACTGATTTATCTTTGGGAAAATTAGAATACAAATTGAGGCACAAAAGATTAATGGGTAAAATAATGAAATATGTCAATAAAATTGGCCATTAAACAATTGAATCCTAATTAAGCATCAACTTGAGAAAAATGATTTTTTGTATATTTATACTGTTACTGTCCAAAATGTTGTTTTGCTTTCCTTTAAAAATTGAATAAAAACATTTTAAATGTCTCATTAACATAAATCAAATATTCAAATCTTAATTTTTATTCTTTTATGTTTTCAGTTTGAGCTTCCAAAGTTTTCTGATATGAAACAGTACTATCTTGGTTATACGCAATACAGTGGAAACTTCAGAGACCAGGATGTAATAAAGCTAATAGGTGGCTCTGGGAAAACCCGCTTCCACGACACAGCAGCATTGAGACTTTCTTATGTGTTAAATCGCATCGGGCATGAGCATGCAATTGGCACCAAAAGGATTAAGATATCCAAACATAACAAAGACTCATACAGAGGTGGAAATAACGAACAGTACATCTTCCGAAATGTAGCATTTGGGCCGTACCTCGCCAAAAAGTATGGCAATCCCATCATACTTAAACCTCACAAATATAACTCTGCCAAAACTATGTGGCCAATCCTAGGCAAACAAGGACTAGTACGATTTGTCACATATCAAAAACAAAAACCAAATGGACATATTGCATTATGGGATTGTGATAAATTCTACCAGAGTCCTGACTGGACAAAGGAAAATCGTCTAGTTTCAGTGGAATTCTGGGAATCTCCAGGTTGGTACCAATTTCAAATTTTGAGAAATGTGTAATTGTAAAACTTCAAGTTCAATATTCTGCCAATTGAACAACTAAAAAACATTAAAGAATTCAAACATTTTTCTATTGTCTAGAGAACAGATGCTACTGATGTGCGACATTATTAATAATCTTTTAATGTCAATAAAACGCAATATTATATCAACATCCAATGCCATTTATCAAACCTAGCAACCCAAATATGAAACACATTACATGAAAGGGATTTCATCTTTTTTCTTGACTACTGAAAAATTCAAAAATAATTACCATCATTTTCTATATGTGTCGCCTATAGGTTACAAAGTGTAAATAAAAAACAAAAGTTGGTTGATAAACTTTGTTCAAAGTTCAAGAATCACAAATCATTAGCGATAAAACTGTCTCCACATTTGAAACCAACGTTGAATTTTATCATATAAGAGCAAGAGTTATTTACATACAAGTGATCGGTTGATGAGGAACCAAAATCGACCTGAAAAATTTCTATCCAAAATTTACAAAACCAATCTAAATCGTTCATAGTATAAAAAATCAACATCCATGATATAAGTTCATAATAACAAAAATAATGTTGCAGTGCGTGAGTACATTAGGAGTTCATAAATTATATTAAACGTTGACAATCATTTTATGAATTTTTGCAAGAGTCGACAGGTGATCTGAGGTGGTTACAATGACTCAAGTCTCGTTAAGTCTGATCTATCACCACTCTTGACGTATACTTAGCAAGAAAACGTACCGATAAAATAAACAATTTGGTGAAAAACAAACATCGGATCACGACCATTGTTTCATCTGGCCTTATCTAGCACCTGCTCTCACTTAATAATCTCCGGTTTATAAGTTAAAAGTTATCATTGAGAAACACTTATTGTAAATTTGAATCCTTTTTAAAGTACTTACGATACACATGCACATTACAATAGATTTAAAGTACATTTTCAACTTATCTCTTTGATTAGATTAACTATGGAGATTAGGATTGATCGTCAACTCTGATCCCAGAGTAAAATATCAAAGCAATAAAAAAGCTCTTGAATATAAATAATAATAAATATTGTCTAATCTCATTCCAGATTCTCATTGCACAGTGAAACAAGATGCCAAGAAATACTGGTGGGCTACATGGAGAATGACGATGGATTCAACCAATGATGCAAACACCCTAGAGAATGACACAACTTACGACACAAAGCGACAGCCATTGTTTCGCCATTTCAATAAGTACCGCAAGACTCAAAAGCACCTATAGATGGTGCTGCTCAATGTAGTCATGACCTCAAGGTCAACTAGACTTACTGGTGCCACTGACCTTGACCTTGTGCATGTGATTCTGGAGTGATATACCAGTGCAGAACATTGAATGTCTGACAAACCAGTTCCATGTAACTGATATAGAGAAACATCTGTCTGTATGGGACACAGTGACTCAAAATGCAATGTGACATTAAACATAGTAACCTAATACAGAACTTTATTATGCCATAGAAACCTTAAAGGTCATGGTAATTTCAGAGAGGTCATGATCATGTGACCCCATCAAGGTCATCAGCTTCCATGTCAAGGTCACATCACTGCCGTAAACAACTTACAACTTGCCCTTATGTTAAACTACCAATCAACACAATATCAATGTGCTTATTCTTTTTTGTTCAACATAATGAAAAAGTAGAATCATCATGCAAAGATCAAAATGAAGGCATAAAGACGAAAGAAATTCAGAATATAAGAGAGGAAAAGAATTATGTGTGCTCGATTTCATACTAGAGAATTCTTGTACAAATTGTACATATTGTATACCATTTAATTATGATTGTATGATTTGTAAAATATGGGGCCAAAACTTGTCATCATTTATAATATAAGTAAGGCTTGTTGCCATGGCAACAACAGCAATGACAACTACAGCAAATTATAATCTAAGTCAATAATTTATTTTAGAGATACTTAGTTAAAAGATACGTAATTTAAGTATGTAATTAAGTATGTAATTTTATACATAGAAACAAATGTTGTAATAAAATATGCATGATATTTAATATAAAATTGGGTTTTGTGATATTGTAGAAGTAATTAAAGATGTTACAGTCACAGTGTGACAGAGTGACAGAGATGGAGCCTGGATGATAACAATAGACAAATACAATATAGACACACCAATACAACACAGATACAACAATTACAATACAGTTACAACAATACAATACAGCTAAAAAATATACGTTTTTGATCTCATTTCATTTCACATCTTTTAATAAACAGCCAAAAACAGATGGCAATATCACACATCTACAATTTGAAAATGTGTTCATTCCCGCTGACATTAACTGTATTGCCCCAAAATTTGACTTGACTCTCGCATTCATTCAAGGCCAACCCTTATACAATGTGATATCCCCACACGTTCACACTACACAATGTACACAGCTAAGGGCAAATAAGAACATAGAATCAGGCCTATAGATAAAACATTCAGAGTCTTTTACCCAGTAATTACAACTTGTAGTACAAACCATGCCCCGGGACAACGGGAACATAATGACATTTCAATTGGTATATTTTACTTTGTCAATCAATTATATATACAGTGTTTCAGAGTTTACGATTGCATTACATGAATGTCAAGGTTGAAACGGTTCTCGCAAACTCAAAGCTCCTCAATGAGACAATGGAATCAAAGTCATACATTTTGGGTTACACTCTACTCCCCTTCATAAGTTTGGCATTTTGAGAACATAAGCAGCCTGACAATGTTTGGTGACTTAAAGACATATTTCTGAACTCTTTTAATAGAGGAAAATATAAAGATTCAAACATTAACATGCTTTAATATGATGTCTACATGGAAAAAAAAGTACTTGATTGCTAATTGTAATGTTACATCATAGAACATAATGTTGGATTATATTGTAGGCCTGTTACACCATTGTAGTATCCACTGCTTGAAGTATCGCTGACAAATCAGAATGCTGTTTCACTGTATATGTATTGTATTGGTTTGAATCCTATTTATATTCAATAGTTCATACCCCATGGATTACTATATGTTCAAGTTGTCTTAATTAGTGTGAAACAATCAAGATGAAACCAAACATAATTTTGGTATCCATATGGCACAGAAATAATCAGTTAACTATGACAGAAATATATTAAGTTATTAAGTACATCATTGATTTGTTTAAATTTCTAGAGTAATTTTTGTCATTTGTCTTCTTCCAATGTCCCAATCTTGCAGACTGGACTAGCCAGTACTACCAGTATGTGTTGTTTATTCATTCTATTATAATAGTACACATTTATTTTACATTTCAAAATTTTAATGTCATTTCAGGACATTTCCCCAGAATCATCTGTTCAATGTGGTTTCATCCTGCAGTCATTCTTTCAATAATCCACAATGACCAGCACCTGTTATATCTGGTTAGGCTGACCAGACACAAAAATATTACAAAAAATTTCAAAATATCACAGACATTTTACCGATTTTCTTTAAAATGTTTCATTAAAGTTTAATTTTTCTTCCATTTTTATACAATATGAAGTTTTAATTTCATGTTAAGTTGGTTATTCCTCAAAAATTTGACTCCTGTTGATTTTATTTCACAAAGATATAATGATGACCTTTGTCTTTTTTGCATGGTCTTTTGCATTGTGATTTTGTTCACCTGGCAGAGTAAATTCTTAATTAATTGATTCGGAGAGTTAATTAATAAAGAATCTAAAGATTCAATACAGCCTGAAATGACCAAAATCATTTTCTAGTTGATCCTTCTGTCATGTCTACCTACTTTTCCAAATGTTCATACTTTCAGTTGTTCATAATTTCTCTTCAATATAAAGAAATACACTGGAGCATATGTAGTAATACATTATTAGAGAAACACCATATACATCTATTACTGAACACTATTTCTTAAAAAACAATTTTCACATTCTAGGGGCTTCATAGAAAATCCATGACGTTCCATAGTTTTGAAAACCATGAAAACTATATTCCACGAGAAAACCTATAGATCAGATTGGTACATTTAGACTTAGCTCTCCAAAGTCAACAATCGTGTACAGTATTATTTTTAATTGCAGGCACTTTGTAATAATTACCACACAGAGCAGTAACATTGCCTAGAGTCTCATAATGTTATCTCACGTATGAATATTTACATTTCTGATTGCAAGTGATCTTAGTGTAGATAACTCTGAGAACTATTTACTTCCTTCATGTAAATTACCATGATGGTCAAATTATGATTGAGATGTACTGAGAAAAATATGTGAAATTAGCAAGGAATATAATACACAGACATGTATGGTGTGAATACACCAAATTGATGTGGAGTAAGTGTAACTGTGGTGTCATCTTATACAATACCATATTCAATTATTAACCTATTTACATGTAATTTTGTAACCTTTCTATATAGGACAGGTTCTTGGCTTGTTGAAGCAAACTATTCTGTCCTGAATTTTCAACAAATAGTGCTGATTTCAACAGCTTCATTCTTATTACCTAATGGAGCTGTCATACTTAGGCCATGTGGGCTCACCATTCCCCACATTGTGAATATTTTGGGGCAGATGGAGGGTGGGGCATGGCATGGATACGAGGTGGGCAAAACAAATAGTTTTACAGCAAGATATCCCCCATCACACCAAATACAAAAATTCATAATTTTTTAGAATTCCCGGGGATTTAGCTGCTTGAAACCTCTCCCCCACGGGAATTTGCTAAGAGCACTGTGCGTTTAATAGAGATAATACGGTATATTGCAATTGGACTTATTTAGTGTTCAGAATCATGACAAGGCTTCATATTTCAGATTGGGCACTTTTTACATAGAAATACAGTACATACAGTGTAATTATCAAAACCTAAAATGTCAAAATATTGTAATGAAATAATGCAGAAACAAAACAAGGCTATATGAGATCATCCCAAAAACAACTGCTTAATATTCAAAAATTCTCCACCTCGAGGTTACCAAATGTTTGGTTCACAAGGACCTGATGGTCTTTGAGAACATTAGAATCAAATCAAAGGTATAATAATATTAATATCCCTTAATAGTTAGGATTAATAATTATGCACAGATACACTCAAATTGAACCTAAATGTTCAGTAATTCAGCAATTACAATGCAAATGAATCAAAATACAATACAATTATTGAACTCACATAATTTATTTCATTTTTCATCTAACAAAATTTTTGAAATAATCTTTGGCCTAGTTAAGTCCCCATGTATCATTTATTCAATTCTCTCTTAAACTTAAGCCCATGATAAACCATGGCATCTCTTCACAGCCCTGAGATGTTTCAGGTGATGGAAGGGTAGGACAGAGACTTGATATAAAACAAACTTTACCAATATTACCCTTCAAGGAACAAATAATTTATGATTTTGTCCAGAGATATGAAAAATTTTCAAAAGCGATTCAGAATGATTTTTCATTTAAATTTTCTCAGAGATATTTTACAATTTTCACTAATTGTTGCCCATATTGGCTTTCAAATGACACTTAATTTCAGCCTGAGAAATGAATGACATTTAAAAAGTGATGTTATTTTTCCCAGAGCTAGTTAACTAATTTTTACAAATCTTAAAGAGACACTTAACTTAGGATTTCAGCCTGAGAAATGAATGACATTTGAAAATGGATTTAATTTTTCTGGGATATACATAGTTAACTAATTTTTGCCTATCTTGGCTTTCAAAGGAACAAACATTTTAGGATTTTTCCTGAGAAATGAATGACATTTACATACAGGATTTCATCTTTCCCACAGATACAATGCAATTTAAAAGGTCAGATATGTCAGATACACATGTAAGTAATATAATAAATGCATATTAATTATACTTATTAAATGCTAGGTCTCAGATTACATATCATATCCTTATTACATAATTATTGATACATTTAGGGATAATTATAACTTTTAGAAAGGTAATTGTGGTGTTTAGCATTAAACATCCTTGTACACAGTAAATGGAGATAGATAAACAAAGTAACGGTAAAAATGTCATTTCAGAACCACATGTATTCATATTCACAATTTAGCTTCCAATATTTTTAGAAATTAGTTTTTCTTCAAAGAGCAGTAATAAATGATATTATTTATCAACTAAAAAAGGAAATATTCTTAGGATAAAAAAATAAATGCATGAATATTATCTTAATTTAAAAGAAGGAGGGGGGGGGGATACAGCATCCCCCAAATCTGGTCCTAACATAGCAATCTAAAAACCAAATTTTATATAATTATGTTCATAATAGTATTTTAAAGCAGCTATACTACCTCCTGTACAGTTGATTTTATAGTTTTAATGATGCTATAATCTTATCGATCTCAAATGAAGTTGAACAACCTTTAATGGAAGTTTGAATGTAAAATTAATGTTAGCAACTTATAGGCAGCTACTGGGTTTTGACATTCTGATACCCATCACATCTTTCTGCCTTCAACTAGACAGAAGCTACTTAAGTAGGTCATGATTTTTCATGATAGTGTCCTGATTTTCTGATGACATTTTGATGAAATATTGGCTTAACGAAGAAGCCTCTCTAAATTAAGCAGCATGGATAATAGTCAGACTCTCCCGAGGGTTATCAAAAAAGCTTGCCTACGAAAACCATATCCATGGGAAACTTTTGACATTTCAAAAAGCACAGGCTTCTGATGTAACTTTATCAAATCATATCAAATCCCTAGGCAACATATTTTATTAAGAAATCATTTTTGACATGCACATGTTTAACTGTTTGAAAAGAGCACTATATATTTGGCATAGATTAGCGCTTGAAGATGCTATGTGGACAAATTGAATTAAGTACATCTGAAAAAAGGCATGTGGTATTAAAAATATTGATAGAAGCCAGAGTGCTACCCCAAGCAAACATCCACTCACGAGAGAGAAATAGACAGGAGGGGAAGGGGGGGGGGGGGGGGGGGGGCTAGAGGCCTAATGAAAGGCTACAAAGACTACATCAATGAGCACACATTCACATCCATAAGTTATAATTAATGAACAGTTAACATTGAGAGCAGTTTTATGTAAGGAGAACACACTGTTCCCGACATGACCTATTAAATAAAATACATACAAATCATCAAAATGTCAAAACATTTAGCACACCACCCAGGGCCTAACATTATCAATTAGTTTTGATAAGAACATCGTTAACCATTATCTCATAATCAATTGCCTAATGACATGTTTTAATGTGTTGTTTCACAAGAGCACACTAGGAAAACAAACCAGGACACATATCATTAAGGACAACAGTTGCGTAATATTTAAAAGCTAACAGCGGGTAAAACATATCATAATATAATCAAGCCTTCTGTTGTGTTTAGAAACAAGATTTAGGAAGTACTCCCTGCAATGCAATGTGTAACCCCTTTAAAAGATTCATCACCTTTTCTCAAAATTATTACCAAAAACTTTTCAATTCATGAATATATCCATGAGAATAATATCAATATGGGTTAAGTGAAACATATGGGTACTTACTATTTAATTGATATTTCTTTTTTCTATGCTGTGAGTACAAAAAAGAAGAAAATCTGGTGAAAATATCTAAGGGGTGATTGTTTGGATGATTCAATGATACTTCCTTTTAGCCAATTACTTTACTTCTCCATGTGCAATGCTTATTCAACTTATATATATCTAATTTTGGGTATTTGTATGTACTCTATTATATAATCTGTCATATGTATTGCCACACTGGATTTTTTTCCGTTGAGCCATTGCTTTAAAAGTACTGGCAAATAAATAAATAAAACAAATAAATATATTTTTGTTATTTCCATTCCTTTTTGTTTCATCTATTTCTCACTTTATTTCCAGTGGAAACATATGACAAATTCTTTAAAATCATTATTTTTCAATCAAGAGAATTGTGTCAATTGTGACATAATTCCATTATTTGTCTTCGTAGGTCTGCCAGTAAGCAAAACTGTGCTGTTATTTTTCCAATTGATTAATTTTAATTCAATTGCTTCAAAGCTGATATGATTCAACATTATACAATGTCCTGTCCTGCTAATAAATAGCTCTCTTGAGAAGTGAAGCTGCAAATGATCATACCTTTTAGATCATAAAATGAATACCTGTATCAATTAAAAAATAACGCTTTTAATCGCAATCATGTTATATTGGACATGAATTTCTAGATTTTGGTTAGTCAAACTGATATAGTAATGTAAATCCACATCACATATTATTATCTAACTATTGCAGTTCTGATGTTGACAAGATCTTAATGAGGTCAACAGTTGCATTCACCATTGCTTTTGTCACGAGGGGAAGAGAGGAAAATAAGAAAATAAGGATGCAACAGATTAGACATTGTCAAAAGTGAACTGTTCATCTACATGAATGAAATCTTTAAATCTGTTATCTTATGTGTTGCTCTAAAGCAGTCTTCACTTCAGGATAGCCTTCACACTTTGAAGTTGCCACCAGTATGATTCAAATCTCCTAAGATAAGATACAGCAAAAAGCAAAGTTAGTTGACATGCTTTAGAAAATCAACTCTGCTAGTAGTCATGGGATTTACTGGAAATGTTAAATGTATATCCTATCAGGAAATGGTGACCTACCTTGCAGCTGAACTGCTATTGAGATCTATAGGTCCAAGATGTTTGAACTCAATACGAACCATCTCCATGACAACAGCTCTGAAAAAATCATAATGTTCAGATAATATAACACTCCGTTGTGAGATTAGCATCATTAATATGAATCAGTGTATACAGTTTCTTGAAAAACTTAAATTGACATAAATGTACAGTATAGTTATGTACATGCTATAGGACAAAAATGACAAATAAAAAAGATTTTGGAACTAATAAACATGGTTCTTTGGAAAATTTAATAGCTATAATCGTTATGAAAAATTCAATAAAAAAATTGTAACAATGTGTTCCTAAAAGTATATTTTTAGAAAGATGGCAGCACGATATGGTCTCCTCTGAGATGAACTGAGATCCATTTAATACAATCCCAGCAATTCGATTAACACTGCAATTTCAAAACGCAGACAACTTTGACTAAATGCAATGTAAGAAGGTATTTTCTGAGGCAATGATTCATTCCTCCATATGCACTGATTACTTGATTGAAAATGTAATGCCCATGTTTTGTCTCATGATAAATCAAAGTCCCTCTCAAGAATTAAATAAAGAGGAACTCTGATAAATGGGAACGGGTAAATCATGCAAGAACTACACAATAATTGTTGAAAGGATGGGAACATGCAATTTTGTGAATAATGTTTGAATATTAGTTTTTCCACCTACCCATGAGTGAGTTGTGTAGACTGTCTCAATATGTAGCAGTGTTCACACGAACTGTTCGATTCAAGAAACGCTGTGAAGAGATTCATTTGACCATTTGTGGAAACAGTTTGTCTGAAATATCAAACATTCTATTACATTCAAGTCTCATTTAAATTATCACAATTTCATGTATTTCATCAATGAGAAAGTGGTCAAATAGTTGTGGTTGAAATCAGTTGCAAGTTGCAGGTTAAGTCCGTCCAGCTGAACATACAGTTCACATAAAGATGGCAGCGTTATTCAATACTAAAATCTCCCTTTAGTGTCATACATATAGGTGGCAGCACCATCTGGTGACACATATCCAATTACAATGGGCATTTCTGTATATTTTACATAATTTTGTCCATTTTATAGATAATACTGACTGTGTAATTGTAGGTTTGTAGGGTGGAAGTTTATCAGATTTCCCAGAAGTCTCACTAGGCTGTTTGAACAGACAATAGATGCCGCCATGGAACAGAGATTGCCCTATTGTCATCTGTAAATATATAACATAAACAAACAAGGTATTTACATCCAAAATGTCACTATCTGCCATTTGTTAGATGCCAAACACCAACTACCAAACATCGATCGCCAAACACCAACCATCGAACACCATCCAAAAAAAATTAAAGACCTAACAACATGTCACCACTCATGATGGTGACATAAAAACAAAAGAAAATACAGTATAGTACACATTTGATGATCAGAAAACGAATACTTAATTAATAATATATAAATCGATGTTGTAAAGCTAAAAATGAATTACAGGGTGTGCCTTGAAGGCAATGGTAAATAATGACGAAATGTCTATTTTCTGTTAGAAATATGTCCTGTATTGTGACCCAATCTTTAGTTTGGTGTGTGGTTCTTAGATGTTTCATTTAGGCTAAGATGAAGAAAATATTATTTTACCAGAGAATTTCCAAGAGGTCTGCTTCATTAATAAGGGTGTCTTGGTAATCTGACATTATATTATATAGATTAGGTGTAGAATTAAGAGCAAAACTTTGAAAAATTCCTGAATAATTAACTCCTGTTAAAGATACAATTGAGTTTGTGAAGTTTTTTTTCAGGATCAGTTAAATAATTGTTGTTGATCGAGGTTTATTCAGCTAGTCAATGGGGATTCTGGGTAATTTGTGGATTGATTATGTGTGTACAAAGTCAACTTACTGATGGTTTATTCACAGCTGCATCTATCGAATCTTTCAGATCACTGAACACTTGAGTCAATGACTTGTTCTCTGCACAGGGGTATAATGAATCTGAAAACATGAAAGTCAATCAGAAGAATTCAGATGTTCGCTATACTTCATTTTGTTTTTCTAATCTAAGAGGGTTGTTCAATTTGGTGTTGTAGAGGTGCTGTATTGAGGGTTAGATTTCAGTTGATATTCACACACATGAATTTACAACATTTAGGTTTGTTTCGAAAGAAGCTTGAGCCATTTGCATTCAATCATTAACATTCACAGAAAAATAGCATCAAAAAATCTCATACATCTTTAAATCAGCCAGAACTAATTGTAGATTATTTAAATAAAAAAAGAATACATTTCATGACAAATTAGAGTGCACCTCTACAGTCTGAATTGATGATACAATTTTGGGTGACAAACATCAACTTGAGTACATATACTCAACTCACCTTTGAGTAGTGGTGTAGTATTGAGTAGGTCTGTCCATGGGTTATTAGCGCCATCAGGAGGATGGGCAAGGTCCTCATCCTTCAAATACTACAAAAATGGGTTGGAATGTGCATGATTTCTTTGAGCCAATTTTTACTAAACCATAGAATATGGATGCACCATCATACATGCCATATATTAAATGGGGCTATATCAGATGGTTAACAGATTTTTGCTACTTGACTTAAAACAAAACTGACAGAAACAATGGTAAATTAGTCATTTTAAGAAATGATATGATTTTTATCAACTCATGGATATTGCTATCTGCACTCTATAGCTATGATAACTCCTGCAAATATCAGATCCATTTATGAATGAAAATCATATCACTCATAAATAATATTACAGGACCAAAAAGCTGTAAAAAGACAGTTGAAACTCGAAAGCCATTAAAAAGCAATAACATAACAAAATTCAGGAAGATGGATAGTTATGGCAGATGGTTACAAAAGTGTATCAGTCAGTTACAGATGCCAATTGCCAATGCCAAACAAATTAAAATCATTTTTTACATCACTTAAAAATTTACAAACCTACCTGACCGACCCTCTCAAGTTTGAATCCAGCACTCCCGCTACTCCCATCTTGTTCCTGAAATCAGAAACAAAAATCAATGTTTCATACATGAAAAGGCATTGTGAGTTTCCTCTTTCCTACTCTGAAATATAGGAGTTACTATTGTATAAGATATCCTGTTTTAATATGTAAAATGGGTGGAATTAGATACAGATTGTAACTAGGACAATACCTCAGTAACTAGGACAATACCTCAGTAAATAGAACAATACCTCAGTAAAGTTCTCCTTTAAAAATTCTGCAACAAAGTTGAAGTCTTGTTGTGTCATTTTGCTCAGTTCTGGAGGTATAGGTTCATTCGATAATCGCTGTATCACTGGATTAGAAAAATAAATATTTTGACATAAATGCATGTATGTTACTTGTCAAAGAGAGTTAATCGCAATATTTTAATCAGGTGTCCAAAGGAGTGAACACACTGCTGATTTGTATTCACATCAAATGTGAACTCCTATAGTTTGTTTAAGTTCATTATAAAGGCAAGGGTTATATATGATGTATTTAAAACTAGATGAACAGCATGAACATTAGTGTACACTGTACCTACCCACATAGAGCCATCGGAAAAAGGCCTTGAAATTTTTCATGCTGCCATCTATCACTCTAAAACAAACAAAATACTCACAATTCAGTAAGTTTAGTCATCATTCTCAACCTCACCAAGGGAGCAGAGGCAGGAAAATCTCAATGTTTTTGAATATATGTTTTTTTATTATTAAGAATATTTTTTTTTATGTTTTACATTATCATACATTATATTGATTTACCGTGAATGATAGTGATTGGACAAAAGCCTACTGTAAGTCCTCTCCTTATATGTGTATGTGACACTATACTATAACCTCAGTAAATGGAACAACTTGGAAGTGGAACATTTTTTCATAAGTTCCACTTACACAGGTTGAACTGTAAACATCGATGAGCAATGTAGGAAGTGAAAAGGTGTAAATTCCATGCTGACGTATGAATTAATCACACTAAACATATCTTTCTCACTGGTTAGTATCAGGAAAAAATTACCTTCTCTTTCTAAATGGCAGGCGAAAAATATTGACTTTGGTATATTCAGTTTTTTATTGAATTAAACAGGGGGAGGGTGGATATAAACAAAAGTCAAACACCAGTCAGAAAACATAGAGAGTAAAAATTTATGTAACAGGCACCATTTCTTGTATTGGTGGTGACATAAAAATGGAAACATGTACTCACTGTTGTAATTCAACTGACTTCAACATAAAGGTCCCAGCTGCATTCAATGCATCTTGTATGCATTGTGGCGAAAGACCTAACACACCAAACCTGTCATACCACAGAGACATGCCTTTTAACTCAGTCAGGTAGTACACCAGAGATTGCCCTACACTGAAACATGATATAATATATATGCTGTACAATGAATTTCACCATAATGTAATACAATAAAAGTACCTTTATTCTGATTCTAACTTTCATATGTACTACTCCCCTCAACAATCTGTTTATAATTACATAATTATTATTTACAGTTAATATTGGAAACAAGAATGCAACTATTTCAGAAGAAAATCACAGAAAGTGTTACAAATATGACATCAGTAAAAATATTATGCTTTAACAGCCCTTAAATGGGCTATTCCTTATAATGGTAACTGGCGTATTGACTTATTGAGTAAATTAAAGACATGCAAGATGACTACATCTTTAAAAAGAAAAATGAAGAGTTATATTAAACAATATCAATCTATGTAGAGAAATTCAATTTGATCTTCCAAAAGGTTAACTCTACATCAATTTACATGTACAGGGTGGGTCAAAAAAGTTACAAGAATATAAGAGTAACATTTTTTTGCACGACCTGTATATTCTCTTACCTTTGTAAATGTTTTAGCACCAATTTTTGTATATTGGAATACGAAGTTTCTATTGAGTGGCCCAACTTCTTCAGCCCCTACAAAATAAAGGCTAGTCTAGTAAGAATATGTTTACAAAATTAGTCTGGTATATAGAAGTACAATTTGACAGTAATGGGTCCATATTTTCTTGAATTTGAGTAAGTCATATATTCAAAATAAACGTGCTAAAACAAAATTCTTGAGATCATGCATAAGCTTTTTTAAATAGCGGAAATGGTCATGGGTGGACACTGGGTAAAATGGATGAGGTCAGTCAACTGTGATATAGATTCTATATCACACACCGTAAAAATACAAATGGGCCAGGCTGCTAGAATTTACAAAATAATGGAATATTATTCTCTACATACCTTCTCTGTGAGCTCATGGAGCAGGAAGGACTGCAACTCTGAACTGGAATATGACAGAATGTAATGCTATATAATCACCTAAATGCAAATATGTATTTACATGTACTTAAACTGGATAACATGGCAGACATAAGATGTGCCCCTAGACTTGAATATTTAAAATATTAAAAGTGAATAACTTGTTGTCGAACCTTATACCGAGTTATTTAAGTGTACCACCTTAAATTGTGTTTGGTAAAATTAACTATCATTTGTTCCTAACAAGAAAATATATTTCAACAGTTTCACAGGAAGGATCTCAAAGATGATGTGAGTTTGACTAAACTCCAAATGTTCAATGATGAAAATCAAGATTATTTCTATGTATATGTACATAAAGTATTGACTGTTTAAAACTAAGAACACTCCCCTTCAAAAGTGTGGCAACATCAACTCTCCCATTAGGCATGTTTATGTTTAGCAATATAACATTAACAAATATGTCACCACTTTTTAGTGGTGACAAAAACTACCAAAGGGGAAAATGGTGTTGCCAATATTTTGGAAGGGAGTGCATAATTCATTAAGATTAATTTACTAAGATAAAATAATAATAATATTAGTATACCTGGGTGTTCCAAACATGAGAAGCTCTAGGAAGTCATTGCTAACAGTTCCACTGACCAGCTTCTGCAATGTATACATGTAAATCAAATTAGTGAGGTTCATGTTAACTTTTTACATTTGAAATTCAGTGGTGACATATAAAGTGTCACTTTTAGACAAAGATATTTTGTAAGAGAAATTTGAAATTGAGTGGTAAAGTATGAATGTGTCATTTTTACATTTGAAATTTGTTAATTGTGGATGAGTGGTAGGGCAAATATACCATATTTGTTATGCTAAAAGATATTGATTTCAAATGAGTAATTCTGTAAACCTAATGTCATTTGTGTTTACTTATGTAGTTTTGCAAGAACTGAAAGAAATGACTTACATATTTCTCTTCTGCAAACTTGCGTAGTTTTGTATCCATTTCCAGCAGAATGTCCTCCCAAGCCTCCTTCATCTGACGGATAGTGGCCTGGGCATACTAGAAATAATGGAATATATATCATGGTAGATAATGGCCTGGGCATACTGGAAACAATTGAACATATATCATTGTAGATAGTGGCCTAGGCATACTGGAAATAATTAAACATATATCATGGTAGATAGTGGCCTGGGCATACTAGAAATAATGGAACATATATCATGGTAGATAGTGGCCTGGGCATACTAGAATTAATGGAATATATATCATGGCAGATAGTGGCCTGGGCATACTAGAAATAAAGGAACATATATCATGGCAGACAGTGGCCTGGCCATACTAGAATTAATGGAATATATATCATGGCAGATAGTGGCATGGGCATACTAGAAATAAAGGAGCATATATCATGGTAGATAGTGGCCTGGGCATACTAGAAATAATGGAACATATATCATGGTAGATAGTGGCTTGGGCATACTAGAATTAATGGAATATATATCATTGTAGATAGTGGCCTGGGCATACTGGAAATAATTAAACATATATCATGGTAGATAGTGGCCTGGGCATACTAGAAATAACTGAACATATATCACGGTAGATAGTGGCCTGGGCATACTGGAAATAATTAAACATATATCATGGTAGATAGTGGCCTGGGCATACTAGAAATAATTGAACATATATCACGGTAGATAGTGGCCTGGGCATACTGGAAATAATTAAACATATATCATGGTAGATAGTGGCCTGGGCATACTAGAAATAAATGAACATATATCACGGTAGATAGTGGCCTGGGCATACTGGAAATAATTAAACATATATCATGGTAGATAGTGCCCTGGGCATACTGGAAATAATTAAACATATATCATGGTAGATAGTGGCCTGGGCATACTATAAATAATTGAACATATATCAGGGTAGATAGTGGCCTTGACATACTAGAATTAATGGAACACATATCATGGTAGACAGTGGCCTGGACATACTAGAATTAATGGAACACATATCATGGTAGACAGTAGAGGTGTAACTCGCCAGAAAAATCCAACTCGAGTTCAACTTGCCAAATATTTCCAAAACTCGAGTAAAACTCGAGTTCATTCATTTCATCCAGTACATATTGTAAACCCGGGTATACAAAATTACTGTAACCTCAAGCGGCAAGTTTCTCTGGTTTAGTCACATCTAAAAGGTGTTTAACACAATGGGGCCATAAGAAAGTGTGGTATTCATTGCAGTTATCTCATATTTCAATCAAAAACGATCTGGTATAGACGTCGCCGCATACGGTAAGGACGAGATATCGCTAGAATCTACCCAAACAATATTTTAGAAAACCCAGAAGGGCCCCTCAAATTAATGAATGGTTTTCCCGGATTATCTTCATTGTTTATACTAAAGACTGCTGGTTATTGATCTAAAGTTAAGACTTATGATCTTAATTTAATGATAGATCATCTTTTTTATGTAAAAGTCGTGTACACGACGTGTGAATAAGGAAACCATTTTTATTCAATTTTAGTGACTACTCTATTATCGCCCGTTGTGTTCCTTCGATAGTTGATCTTTTTCTGATTTTTTGCTGTAACTCGTCATTCCATGATATTTGTTGAACTTTGTGAAGCTTTGGGACTTGGGAGTGTTTTTTAGGTGACGGGCGCTAAATATGGTGATCATTGGTAAATGCTTTGGGACTTGGGAGTGTTTTTTAGGTGACGGGCGCTAAATATGGCGATCATTGGTAAATTTATTCCACTAATGAAGTAATGTTGCACGATCTCTGGGACCCGAATTCATTTTACATGCTTGCAAGATAAGCGAAACTCGCGAGTTGACTCGAGTTATAGCTAGCTCGCGAGTTGAAATAGATTGCGAGTTTCTAGAGGACAACTCGAGCCAATGTATAGGCAGCTCTGACGAGCTGTACTCGAGTTACTGACTCGGGAGTTACACCTCTAGTAGACAGTGGCCTGGACATACTAGAATTAATGGAACACATATCATGGTAGACAGTGGCCTGGACATACTAGAATTAATGGAACATATATCATGGTAGACAGTGGCCTGGGTATACTAGAAATAATTGAACATATATCATAGTAGATAGTGGCCTGGGCATACTAGAATTAATGGAACATATATCATGGTAGACAGTGGCCTGGACATACTAGAATTAATGGTACACATATCATGGTAGACAGTGGCCTGGACATACTAGAATTAATGGAACACATATCATGGTAGACAGTGGCCTGGACATACTAGAATTAATGGAACACATATCATGGTAGACAGTGGCCTGGACATACTAGAATTAATGGAACATATATCATGGTAGACAGTGGCCTGGACATACTAGAATTAATGGAACACATATCATGGTAGACAGTGGCCTGGACATACTAGAATTAATGGAACATATATCATGGTAGACAGTGGCCTGGACATACTAGAATTAATGGTACACATATCATGGTAGACAGTGGCCTGGACATACTAGAATTAACGGAACACATATCATGGTAGATAGTGGTCTGGACATACTAGAATTAATGGAACACATATCATGGTAGACAGTGGCCTGGACATACTAGAATTAATGGAACATATATCATGGTAGACAGTGGCCTGGACATACTAGAATTAATGGAACACATATCATGGTAGATAGTGGTCTGGACATACTAGAATGAATGGAACACATATCATGGTAGACAGTGGCCTGGACATACTAGAACCAGAACAACGGCAACGCCAAAGCGTAGCGAATCCCATCGAACAGAAATGGCTGGCATTTTTACAAACGAAGCGCAAATATCATAAAACAACACACCAGAAAGGCCACCATTTTCAAAATGGTTGCTCACTAGCCAAGTCATCAGAAAAAATAATATGCTTTAAAGTAGCCACCTCTAAAATTTTTGAAAAATCGCACACGTACTTGTAAAATAACACACATAAAAATGGTGGCCATTTTTCAAAATGGCCGACTACTCCCCAAAGTTTTATTAGACAATGTGCCATGCTTAAAGTATTCACATATCAAATATGAACAAAATCGCTCCACTACTTTTCGAGTTATAGAAAATACGTTAAAATGGCAGCCATTTTTCAAAATGGCCACCTTCTACCAAAAGCGTCATTAGAAATAGACAGTGTGCCATGCTTATAGAGTTCACATACCAAATATGAACAAAATCGCTCCACTACTTTTCGAGTTATAGTAAAATATGTTAAAATGGCGGCCATTTTTCAAAATTGTTTTCAAAAAAGCCGCCTTCTACCAAAAGTGTCATAGGACAGTGTGCCATGCTTATAGTATTCACATACCAAATATGAACAAAATCGCAGACTACTTTTCGAGTTATAGTAAAATATGTTAAAATGGCGGCCATTTTTCAAAAAATTTTTCAAAATGGCTGCCTTCTACCAAAAGTGTCATAGGACAGTGTGCCATGCTTATAGTATTCACATACCAAATATGAACAAAATCGCTCGACTACTTTTCGAGTTATAGTAAAATATGTTAAAATGGCGGCCATTTTTCAATTTTTTTTTTCAAAATGGCCGCCTTCTACCAAAAGTGTGCAATGCTTATAGTATTCACATACCAAATATGAACAAAATTGCTCCACTATTTTTTGAGTTACAGCAAAAATTGTAAAATGACGAGTAAAGGCCGCCATTTTTCAAGATGGCTGCCATGTGCTTCTTTAATATCTACATTTGTAGCATTATTAATGTCCTTTATCATTTTTTTACATTTAAAACATATTGCTATTACAGTTTTACATATTGCACCTAAATATCTGTAAAATCGTCACTAAAATGGCTACCATTTTGAAATGAGCGGCCATTTTGAAAATCGGCTTTCGAGCAGAACTTCTACCCCCATAGGGTATAAGTGTACAAAATATGAACAAAATCGGGCCAACGGTATTTGAGTTATTGCCTGGACGGACGGACAGACGGACGGACGTCATTTGTTGTTCCTGCATTAGATTCTTCTTTCATTGTCTTCTTTCTTTGTCTTGATTTGATTGTGATGTTAGTTATCTTTCTTCAGGGTCCACAGACTTGAGACTGCGCATAGGTGGGTTAAACGTTTTGATCCGGCCGGAAAACTCTCCCCTTCCCCTTACTGATGTTCGGATGGATGTACGTACGGATGTACGTACAAACGGACGGACGGACGGAGGCATTCCCTATATCCCTCCAAACTTCGTTCGATGGGATAATTAATGGAAAATATATCATGGTAGACAGTGGTCTGGACATACTAGAATTAATGGAAAACTATTTTTGCTTTTTTGATTAATAAAATAGCCACCCACCCACTAAACCAAATCAATAAATTGTAGAATTCAAAGCATGTGAGACATTTGAGACTGGCTTAGACCTACCGAGAGCAAGGTGAGGATCTGTCCAAACTTTAAGGCAAGTATTCTCAACTCCCTGTGTCTTGAGGCAAGTAAACTTGTGTCAATCTGAAAATGAGAAGAAACTGGATAACTTTTCAAAAAACCAGTACAGTACAGTGTAAATGCTAAGAGCATTTTTAAAGATTATCCTGCTATAATTTTAACACTTTACAAAAAAATATTATTCTTGAGCTTTAGATGTCCATCACAGCACACAGTGATATTCAATACAGCATACAGTGAAAAAAATTAGAACTTTATAATGAAAAAAGTTCAAAAGCTAAGAAACTCTATCTAACACTATGTAACATAAAATTTTGGGAAAAACTCACTGAGAGTATAGATATGTCAGAGGTCTGTGCATCTCCTTGGAGAGTTTCAACCATCAGGGTAAGAAGTCTAAGGTCTTGAGATAGCCCCCCACAGTACACATTTCCAATCTGAAAACATAAAACACATGAAACAGTCAAACCTAATGAAATGCGTTCAGTCAGGCAAAAATTGTTATAGACAGTGTTCCTTTAAAGATAGGGTTCACTGACATGGAAGTCAATAGGATTTGGTGCTTTGAAAACAGTTCCACGAGGGGAGGTGTTCCTTAAAGAGAGTTCATCTAAATGAGTTGGTTCCATATATAGAGGTGTTTGTTACAAAGAGGTATTCCATCAGACATGTTTTACTGTATAAATTTTGACCCCCCACACCTGGAAAGTTGATTGGTTATTATATCAGAGAAAAAGAGTATGGTGTTGAAACGCATGTATAACTTAACACAAAGATTTGTAAAGATCAGCTGCTAATTTAAAAACATAAATTGTCAACATGATTTCTGGTTTATTAAATTCTAGAAACAATTGATTAGCTTGCATTGGTGCATTCAAAACAGAACCAACGTGTAATGAGCTAATACACTACACTACATATAGTAATAAGACATACATGTTTTACCTTCAAATAACATGTAACTGTACTGTGAATCTTGACAAATCTTTTGAACATTTGACAGCCAGGAGCTAAGAGTCAAAATATACAGTATAATGTGGGTGCAGTCATTGAAAATTGCATTAAATATTGCATGTTTACTTTAGACTTGCCTTCAGAGAAAAAAGTAAGTCACTTAGAATATATCCTTATTTTTTTATTTATTAGATGTACTAAGAGTTCCTCATCTGCCATCGAGAAGACAGGTACAAATAAATAGATCATTATTAAAGTGCATGCCCATAGCTGGGGATCATGCAATTTTTCACAATTATGAGCACTTTTCAAGTGACATTGGGCCAAAGTTGTCTGATGTGAACCCACCCTGGAATGTTTTGAAAAGTGAACCCCCAAAAGATGGCTGTGGCTCGGATATTGGTAGGCCATTTCTGGGCAAATCTATTGTATCTTAACTTGATATAAAAAAAGATTAAAAAACATGACAGCATCTTTGGTCACTAGATACAAAATGTCAAATGCTTATTGATAACCAATACAGTTCTTTTTATTTCAGTCAGGGTTACATAGAAAAAACAGCAGAAGAAATATACAACATGGTTAGAAAAAGCACAAAAATGTTATGGATTTTTACAAGTATGTCCATCATTGCGATAATATCTGGGACAGACCTGGTACAGCCACAAATAGCTGTTCACCCTACTAACACTTCCAGTCGAGTTGGGGGCCGAGCAATGTTTATTTGTAATGCAACTGGAGTTCCTGCTCCTACTATTGAATGGCAGCACAATGGTGTAAAGATACCCAACATTGCCGGAAACAACATACATTTCCATAAAAACATGTTGATTATTTCATATGTTAAAGCTGATCATGTAGGATCATATAGATGTAAGGCCCGCAGCTTCATCGGCCTGGACTGGTCTGATTCGGCCTATTTACTGATATCACGGATGGCAGCTCCACCGGGAAAATACTGTTCACCCTACAGAGGAACAATATGCAGTAAACATCTTGGGGAATCATTAATATATTATAATCACACAGGGTCTACTGATTTAAACAATGAGCAGATCGTGAAAAACCTATGGCCCGAACTTATCAAATCATTAGATTCAACATGCAGCGTTCATGCTGAAAAACTCCTTTGTCACTATGCATTTCCAGACTGTATGCAAACATCTAAGGGATCAGTAGCCCTGCCCCTATGTAGAGAAGACTGTGAAGCCACTCAGCAATTGTTCTGCATGAGTGAATGGATTACGATTCAAAACAACAAACAACAGGGCATTGTTTTCAGACATCGAGGTCATTTCCGTCTGCCAGTATGTTCTGAGCTGCCTAGTCGTCTAAAGTCGCCATGTTCTGATGCATTTTTATATGAGCACAAGCCCCATCTGGTGTCCAGTCATTGTTACCATGGTAATGGGCAGTACTATAATGGCACTGTCAACACAACTAGATCAGGGTACCAATGCCAAGACTGGTTATCACAGCACCCCCATCGCCACATGCGTCACCCACACATATTCCCAGAGGTTAGAGATGCATCAAACTATTGCCGGAATCCCGGGGGCGAGGAAAATTCTCCATGGTGTTACACAATCAATCAAACAAAACGCTGGGAAAAATGTGACATTCCTCAGTGTCCCCCTCTAGTGAGTAGTCATCCCCCAATGGTTGCAGCGTCATCTATATTTGAAAGTTACTCAATTGAATTCTGGCTACTGATGGCAACAACAGTACTCTTCGCTGCAATACTTATTGGAGTCATCTGGATCCTGGTACGTGTGTTCATTCACCCTCTTTGTAAAAATGCCCCGACCTCTGGTGAACTGAGTCTTGACCTTGATGACCTATCACTGAATGCTGCCTACTACAGCTTCAATCCTTCATATTACAACATAGCAAACCACACTTTCAATGAACTGGAATATCCCCGTAACAAGCTCTTGTATATAAAGGATATTGGTAAAGGTGCCTTTGGTCGGGTTTTTCAAGCTCGCGCTCCAGGTTTAGAAACGAAGGACAGTTGTTCAATGGTTGCTGTCAAGATGCTTAAAGATGGAGCAACATATGAAATGCAACTTGATTTTGAAAGGGAGGCTATGTTACTTCTGGAATTCAACCACCCAAATATAATCTCTCTTCTAGGCATGTGTACTAATGATACTCCGATGTGTCTTCTCTTTGAGTACATGCCACATGGAGATCTTAACTCATATCTCAGGAAAAGAGGGCCAGGCTATATTCATGGGAGGCGTCATGGCGATAACATTGTCAATGACCAGGCCAAACTAAGCAATCAACAACAGGTGGCGATTGCACAGCAGATTTGTGCAGGAATGGTGTACTTGTCCCATGAAGGTTTTGTACACCGTGACCTCGCAACGAGAAATTGCCTCGTAGGTCATAAAATGAAAGTGAAGATATCAGACTTTGGTTTGGCTCAACCACTGACTGAAAAAGGACAATTTATTGGGAATGAATCTGATCCTGTTCCCATCAGATGGATGGCCCCAGAAGCTATCATACATAATGTCTTCAGCATCCAATCAGACATCTGGAGCTTTGGAATTGCATTATGGGAGATATTCTCCTTTGCTCTACAGCCATACTTTGGTATGACCCATGAGGAGGTTATCAAGTCCATACAGCATGGTGGCAACATGAGTAGACCAGATAACTGCCCCTACTCTGTGTATGAGATCATGCAGTCCTGCTGGCAACTTGACCCTGCACAAAGACCAATGTTTACCTTCATCAAATATTCTCTTGATGTTGTACAGAACAAGATCACTCAGAATGGAATGGTACAGTCCAAGACAATATAAACTTGATCTGGGTAGTGTGCACATGTTAAAATGATGGCTCTGTTGAAGACAATAGTTCCAGACACATCCCTAGAGACTGACAGTTGCATATTGTATGATAGATACAAGAATGAATCAACTGCAATTTTCAGTTGAATATTTACTATTTTTATGAATTAATTTATTCTATTGATTTTTATTTCTCTATTTATTTTTATAGTAAAAACACACTATGAAAAATTTATAATAATATGATGTTTTCATATATGTTATAAATACATGTAAACTATTTATTTGTTCATCACATGTACATACGTTTAGTAAATAACAATTTTGTGCATAGCAAAGCATGAAAAAGGCTTGTTTGCGAAAAGAAATATTTAAGAAGAAAAACAATATACCGTATACAACAAGGCAAATGCATTGTATATCAATATATTTAGTCAATCATATATCTGGAATCCATGTAAGATAAACACCAGTATTAAAAGTCTGGGGGTTCACCATTTTGAGCGTTTTTCAAGTGGTTTTTGGGAAAAGTTGTCAAGTGGGAACTCCCCTGGAGATTTTGAACATTGAACCCCTCTTGGCAAAAGCTGGCTACGGGCCTGAAAGTTCTTCACTCATAGTGATAGCTGATAGACATTTAAAAGCCATTAAAAATAATGTAAATATTCCTGATTAATTAAATGAAAAGGGAACTGTACCTTAGTATTTGTTGCAGATGTCATGTCAATGGTTGCTACGGGGAAGATCCCATATGCATACAGTGAAATGGTACCAAGTGTGTTTCCTATCACCAGGACATTTAGCCTATAACAAAAAGGTAGATCCTCCTAACTTACAATGTTTAATTCATAATGTTCTTGTTTCAGAACAAATCCACAAAACTGCCACTATATGACAGACAGATGATTCAAGGGGCAACATTTCTTTAGTTATCAAAATAACTTGAAAAGTTCTATAGATACATTTATAAAGGTGGTCATATTTTTCATTTATTTAACAAAGAGATGAGGCAAATGTTATAAGATGTTTAGTTTTTGTAATAGTGGAGGCTTCATTAGTGGCAGGCAACAAGCAATTTTCTTCTTTTTTTACCAAAACTGCCTATTGATCTGAAGAATTTTCCAACTGTTTCCACACTTAAAATATAATTTCCAATAATTTTGTCTGTGTTGTTTTCATTCATCCTGCATGATTGTGCTTCTTAATGAAACCCATGATATAGGCTTCACTTGTTAGGGATAAAAGGCATATCTTGCTTACTCAGTTTGTCCTTTCAGCTTCTTCCCATCTTCCACGTTGTCCTCACTGAAGAAATCAAAACAAAACAAACTTTATAATGTAGCGTATGCGTATCATATCCCTGAAGTCAAAGAACAATAACATATTGCAAGGTCATCATTTGAAATAAAAGATAGTGAGGAAAGCAAACTAATTGTTTATTATTTTAAACCTCGACTTTTGTGTTTTCAGTTGTTGCCCTATATGTTTTCTCAAGTCATGTTCACAATGGCAAGACATTCAATTAGAACTTAGTAACACCTTTAACCTTGAAAATCAAACATGTAAATAGCTATCTCAAGGAATTGTATTTTTTAGAAATAGGGATTGTATTTTTGAGACATGTATTTTTCAAATAGTATTCAATACTTTTAATATATTTTTATTTGGCCATTGTGTTTATATATTTACAAGTACAGTTAGGGTATTGATAGTAAGGAGATTAAGATACACATTTTTTAAAAGCTTGTATGTGAATGTGTAGAATTATGGGCCTCTGTGGATTAGTTCTCCCATTTGTACTATTTATTTGGCCGATTGAGTATAAAGATATACAGAAAATATTGGAATTAGTCCCTAGAAAATTGAATTGAGAGTGGGAAAGTAATCTCCAGGGGTCCAAATATTACATGCTCACGTACTAGAGGTTTTCTTAAAAATGTGTAACTTAACCTCCCTAATAAATCAATCTATGCATTGAAAGAAATACTTTGATCGACCAAGTACTGATGGTTAAATATAAACTGCAAATACCTTTGTCCTTTGGCAATAGTACCATAACTGAAAATAAAAAAAAGCGTTATACTTCATTACTGATCATTGAGTGAGTACCCTGAGTTTCATAGTAACAGGCCTGTAAAAAAGCTGCAATTTACTTTAAATTACCAAGCAAAACAAAGGCCTCAACAATCATTATTATAATAAATGTTATAAATGCACAGACACGATTAGTGAGATGGCGCCACCTACTGCCACATCAACAACAATAATGTATCTTTTTTATTTTGGTATGATCGAAAGTATCATTTTGCTTTTTCAATCACTATGTAAACTACAAATGTAAATAAATAAATACTATCTCTACCTTTTATTCAATGGTTGCAGTTTTGGCAAAAAGGTGTCGCTAGTATCTGCACAATAGTTCTCTGATTGGCTCGCATTAGATTCGTCATTCAGATTCTGCTCGGCAACCCACTGAAGACATGTGATACCATGTGGTAGAGTAATGCTATGTATGCAGTCAGAGTTCTCAACATCACACAACTGGACAGTTCCAGTACTGTACCCTACTGCTAACACTGCAATGTAACATGTTATATTGTAGATAGAAGACATGTGATAGCATGTGGTAGAGTAATGCTATGTATGCAGTCAGAGTTCTCAACATCACACAACTGGACAGTTCCAGTACTGTACCCTACTGCTAACACTGCAATGTAACATGTTATATTGTAAATAGAAGACATGTGATACCATGTGGTAGAGTAATGCTATGTATGCAGTCAGAGTTCTCAACATCACACAACTGAACAGTTCCGGTACTGTACCCTACTGCTAACACTGCAATGTAACATGTTATATTGTAAATAGAAGACATGTGATACCATGTGGTAGAGTAATGCTATGTATGCAGTCAGAGTTCTCAACATCACACAACTGGACAGTTCCAGTACTGTACCCTACTGCTAACACTGCAATGTAACATGTTATATTGTAAATAGAAGACATGTGATACCATGTGGTAGAGTAATGCTATGTATGCAGTCAGAGTTCTCAACATCACACAACTGAACAGTTCCGGTACTGTACCCTACTGCTAACACTGCAATGTAACATGTTATATTGTAAATAGAAGACATGTGATACCATGTGGTAGAGTAATGCTATGTATGCAGTCAGAGTTCTCAACATCACACAACTGGACAGTTCCAGTACTGTACCCTACTGCTAACACTGCAATGTAACATGTTATATTGTAAATAGAAGACATGTGATACCATGTGGTAGAGTAATGCTATGTATGCAGTCAGAGTTCTCAACATCACACAACTGAACAGTTCCGGTACTGTACCCTACTGCTAACACTGCAATGTAACATGTTATATTGTAAATAGAAGACATGTGATACCATGTGGTAGAGTAATGCTATGTATGCAGTCAGAGTTCTCAACATCACACAACTGGACAGTTCCAGTACTGTACCCTACTGCTAACACTGCAATGTAACATGTTATATTGTAAATAGAAGACATGTGATACCATGTGGTAGAGTAATGCTGTGTATGCAGTCAGAGTTCTCAACATCACACAACTGGACAGTTCCAGTACTGTACCCTACTGCTAACACTGCAATGTAACATGTTATATTGTAAATAGAACTCTCCATTTGGTTGACTATCAAAAGTTTAGCCCTTCACTGAAAACAACCTGCAGTCTTGGTTTACAGTTTCAGGATATACTTTGAAGTAAACCTTTAGATAGGGTAATAATTGTTAAATGTACAGGGTGTCAAATAAATATGTTCTTCCCTTGATTTCAAAAGCATGATCTTTTGTGCAAAAAAGTGCCTCTAGTTGAGCTAGTCATCTGAAACTTCTTATGGAGTTCCTTCATGAATCCTAGTTTTAATGTGCTAAAGAACAATTCAGATATCCTGCAGACAAAAATTTATGTAACATTATGTAAAATTAATGCATATTTATTTGACACTCTGTACATTAATTTTAACATGGAAATGGTTCCCATGTTTAAGAGCATGTTTGCCATCAAACCTCATGTTTCAACTATAATTACATGTACTCTCACAAAGACCTTTCTACTACAGAATTTTTATGATCATAAAAGAAGAGTCTATTTCAAATTCTTGATGAAGGACTACATTGAAAGCAGTAATCTGTACCTTTCCCATCTGGTCGCCAAGCCAATCCTCTAACCTTGATCTCTTCACCAGGTGGCGCCAATGTCCACACCTTCTGCCAGGAAAGTCGATGCAGCACCACCTTGTATACAAATTAATATCTACAATCTGGTGCTATGCTAATGCCATTAAATATTTTGATTTAAAGTGTGTAAAAACAGTGACTGACATATTGACAAAAAATCCATTTGCGCAAAGCCTTATTATGTCATTATAGTCAAATTAATAAAATAATCTTCAATTCTAAGACTAATCACTTTCATTTTTTTTGCACCTGCAATTTTTTCCTGATTTCCTCAATTTTACGTTCTTCAATGGGATTTAAGTGGTTATTTACCTCTCCTAGCACAGTTGCTAGGGCAACAAGGTCCATCTTGGGAGACCACAGCATGGTGGTGACCTCTTGTGACACATGCTTTTCTTCTATCTGTCGGAAGCATCCTGCCTCAGGCATCTTAATCTTCAAATAAAAAATCTGTAAGTAAATAATATGGTATAACAGGGATTTTCCCAGGATTTTTTCATAGCAGGGGGATTTTTTAACATGTTTCGCCACTCGCTTCGCTCACAGGACCCTGGGTGGGTGAAGCAAGCAGGGGAGTGGGGGGAAGGGGGACAGGGAGGGGGGTACAGGGGGGGAGTAAATTGAGTGAGCAGGGGTAGCGCCATGCAATTAGATTCTGGGGGAGAACCCAGGTATTTGATAACAGCCATGAAGCTCAATTCAACTAGAAATTAGCAACTCTGTGGAGTGTTAAATTCCAACGTACACTATATTCATGAATTTCTACATATCACAATGTAATATTTACCATCTCTACTCTACCCTTGATTAAATTGGCAGATGTATTAAAAGACATACACTAAAGATAAATCAGAATTGTCCACCAATTTAAGGATTTGGGTGACCATTTAGGAGTTCAAAAGGCACAAATCATTAAGACAATATATAGGGTGTCTCAAAAAATGTACCCAAAAGTATATCAACACCACAGACAAACCAATCAATATTTTCAGACATTTTTTACATGGTCGTGTAGATAAAAGATGAAAGTTTTTTCCCTCATGCACAGTTTTTACTTCAGTTTTGCCTTTTTGATACTTTAACCCATTACCTTTTACACCAAATATTCAATGTAACCTCATATTTCAATGACAGTCTGCATCTTTACTACTACATTGTTCATCACATTTGATATTTCTGGTGGAATGTTTTGATTTCTGTTTGGATGCTGGTCTTAAGTTGTTATGGGTCTCTTAGCCTGGGTTTAGCATAAAAATGGTCCTTCAAATAGCCTCAGAGAAAAAAGTATGGGCCGTCAAATATGGTCAATAGGGAGGCCCTCACAATGTCTCATAGCCCCCTTATACACAGAGGTCAGAGGTTCAAGAAACTGCATTGGCTGGGATTCTAGTATGGCTTTTGTTGTGTGGATCAATTTGAGACCACTGTGTTTTCATTTGGATATCATTTGGTCTCCAGGCTAGCCTGCCTAACTCTGGAAGGTAACTCCTGAATCATTTGCCGATAATTGACCTGATTATCCGTGTTTGTTCTGCCATCGTCATCCTCAAACATCTTTCTCTGTGGCTATCTGAAGGAGTCTTTTAATGCTCATTCCAAGCAAAAAGACCTAGAACAACTTAAGGGCAACATCCAAAAGAGAAATCCAAAACATTCCACCGGAATTATTATCAAATGTGATGAACAATGTAGCAGTGAGGATACAGGCTGTCATCGGAATATGAGGTTACATCGATAATGTGGTATAAAAGGTAAATGGTCAAAGCATCAAAAAGACAAGACTGAAATAAAAATGGTGTATTGAGGAGAAAACTTTCATGTTTTGGCTACATGACCATGCAAAAAATGTCTGAAAATATTGATTGGTTTATCTGTGCTCTTGATATACTTTTGGGTACATTTTTTGAGACACCCGATATATCAATATCAGTAAAGTACATGTAATACTGTAGTGAATTCCTGCTCTAGGCAGCCATTTTGAATTTTCTGAAGTATGAATCAGAAAAACAATATCATAACTGTGATCTACACTAAAATTCCTTCAATTTGAATATAATATAGCCATACTCTGAAGAGATTAGCAAATCATTACGAAATTCCCCCTCAAAACATAGGATTTCCGCGAAATATTCCCACCATTTTTAAAGCAGCAGCCATCTGCGCAAAACCATTCATCAATATACATCTTTCCAAAAAATATCAAGAAAATCCATCAGCTAGTATTTGAGTTGAACCTCTGGACAGACGGATGGACACTGGACAGATAGACAGATGAACAAAGGGCCTTTCTAGATTCCTACCGAACTTTGTTTGTTTGGATGATAAAAGGTACCATTAGTGTGTAACATGTATATGGCAAGATTTAGAGATGGGGTTTGTGGCATTCATGTTAACTAGGCATTTGTAAGGGATTTGTAAGGGCTTATTCGTCAGGGGATTATTTAGTTTCTCACGGGAAAAAATATGTTGGCAATGTTGAGAAGCACAAGTTTCAACAGTCAAATTGACTGGATGCACATGAATTGATGCGACTCTATAAACAAGCCATTCATCCAAATAACTGACACCTGTAATTTAAGGGAAACATATAAAAAACATACATAAATGCAAGTGCCAAACTCCTCAGATTTATCATCACTGAATGAAATGATACTATGACATCATGTAAAACAAGGCATTAACATCATAACATGACAAAATGTCACCACCAAGTTGCTCAAATCTGAAATCTAAAGTCAGATTTGAACTTCTGAAAACTTGTAGATGATTTTGAAAAAATTGGTCAATTTGAAGTAAGTTCAAAAAGACCTTTTTGACCTTTGTTTGACCTTGAGAAGGTAATTGGAGGTCAGATCTCTGAGCTAAAGTCAGATTTGCGCTACAGAGAACTTGTAGATTATTTTGAAAATATTGGTTAAATTGAAGCAAGTTTAAAAAAGATCTTCTTGAGCCAACTTTGGTGGTGACATAATAATGTCACCTTTACCTCTGCTACCCATGACGTCAGTTTTATTTACTTGTCATATACTCTCCACCTCACTTTCAGGGCTGTCTAAATTGACAAATTGTAATTGACCGATCCAAATGTCCATGGCAGACATCTTGAAATACAGATCGATTGATTAATATGATATTTTTTAACGATTGAGCGTAGCGAATAAGTTTGAAAATTATTTAATACTGTGGTACTTCACACAATTTTGATACTAGATATGGGGTGTTCTATAGTTTGTTACGGGGGTGTATATTTGAGTATTTTCTGTTCTAGTTCAGCGACGATAAACGATGGTATTGATTGAATGAGTTGTGAGTGACTTATGTTTGGAAACAGGTTTAGATATATTCAAGTCATTCGGCTTTGTGACGCTACACTAGCAAGCAGCATTCACTAAATTTGCTCGTAGTTTATACTCAAAATGGAAAACGAAGATGGCTTTCTTTCAAGAATGGAGCGTTTGATAGACGAGAAGTTCAGCACTTTGAAACGAGAATTGTCCAAAGATGGCTCAAAACTGGTGAAGAAGATGAAGACAGAAACAAAGTTCCAGAAGAAAAGTCACGAGAAACAGTATGAGCACAACTCTGAGGTGTTGGATAAAATACAAGAGGCTCCCAACTGTCTTGAAGATGGTGAAGATCAAGACATCCAGGGCGCAGTCAGTGCCCTGGCAGAAGGTATGGTTTTGATTAATAAACGAAACAAACTAATCAAAATAGCTGATGAATCTCCACAAGGGTGGGGTGTAGTAGAAGAATATGAACGTAAGAAGCCGCAGATAACAGTGATGACGATAAAAAGATATGTCAAGCTCAATTTAGAGCAGAGAAAAAACAACAGTTCAATAGATATAACAAGAACAATGCATTTAGAAATAACGTCAGTTTCAGAGGCCGAGGCGTTTCAACATTGAACAGGCGGAGGTCTCGATGGGCGAGGTTCCTCATACTCGTCGTACAGCAATGAAAACTCCAAATACAAGCAGAACTTTAACAGAACAGCAGGGCAGCAGATCAGAGCCAACGACATTTGTTTCCGCTGTTCCAGGAGTGGACACTGGGCCAGAGATTGCCAGACAGACATCAGCTCAAAGCAGCAGCAATAGCCAAAAGTTGAGTATAAATCACAAATGCACTTGTAGTCAAAATAGTATGGGAATCAAAAATGTAAAAGGGAAATTGGTAAGAGGAAAATGTAGCATTTTGGAAATCAATTGAGGCTAATCCTTATGTAATAGATGTGATTGAAAACGGTTATAAAATTCCGTTTGAGTCCGACCCAAAGCCTATTATTTTGAAAAACAACAGATCTGATTTGAAAATCAAAAATTTGTAGAAGAAAATATTGAAAGGTTGCTTGAACAGGGTTGTATTATAGAAACATTTGAAGTCCCTAAGGTTGTCAATCCTATCACGGTATCTGTTAATGAAAAGGGTAAACAACGTCAAGTGTTGGACTGTAGGCATATTAACCCTCATATTATTTTGGACAAGGTAAAATTTGATGATGTCAAAGTGGCAAAAGAATATTTTGAACAAGATGACAGTGCTTGTTGTTTCGATATAACCCAAGGCTACAACCATATTGACATTCACAAAGATTCAATGGACTATTTGGGGTTTTCATGGAAGTTTAAAGATGGCATTGTTAGATATTTCAAATATACTGTGCTACCATTTGGAATCAGTACAGGTGGTTTGATATTTACGAAGGTGGTCAGATGCTTGGTCAAACATTGGAGGGCTCTTGGAATTAAGATCATAATTTTCTTGGATGATGCCATTTGGACCAGAAGTAGTGAACTTGACTGTCTGAGAAAATCCTTGATAATAAGGTCTGATTTGATTCAATCTGGATTTGTTCCAAATGACAAGAAATCTATCTGGAAGCCCACTAAAAACTTGGTCTGGTTAGGATTTGGTTGGGATCTGGAAAATGGTAAAATCTATATCCCGGATGTGAAACTGCAATCAATTCTTAAAGAAATCAGAAAGGTTCTGTACAGTACAGGTTATATAATCACAGCAAGGGTTGCGGCCTCTGTAATAGGAAAAATAATATCTGTCAGGGAGGCAATAGGTGATATAGTCATTCTAAAAACAAGGGCGTTGCAAATAGTAGTTGCCTCAAAATCATACTGGGACGTTCAAATCAAGATATCTGATCAGGCTAAGCAAGAATTGTGCTTTTGGGAAAGTAATCTTGAGAGATTGAATGGAAAGATTTTTAAAACATGTCCTGAACATTCTAGAGTTGTATATTCAGATGCATCGGGTAAGGCTTGTGGAGGATATGTAGTGGAATATGAGAATGACGTCTGTTTTCAAAAATGGTCAGAAACTGAGAAAACTAAAAGTTCAACATACAGAGAGCTAAAAGGGGTGTTGGTCACTCTTAAGTCTTTGTCTAGATACCTAGAGGGTCAAATTGTTCGCTGGTTCACGGACAACACTGGTGTAGTTAGTATTATAAACAAGGGTAGCATGATACATGATCTTCAGAACCTTGCTATTGATATTCATGAAACTTGTTTGCAGAAAAACGTGATTGTGAAGCCTGAATGGATTCCCCGGGAATTGAACCAGCAAAATGATAGACTATGATGACTGGGGTATATGCTGGAATATTTTTAATTTTCTAGATACAAGATGGGGAGTGCATACTGTAGACCGATTTGCAGACAACATGAACTCAAAGTCAAACAGATTCAATTCTAGATATGCGTGTGTAGGTGCAGAGGCAGTTGATTCGTTTACTCAGAAATGGTGTGGTGAAATAAATTGGGTTGTTCCACCCATAGCATTGATTGCAAAATCTTTCAGGTTAATGGATGCACAAAGAGCAAGAGGAACAATCGTTGTTCCAAAGTGGCAGTCTTCTGTATACTGGCCAATGTTACATGATGGAAAACGATTCTATAGTTGTATCAAAGAACACATAGAATTCCCACCCGGTGGTGATTATTTTGTGCCCAGAACTCAGAGAGATAGCATTTTCAAAAATGGTTGCTTCAGAAGCACATTGATAGCATTAAAAATAGGCTATTAAAACATTGAAAGGTTATTGTTGTTTAATGTATTGGTGATATCATTGTGTAACAATTTTGTTCGTACGTTTTCAGGATGACATAGACGCAGTAAACGTCAGTGAAGTATGGCAGGAGGTAGAGGCAATTGGAAGAGACAATGTAAATCTTAAACATCTAACAGATGAACTGCCTAGTTTTGTGTTGAAGTCAAGAGAGCCAAAGACTGTAAAAAATTATGAGTATAACTTTTCAAAATTCCATGATTGGTGTAACGAAAGTAGTTTATGTAGTCTACCAGCTAACCCAGTGCACGTTGCACTACATTTATTGAGTGTTACTCAGAATGTCAGTTCAATTTCATCAGTATTATCTGCCGTGTACGCCATAAACTGGAAGCATGAGATATCTTGTTTGGAATCTCCTGGCAACCACAAATTGGTAAAGCTTGTAATAGAAAGTGCTAAAAGGTCACTTGGAACTAAAGTAACAAAAAAGTCTCCAGTCACAGTTGAAATGATTAAGAATATTGTTTCCAAGATGGCTCATTCTTCTGCAAGTGTAAAGGAGCTCAGAACGGTCGCTTTTGTTGTGCTTGGTTTTGCAGGTTTTTTGAGGTAGGACGAAATTTCATCTCTCAGAGCTAAGGACATATCATTTTGTGACACGTTCATGGATATATTCATTGAAAAATCAAAAACAGATATGTATAGATTTGGCAACAATGTAATAATTGCAAAGAAAAACAATGATACATGTCCATATGGTTTACTACAAAGGTATATGCAAGCAATACATGTAGATTCAGATAGCGATTCTTATATATTTGGACTGCTTACATATTTTAAATCAAAGGAGGTTTGTTACCTTAGAAAGTGTAACAAGAAATTGTGTTACTCATCTTGTAGAGACATGGTCTTGAGTGCTTAGAAAGAAATTGGAGTTGAGACATCCAAATTTGGTTTACACAGTCTACGAAGCGGGGGTGCTACTGCAAGTGCAAACAGTAGTTCTGTGAATTTGAGGTTGTTTAAGGCTCATGGGAGGTGGAAAAGTGATTGTTCTAAGGACAGTTATGTGGAAAGTAACATTCAGGAAAGGCTCAAAGTTACACTCAATCTAGGTTTATAATAGGTGAATTATTTAGATCGCTGCTCTATATTTATTTAACGAGCATATACCGTCTTTAATTGAACTGAACCTTAAACTTGTGCCTTATCTTTGTTCTTCGGGAATAGCGGCACATAAGAGCCAATCCAAACTTATATGGTGGTTGTTTTGTTTTAATAATTTAGTACTGAGGACCAGTTTAAATGATATTTTCTAACGATTGAGCATAGCGAATAAGTTTGAAAATTATTTAATACTGTGGTACTTCATACAATTTTGATACTAGATATGGGGTGTTCTATAGTTTGTTACGGGGGTGTATATTTGAGTATTTTCTGTTCTATTTAAGCGACGATAAACGGTGGTATTGATTGAATGAGTTGTGAGTGATTTATGTTTGGAAACAGGTTTAGATATATTCAAGTCATTCGCCTTTGTGACGCTACGCTAGCAAGCAGCATTCACTTAATTTACCAAACAAGGTTGATTGTTTTATAGTATATTGTAAATGTAATTTTATTTCGATATTAATGTTATAAAGAAAGTTGTGTGGTTAGAATTCTTAAATCCTACAAACGCCAATTTCATCTTAGGGGTAGGTGGACCTCCTTGTATAAAAAAAAGATTAAATATACAAGGTACCTTTGGCATTTTGCAAAAGGGGTCGCAGCGAGGTTGGCATTAAAGAATCCAATATGATATTAGCCTACGGGCATAAGTACTGTACTGTAGAAATTATATATTATTACGGTTTCCGAAACCAAACGAATGGGGCTTAATCTAGATAAAAGCTTTGCCTCCGAGGCATATGGAATGAGTTCTATTTTTGAGACAAGGTGAGTAAATTGATTCAGAAATTTTTTTAAAAGGTTTGTCTCCGAGACACATGCATCAAGATTGAATAATTGTTGATTTTTGTCTCCGGGGCATCCATAGATAAAGAATATTTGGCATTAACATTTTACCTCTGAGGAATAAAGATTGAAGATTTGATGATCAAGATTGAACTGTTGTTTGTTTTTGCCTCTGGGGCATCTGTAGATTTGGAATATTTAATACTAAAGGTTTACCTCTGGGGGATCTACTTAAGCATTGATAACGGAACTTTGATATATGGCTTTATATGCCAGGATTATGATCAGATCATAGTCCGGGACGCCTCAGAGGTGCTGCCCAAAAGGTTTTTGTGTATTTGGAGTTTGTATGTAACCGGTTATACTGTAATAAATTGGAATAGCGGCACATAAGAGCCAATGCAAACTTATATGGTGGTTGTTTTGTTTTAATAATTTAGTACGGAGGACCAGTTTTAACTGTAATTTGAGACAGCCACATCTTTTGAGCCATTGGAAGAACATTTCTGGTGGTGATTAGAGTCAACTGAGGTTACTAGTAGTTAGAAATATATGCATAGCTAAGCTTGGAGGAAATGTAGAATGTCACTCGACTTTTTGCATGTCTGCACTTCACAGTTCAAAATCAACTTCTGTAGTAATTTGACATCACCTTCTAAGTCACTGACCTTTTATCGTTTCTCTTAGGGTGATGAAGAGTGACAACTTACACTTCCTCTAGCCTAAGTGTAGCCTTTTTTACTTTTCAAATATAACGTAAGCACTTCTGGTGTGCGACGTGCAACTACGTAGAGATAGGATAGGTCGCTCTTGCGAACTACTTGGGGCTACCTTACATAAAAGTTTTGTAGAAGATTTTCTTCAGAATTTATGCACCAACTGACCAATAGAACTTACTTCCCCAGAACTTGGGCAAACCACTGAAAAATTGAATTCCATTTGACCAAGATCTCATGCTAATTAGTCTAGACAGTAATAGCCTAGTGGATAGTTTAGAAACTAAGACTAGGTTTAGCATAACAAGCAAATACTCACCTACTCGTTATACGGATTCAAAATAGAGAACGGTTTATTTAATCAAGAGGAAAAACTAGTTTTACTTCACATGTTTTGGTTGAGATTGAAAGGTCAAGGTCAAATATCCCAACCAATCAAATCAGTCGATACAAAATCCCTTTGAAATATTAGCCAATCAAATCTGCACTTATGAAATCAAACAAATCTGGCGGCCATATTTGAATCAAATCCATAAATCTTTGGAGCACCAGGAAACCAGCCTATATTATTATGATTATAACGTGCTGAAGATAAACCTGCAAACATCAAGGTAGTAACATATCGTATCTTTTACATTAAGTAAGCATGATATTATACTTATATCCTGATCACTAATGAAACTGAATTTTGAATTCAATAATTTTTGAATTTTTTTTCGATTTTTTTAAAAAAAAAATTCTAGGGCGTAGACTTAGGAGAAGGACTATTTTTGAATCTTTTAATCGGAATAATGTCTAAATCTATGGGTCCAAATTTCACGGGAATTTATAAACAAAATTAACGAAGTCATTGATAGGGTATTATTGTCAGTGTAGACACAGTCTGGGGGTTGCCTATTTGTATAATAAACATTGACGGGGATAATCCCCGCATGTGGCGTAGCTTTTTAACCTTTTGTATGGCAATGAACTTGAATTTTAGCATCTGGTATGAGAATGCGCCTATATGACTTCTAAGGTATGCCAATGCATATTTTTTGACTTTCGGGAATAGATCTAGTCTTGGAAAATACAATACATCACTTTATCTTACAGTATGGCATTTGTCCAGTTGAGTGATTACATATGTCCTCATATTTTTTGCAAAGATCTGCCTTCTTCAACTTTTGAATGTGAGTTTCCTGAGATTTGGACATTTGGTATGGCATGATTGGGCCACTATTTGGACATTTGGTACATGTTGGGGTAAATACAAATTGGTTAGCATTGGAAGATATTGAAATTTGACAGATTGGTATGGGAACATACTGATATCTGAGGGTTCAGCCTTGGACCCCACCAAAGTTTGTATACAGTGGAGACACTGCCATATTGCACAGATGGTCCACAGCTTTTTAAGATTTTTAGCTGTTTTGTTGTGATCAATCCGAGAGATGGATTATTGTTTAAGTAATTTAATGTTTTTTTGACATCTCAGTACTTGGGCATCATCGTGTAAAGGGTATCAATTTTTTCAAAGATTGCTTCCAACAGTTCACTCTCTCTATCCCTTTGAAATCCTCTAAATATGATTTTCAGATGTGAGCAAGCCTGGTTGAGATTTTCCTTACATCGCAATCAAGTTAATTGCTATTAATTGTAAGAGGAAGCTGCAACACACCTAAGGTATTTCAGTCATCACCATTCACCATAATTTCATCTTAAACTGATTTATTTTAGATAAAAAACATGTCTCAGGCACGAAGGCAAGAAACAGAAAGATTGGTGGCGAAACTTCGCAACTCCAACCATGACAAATTCCGCACACTTTGCAAGATGCATTTGTCATTCGTTTTGGATACCAATGGAGAACCATTAGATGATTTCTTGGGAGAATCAAGTGAAAACAGACTTAAGAAACCTTCAAAATCCATGAAAAAGAAAAGTAGGTAGAATTTTGAGAAATGACAATGGGCATGGAAATTAAATGCATCAATGATCTCATGTTTGTAAAATATAATCTAATTATGTGTCGTATGACAGTTTTGTTGATTGTTATACATAGACTTTATGACACTTCAGTATACAAACTGTTAGATGATTGCAGTTGTTGTAAATGATCAGACTAGATTAACTTTGTTTGGGCACTCTTCACACCCTCTTGACCTGTCTGGTGTCTTCCTGGGAAATATTCCTTCTGTCAAGGTCCTATTTTCTCAAGAAAATTTTTAAATGTTTTAGGTTCAAGGGTTTCATAAGCAGCAGGACTCGTTGGAGACTTATGATTTTCCTTGTTTTTTTATCAAAGTTGCAGCTGTTTCCATTTTCAAACTATAATTTTCAGTAACTTTTCCTTTAGGTTTATTCATTTCACCAGAAGTTAGAAATCTCTGAGGTTTTTACAACATTAGGCAAACATGATTATGGCATGCAGAATTTCGCTAATTATGGATAGTAATTACTACAAAAATCATGATTGGGAATTATTACTTTGTCAGATATGTTGGCACCTAACACATGTATAACCTTAACAAAACATTGCGATTGACACCTTCTTGACTCGTCTGGAGCCTTCTTGGAAAGTGTGCTCCCATTCCATTTGTGAACTACAATCTACACTTGAAAAAGAACTGTAGATGCTAAATTAATTGAAAAACAGACTGAAATCCATCAGAAAACAACTTTATAATAGGTACATTATATCTGATATACCAGTTGGTACAAAATGTTTCTTTAATCTGGATACGTATTGCTACACAAGATGATGATAAGTGCTAATTACATTGTCAGGTAATCAGATATTACAATTGTATCTTGATAGGTCTGTCACCCTTTGTGGTGTTAAGAAAACAAACCAACAAATGGCTAGTTATCTTTTAATTTGGTCTGACAGCTTTTCTACATGCAATGATTGGTGCCTAAGACAAATTAGACATATTGTAGCAAGCAAATTACCTTCACTATCACTCCTATTTGGAAAGTGATCAAAAAGGTTTTTTCCATGTTGAGACAGTCAGGTGCCTAAGACAAATTAATAAACAATTAGGCATATTGCTAGCAAGCATATAAGCTTCACCATCAGTGGTATTATGTCCATGAAACCTGCAGTCTGTCAATATTTTGGTCGGAATATCATAGATATGAGGGGGTTCGAAATAAACTGATTATTTAGCCTGTCGAAGTTTTGGAATATTATAGATAAACTGTGATTTTTTTGCTTTCCAATATTGGGGAATATCATAGATATGATGGGGTTTGAAATAAACTGGATTATTTTGCCTCACTTCAAGTATTTGTGACCCCTCCCCATTCACATCATGGGGAGGCATGAGAGGCATCAAAAGCAAAAAGAAGGGCTCATGAGACATGACAAAAGAGAATGGTCAGAGATTTACCAGCATGTTTAGAACATATAGTATTCCACATGTTTACTCAGCAATCTTCCATGTAGGGACTCAAAATGTTCCAGTTTGAATTAACAGAAATCATCAACTGGAATTTTGGGAAACTACAGTGTCCAATTGTTTGATTTCGCTTCTTAAAAGAGAGCTTCGCCTGCTTTTAACTTCTGCGTGCAGGGTATTGGGAAACTTACTGGGCCTTAAACTTTTATTGCTGTACATTCAAATTGGTTTTGTGAAAGTGTTATTTGAGTATTATTGATTAAATTTGGTATTATTCCTTTGAACATAAAGGAAATCTCCAATAATCCAATTCACTGTTAATTTTCTTTCATTTAAATCCAGTTAAGCATGTGTATTTACTTAGCTATTTATATGTGTAATTGAATGTATGATAATCTTCTAATCTCGCATAATTACTACAAAAATAATAAACATACACATGTATGTAATAATATCCTCAAACTAAGTCTGTAAGCAGCACATAATCTGAGATTAAATATGTGTAAATTTGCATAAGGATGTGAATGTGAAAGCAAATTTCATTAAGCTGTACATCCTACATACATTTCTATCCTGATGATTACACTGGTATATGCTGATTGCATTAAGTGCATATGATCCAACATTACATATCTAACATATCCTGGGTTTCAATAACATTTCTGTCAACAACACTCAACAGGCCCGTAGCCATGGCGGGGGGGGGTTGAGCGAACCTCCCCCCTGGCCGAAAGTTGTTTCATCCCCAAGGCAGGCAAAATACATGAAGAAGAACAGGCAAAACTATGGGAAAAATATCAAGTTTTGAAATTCAACAGGTGATTTTTGGGAAAAATCAAAAATTGCCTTTTGACTGCTGCTTATGAAAGCCCTGCATGATATATTTCATGACATTGTTAGAAGTTTGTGTCTTTAGTCATTAGCTTTAACCAAGGATTATTGTGCACATTTGGTGTTTGATGTCTGATATCTGTCTGATATCTGCTACAATTTCCTGTATTCAGTAAAAAATAATATAACATTTTATTATTTTATTGACCCATAACATAAAATCACTAATTGAGTTTTCCTTTTATTCCAGGCTCTAACACACCTGTCAAAGGAGCCGCACTCTTAGACCAAGACTCTATTAGCAAAGTTGTGAAACTTATCGAGTTTCTCAAAAAACCAGAAAATTTAAAACAAGAAGGACTCTTCAGGAAAACTGGACATATTGGACGGCAGCGTAAATTGAAGGAAAACTTGCTGAGCAGAACAGCATTGGACCTAGATTCGGGACATTATAATGCCCATGATTGTGCCAGTGTATTGAAGAGTTTTCTTGGAGATCTACCAGAACCATTGCTAACTGAGAACCATTATGCTGCCTACTGCCAGATCCCAGGTGATCCATATGTTTAATAATTAGCCTCGGTGATTTACCCAGTATTGAATTTGGGTGTTTTTCCCACTAGAAAATTTGAAAATCAGAAATCAAAACTGCACCAATGAACAATGGAAACAGATCTAATATAAAAAAGTTAGTGAAATCTCAAAGCCCATATTTTTTGTACAATCTATCAACTTATACAGGTATCCTATTTGAATTTCATTTTCACTGGTTCCCACCTGGTTATAAAGACAAAAATGGATGGACTTCCATTGGAGGGAATTTTATAAAGACTTAACGTCTTTATAACCAGTGATTTTGAACATGAAAGCTACACAGTTTTTAACAATCAGACCTGAAAATATAAACAATATTTATTTCTTTGTAGACATAGTAAAGATGTCTGCTGATAAAGGAGTATCAGATGAACAACATGCAGCTAATGTACGGGTACAGCTGTTGAAACAACGGAAGGCAACACAGCTGTTATTACTGCTGTTACCACGCTACAACAGCTCCTTACTTGAGTGTCTCCTACAGCTGCTACATAAAGTCTCACAGGTCCCCGAGAACCTCATGACGGCAGAATCTTTAGGAACATTGTTTGCACCTCACATAATTATGCCAAGATCAGTGAGTATTGATTTTCTTTATGTCATAAAACTCTAAATGTCATCAAGATTTTCCACATGGTAACAGTAATCAAGGAGACGGAAAACAAAATCACTTTATTTTTGGTTCATGTATAACCTGAAACGTTTCAAGATAATTGGGAACATTAAATAAAAAACTTAGATAGGTTGTCTGAATTGTATTTAAAGCCATTCCATTGGACTTTCTTATTGGTGTGTTCTCATTGAATTTGTAACTGTTCACATAGAGTTATATTTATATTTTTCAAACTATGTGTAGTCTGTTTTATATCATCACCAGTTTTGATGTGTATTCCATGTACAAACATTTTGTGTCGCTATTATGAATGTTGTTTTTGCTTTCAGATGACAGCTTGTAATCTAGCCGCTGCCTCCAATACAATTACACGAGTCATGGCATACTTGATAGAAAATGCTCTCACCCTGTTTAAGGTAACTTGTTTTCTTGAAGACAGTATTGTTCCATACATGGCACCAACAACTCTGTACTCGCAATGTTAATTGATTTTATAACTGGCAATTGAGTGTTTGTAATATCATTATCTGCAACTCAGTTTTACCATAATGGACTGAAAGCTCAACTAGCTTCATTCTTATAATAAAAGTTATTAGAAATTGAAAGTTTTAGTAAAAAAAGAGATGAAATGATCCCTTTCCAATTACGTTTGATGCAAAAAAACTATCATGCTAGATTCCAGAAGATTTGGTGGTTGATATAGAGAAGAATATGAAAGAACCTTTGGCCACAACAAAGGAGTCTGAAGTGTCATCAAGGAAGATGGTAGACTTGGATATTTCTCAAAACCCAACTGTTTACCTGTACAAAATCTCAAAATGTTCATTGTAGCCAAATTGAGAATTAATAATTGGAAATCTAGTGGCCTAGAACCCATTTACTAGTTTCTCCTCGAATTTAGATGCCTCTTAGTCTGAATTATCAATTTGTTGTCTCAAAGAAAAAACTAGTATAAAGATATATGGTATTTGTCAGTTGAAAATGGACATTTTGAGTTTTAAAGGTTTCCACATGTTATAATGTTATTGTTTTTTATGTTATGTTTTATGTGCATTTATGTACTATAGTCTCTTTAATTCCATAACATGACCAAATGCAAAAAATTTCCAACTTTTTGTGGATGGTGTTTGGTGTTCGGCAGTTGCTGCCTGTAACAAATGGCCGGTAGTGACCTTTTGCATGTTAATGCCATGTTTGCTTCATGTAATGGTTTAAAGAAACTTTAATGCTATAAATGATGCACAGATGTACAGCACAGTTGTACAGCACAGTATGTATGTATTATAATATTACGTTAGTCTTACTCTATGTTATTGTGTTCCATTGTTCTACTAACATTGACACACAAACGCTTCTACAGATTCCAAAGGAGCTAGCCGTGGATGTATCTAACTACTGGAGTTCTGCTGATGACCTCCCCGATGGCCCCTCCCCCACCCCCAAGCCACGTGCATGTAGGGTAAGAGGATGTTTGTCCCCCTGTGTTCAGGTAACAGCATTAACATTGTGTACTTGTCTCGCTAATGTTACTCATGTTAAAAATTTAGTAGCTAGATATATTTGTATTATAGTATTCTTTATAAACTCTCATGTTTTGCTTATATGTTGTAAGTAACTATTTCTTTACAAGCAAAACTAAAAATTGGCAAGGGGTTTAGAGTTGTCTGTGATTGTAGTTGAATTACTTGAAACATTGATTGTAAATAACAGCAGTATCTGTTCCTCTCTTCACATGTGACTTTGTTGTCAATCTCTTGCTATGTTAATATCATAATAGAATTGCGTGCAGTTCACTTTTTGTTCTTTCTGTGTATAGATACATGTGTTTTGTATGGTCAGGTTTTAGATACAGGGTTCTTCCATTGGGAAATTATAATATGTGTAAATATCTCCCTAAGGATAAACCCTGCATATAGAACCACCCTGTCCACGACCCTTACTGACATCATACTGATTAGAATGTTTCTCTTTGAGGTTGATATTTTGATTGTAGTGCGGTGTATAGTGCTCTTTGTAAATACTGTATTTCTAACACAGATCAATGTCTGCTTTGATAAATGAATAAGTGTAGATTAGATATTAATATTTGATGATATGATATAACATTGTCTTATAGATTTTCTTTTTTGAATTGGTTATTATATTTTCTAAATTTTTTTATAATATTGAATTAAACTGGCAATAATAATATTTCAGAAGCGCCATCTGGAGGAAGAACCTGAGTTGGTTACTGTGGTAACATCAGTAAACAGAAAGCAATCTGCTGAATTGCAAGCAGAGACTGATACTGAAGTAGAACTTGCCAAACTATACGCCCATATACAATCTCTACCAGATAACAAGCAAACCAGAAAACTTTTAAAAAAGGTACAACCCTAATATAGACTGCATACAGTAGAGTCAATACGTCTAAATCCAAGCAGGGGGGTAAACCCGAACGGGTTGCAAACGATGGCAAGCAAATTATTGAATTGAATAATAGTACCTCTACTACCTCTATATAATATTTATATCCTGAATGATACCATATAATGATATATACCAACACTCTAATGATAAAATAATGAATTATGATGTTTGGGGGGTTCGGAATTACCCCCATGCTAGTGTTTGGAATTACCCCCACAAACCCTATGCCTTTAAATAAATAGATGTCACTTATAAATCAATTATATTTGGGGTTATTGATATGCAGGGGTGTCAGGATCCAGTATCATTAGTTCAGGGTACCATATAATGATATACCATATTTTTTTCTGCAAATGCATTTTACAGCATCTAATTCACATAACATATATAAAATTATTCTACAGATGTGCAGTACAGCCATGCTAACTACATTTTTGATGGGGGTGTTTGGAAATAGACGTATTGACTCTATACAGTTATGTGTGTTACAGTATGTTAAAAGAGAGATTTCCGAATTCATTTAAATTGTCGTATTGCATTACAATTTTTGAAACAATTGAGTGCAGGCACCATTAAAAATAAATACATTGATCATTGGCATGGGGTTGTAATACATGTAATATATTATGGAACAATAAGGTTTTATACTGTTCAATGAACAGGATGGGGTTTAGAGCCTTCATTAAAATTGGACCCATGAATATTGCATGAGTATAGCTCCAATATAAAAATATCTGTTTTATTAGTTCAACAAAGCAAACCACCATGGGACTACCACTCCAGGCCAGCAGTCTAATAAGCACAAGAGAAGTCGATCCTTAGGAAATCAGATCAAGGTACATACATATTTGATATTAATACTGTCTAACTTGTCTTTGTTCTGTCAAATTACCTGTAGTTTTTTTTTGTTTTTAAATTACTGATTTGTCCATTTCTATCAAATGACCAACATTATAATAATTTACACTTTCTGGTTGATCATTGTTGTATCAATGAAAATCTTATTGCAATCCTTTTATTACTATGAGTTATAAGTTATAAAAAAAGTCAATTTTTATTATTTGAATATGATCTGTAATGTTATAGCAAAAGTTCAGTAGGAAACACCAACGTGGCCGCACAGGGTCAGACAGTTCCCCAATCACAGCTTCAGTCAACACCACATCTAGGTCTGATATTGGCACGAGGTCATACATTACAGCAAGGCCAGATATTACATCTAGATTTGGCACACCACAGGTAAGTTACGTTAAGAACACCAATCTTGATGTAGATTGGGTAATAAAGTTATAATATGTCCTGCAGAATATATATGTTTTATGTCATAAAAAAGTTATTTGTTTTGTAATCTGTATCTGTAGTACTGTGTGATTGTAACTTGTTCATGTTCTGTAGCCCTACAATAAGTGGACTCCAAATACATCTGTTAAATCAGCCAATAAGTATCACTATGTAAGTTCTTTGTCTTCGTGTGGAGATCATATTTGGACTGTAAAAGGTAGCTTAAGCAGTAATTTCTTTTAGTTCACTTGATAAGTGAAGATTGTACATTTATTGGTACTGATTTTTATGACAATATTGCGGTAGGACATTGAAATGCAAATCAATAATTTTATCAATGGGTTTTATTTAATTTTGATGATATTTTTCTGAATAACATATTTGTACAGGTGTCTATTTTATTGTACTTGAGCTACCTTAAAGATAATTTTAATAAAACTGGCATGGCTGGGTTGGAACTATACTATATGACAAATATTATAAATGCACACCATATAATGGGACAAGAACTAAGACCTTACTTCTAGCTTTCTTTATTCTATAACCCCATTTTCTTCCAATTGTACCTAATACCATTAAAATTATATATTATTGATAATCTTCCATAAAACCCATGAATGAAATCCCCTCTATAAGATGAATACTAATGATACCTTGTGAAAAGGCTAGTTTTTAACATTCCTGAAAATCTTAATTTTGCTCATTTGTTTGCCTATTTTCAATCAAACAGCTCATGGGTTGATTTGAAATTTTCAGGGATGTATTTTGGTATGAAAATATAGAACTGATTAGTTTACATTTTTAGGCATATTTGGTAAATTTAATGTGTGGAATTGTTCACCATATGCTTTGTAATTAGTGGAATTGTCAAAATGAACATTAGACTCAATTATATTGTAATTTTTCTCCCCAGAGTCCAGATTGCCAAAATAGCACAGACTACTCGTTACATTACACACCCCCAACCAAACAAATCTTCCTGGACCATGGAGTTGAATGGACTGTACGTGGTAACACCCGAGTGACCAAAAATCTGCATTTTACTTTATAGATTGCACTTGATTTATAGTAGATAGTACTCTATATATTGCACATGTGTGTGTTTCTTTGCAATGAATATGACATTTCTTGGATATTGCATGATGTTTTCAACAAAACTGCTAGAGTATTTAGTGCTAATAAGATTTGTTTTAATTAATAAAACTTTCTATACTTCTCGTCTCACTCTGAACTCACAAAAATATGTACCTGCACTTTTGATAGTATTTGACATTAGAATAAGCACTATTCTTGGTGTTCAAATATTTTAAGTGTTAGTGTTATTCATTGAATGAATATCATCTAAAAGTTCATAAGTTGTCAACCATCCACAGCTCAGGAATTAAAGAGCGTCACTTTTGACAAAACTCCATTTTAATATGTTGACAACCAGTTTACTTCCAAGTCCATAACAACACAGATCCCAAAACATGAATAAGTGAATAGGCCCATGAAACTCATTTTGAACATCTGATATAATCCTTAAGACTTTGAGTTCTTTTTACAACATGCTTGATTCTAACATAGTTTAAAATTAGACATATAACCCACAGCACCTCTTCAAATTATATAAACTATAAACTTTGAGATAGTATCGGCTAAATCAGATTTCTTTTCCACCCTCTAATTTTAGCACAGTTTGTCCCTTACTGAATAGTAACATAAACACAGCATGAATAATATATGATTATGATAATAATATTTTAAGTAAAGTGTTCACTTGGTACTTTTAATGAAATGCATTTTACATCTTTAAGCATTTTAAAGGAATTAGGAGGGGTAGAGTGTGAATTATTGAAACATGTTGGACATTTAAGACTAATGAGAACAAAAAACATTTTCAAAATTTTCTTCCAACTTGTCTCTATCCCTTTTAATTTGTCCTTATAAGATAAGGTGCACAAATGACAACAGTTGTAGAAGTTAATTTTTGAGGACAATTTAAGAGAAGAATGTTAATTATTTAAATACATGTGAAAGGGAAATCAACATTTTCAAATTTTGTTGTATGGGAGTGGGGGAGGGTTTAACCATATTGACTTGAATTTTCTACAACTGTTAATTTTTGGATGCCATCCCTGGAAGTGCATGAGGATTGTGTGAACAACGTGATTGAAATATGACTGTTTCAAAGTTGAATAAAATTGTTGAAAATATGTAGGTAAAATACAGTTCAGTTCAAAATAATTTTATGCAAACATATTTTTAATAAATTGGTACATATGTAATTTTGATTTTTGACAGGATCCAGCACCATGTTGCTGTAATGCTTTGTAGATTATTGAATTATTTGTATTTTTGCCGTCTATGTCAAGCAGTTAATTCCCAGTAGTGTACACAGCCCTAGTAAGACAAGGCCTGTTTGTTAATGGATTGCCTCAAATTGAGAGATTTCTTGTGGCTCTGTGATAAACTGTTTTGTATTCTAAATGACAATTAAAGTGATAATTGATATTATTGCAGCCATCCAGTCCAGTCCATATAGTGGAGATGACCAGCAAGCCTCCAGTCTCAAGTAGGTCAAGCCGGGTGACTGGCAGGCCTCCTGTCTACAGACAGAACTGTCAACCCTCCTCTACAGCCACAACGCAGATGTACACTGAGAAACCGCTTACATCGGGTGACCGACAGGCATCTATAGATAGTGGGATTGATGTATGTCACACTGTAATGTCAGCAGATTGTGGCACCAGCCCACCAGCTTATCTAAGTGGGACACAGTCCAATGATCAGGTAAATTACATGCATTTATCAAAAGATTTGATGACCCCTTGAAAATTTCTCAGTAGATGGCCGTCATGGTATTGTAGAGCTAACATGTTTTCTTGTAAATACGCATTTCTTGGAGAGGTTTTGGTACATGGCATTGTTGCATTCTATTAATTATAGTTGCTTCGAAAATCTCACACTAAAATTATGGCTTATTATGTCAACACCAGAAGTGGTTACACTTTCCAACTTTTTGTGAATGGCAGTTGGCGTTTTTGACATCTGTAACGGGTGTCTGTAACAAATGGCAGGGTTGGTGGTGACATTGTGCATGTTAATGTCTTGTTTCTGTGGCGATAGCAAAACAACTTGGTATTGATAAATTCTTTGCGTATGGAAACACATAGCATAGAAAATTGTATATTCACTAATTTGAAATTGACAACCTGTATCATATTTCCAGGATACTGGAGCTGTACTGAGGGAGCGGGTCTCCAGAAGTAACAGGCAGCTAATCCACCCTGTGTATGAACCGCCCTTGAAGAAGATTCTAACCAGCCCTGAAAATACAACAGAGCAAAAAACGCAGTTTATATCCCCCATAAGTCAAACCATACGCCAAGGTCCACCCTCGTTACATGTAAGTCAATGGGAAGTTTTTAATGCACTTTTGTGATACATGCTTTGATTGGAATTCTACAATTAAAAGTTCATATTAACCATGCTTTTCTCATACATTGCAATTGAGCAATGCGTAGCAATTGTATAGAACTGTGAAAAGACCAATTTTGAGTTAACTTCATCCTGCCAGTCATGAAAAGTTTTTTCATCAAGTAATTGCGAGTTCACTCCTCTTTAGTATTCATATTTTTCACAGCTAAATGTGTGCTTAATTAATTGATATGCGCAAATATGAAGAGCTTTTAGATCCTATTACTTGCTTTATATGTTGAATATTGTGATAAAATTGCTTCATGTGTCATTTTTTATTGAACTGTTTTATTATCCCATCGAACGAAGTTCGGAGGGATATAGGGAACGCCTCCGTCCGTCCGTCCGTCCGTCCGTACGTACGTACGTCCGTCCGTCCGTCTGTCCGTCCGTCCGGGCAATAACTCAAATACCGTTGGCCCGATTTTGTTCATATTTTGTACACATATACCCTATGGTGGTAGAAGTTCTGCTCAAAAGCCAATTTTCAAAATGGCCGCTCATTTCAAAATGGCGGCCATTTTAGTGCCGATTTTACAGTAATTAAGTTGCAATATGTAAAACTGTAATAGCAATATGTTTTAAATGTAAAAAAATTATAAAGGACATTAATAATGCTACAATAGATATTAAAGAAGCACATGGCAGCCATCTTGAAAAATGGCGGCCTTTACTCGTCATTTTACGATTTTTGCTGTAACTCAAAAAATAGTGGAGCGATTTTGTTCATATTTGGTATGTGAATACTATAAGCATTGCACACTGTCTAAAGACACTTTTGGTAGAAGGCGGCCATTTTGAAAAATGGCCCCCATTTTAACGTATTTTACTATAACTCGAAAAGTAGTGGAGCGATTTTGTTCATATTTGGTATGTGAATACTATAAGCATGGCACACTGTCCTATGACACTTTGGGTAGAAGGCGGCCATTTTGAAAAATGGCCACCATTTTAACATATTTTACTATAACTCGAAAAGTAGTGGAGAGATTTTGTTCATATTTGATATGTGAATACTTTAAGCATGGCACATTGTCTAATAAAACATTTGGGAGTAGTCGGCAATTTTGAAAAATGGCCACCATTTTTATGTGTGTTATTTTACAAGTACGTGTGCGATTTCAAAAATTTTAGAGGTGGTTACTTAAAAGCATATTATTTCTTCTGATGACAACTTGGCTAGTGAGCAACCATTTTGAAAATGGTGGCTTTTCTGGTGTTTTGTTTTATGATATTTGCTATTCGTTTGTAAAAATGCCAGCCATTTCTGTTCGATGGGATTCGCTACGCTTTGGCGTTGCCGTTGTTCTGGTTGCATACACTAATGGAATTGAAGTCTTTAATGAAAGGGGTGTGCAATAAATTACAGTTTCAGCTTTTCTTAGTTAGAATCACTTTCCACTTGCTTAAATAGCATTTGTCCACATTTCAGGAGGGAAAATGAAGAATTGATAATAATTAAAAATCTAGAAATAAATATTAATTAAATTTATTCAATGACGTTTTAGGCAAGGTCATGTTGCAGTAACCCTCGTGATCAGAGTGTCCGGGAATATGTATTCATATAGGTACTTTGCTATGATAACAGCTATTTGCAGTTAGCTAAAGGTGGCACTCCCGCATAATATGTCATCCTCATGTCCTTGCTAACAATATTATGGTTGTTTATTTATCATAAAACCCCAAAATATGTTGATCATTGGAACTGAATGTATACAAGTAAACTTCAAAAATCCCAACAAAACTTTTATCTTGGCCCACCAGAGCCCCTTAAAAATGAAATTTTCCAGAGTATAGATTGCAGCACATCCTCCAAAATAAATCTCAATCTTCTCGATCTGCCCTAAGAATGAATATGTTTTGAGCAATTTTGCTTTTTGATATGATTCAACCATCATAATATTGTACATTTGATTTCCAGTGCAGCTTAGGAGTTAGCTTGTTAATATTTATTTATGTTTATTGTTTCGTTTTATTAATATATTAATTTCCCCCTGGTGTCACTGCAGACCGTTGTAGAATGCACATCCCTATTATGTGTGTCACCATGTTTCAAGACATATTTCAACAAGCTCTCAAATGTGTATTCAAAATTCTGATATCACCATAGCCTGGAAGGTTTTTTGAAAAGTTTGGTAGTTAATCGGTGCTGATGCTTAAAATGTTTCGAGCATTTGGGAACAAATACAAAAAGTCAATGGACAATATGTTTGCATTATGGTATTCTGGAAAATTAAGATAAAATCTGAACAAACCATCATAAAGACAGCCTCGATCTGCTTCCAATGATGTTTAATATAACAATTAACAAGGGTGGTCTTTTCACATGAATCCTTGATGGTATCATGAGATGACTTTCTTCGGTGCATGGTGTGCTAATGCAATTTAAAATTACTGACTGCACCACATGAATTCTTGAGATAAATGAGTGCAAAAATACTTGAACATACATCATTACTTCTCCCTCAATTTTGCGAGATTATCTTGATTTAAGCCTCAGTCACATTTGCTCTTTGGTGGGCATATGGTGGGTGTAGCTACACAAAAATTGATAAAAAGTCTATGTCATAGTGCTTTTCCCTGTATTTCTCTTGAATTTGGGAAGCTACCTATGCCATATTGTTAGGTTGTCATAGATCAAATGCGACTGAGGCATAATCATGCTTATGGTCTGTTCACAGAATCCCTGTGTTTTACCTTGTCATAAACTAGAAATCATGTCAAAGCTAAGCAAAAATTAACAAGTGCTGTGTTTTTCATTATTCTAGGCTCGTTACATCTTTAACCTGTGAACCAGCAAGCTTACTGACTCAGGAGGCTTTTAATCAAGTAGGCACCATGATGAACCCACCCCTCCCCTTGTTTGACTAACTGGATACACATACATATATATTATTATATCAGTGGATGATTTAATGTAAAATGAGAAATTTGGGAGTAAATTATTTATTTTATGTTTTCTTTTTTTTGCTTATATTTTTGTGATTTATTTTGCCAGTACTATTCATTTATCACATTTCCCATTTGGCTCCATTCTGAGATTTGATATGAAATTTTAAAATTTGGTAAAGATAGAAAAAGTTTTGTCTTTCTTCAAAATTAAGTCTCAAGTAAAATTTCTCATTTTACAGATTTTCTCTGAGGGGAAAAGTCCAGGAAAGATTAAAATCAAAAGCCTGTCATCTTATTTCAAAAGAGTGACATTTATCGCAAAATGAATCCAATCATTGTGAATGATAAGATCTTATGGGATAAGTTCATCCACTGGCATATTATAGAGCACATTGCTAAGTATTACTAATATTATGGCCATTGTTAGAAATACTGTATAAGTCAACTCAAACTCACAATATTTCCATAATAACAGACACTGTTAATAATGCATGGCACAAAGTCGTCATAGTAACTTTGACAACTCATAGGCAGTTGTATTGTTCCCTGAAAGGGTAGACCTCTTAGAGTTTATTGGTACCATATGGTACCATAACAGGGGCATTGCGCTCTATTTTCATGATGATGCACAGGTAAATTAATTATTTGTTTAGATAACAAGTGATTGACGATACAACGGCTACTCTTAGTAAAATATGAACATCAACACTTTTTTTAAATTGTTCCTGAGAAGTTTATTCCAATTGTATTGCATATATCCATTTGATATTTAAACATACATACAATATTGCATTCAATGCAAATATGTTCAATATTTATAGAAGAATATTTGTCATTGATCATTTATTTCATATTAGTTTTTCTCCTCTCAAATTTTAATATCTGATTATTTCATTTGACCTGAAATGAATTTGAATCACCAACTGTGAAATCGATTTGGGTTCATCCAAAGCCCTTATCAGGTTGCTGGGATTGCACAAAAACTTACACCCACCTGATAAACATCCTGGGGAAACCTCTGATGTGTATATGTACAATATGTTACCTTTACTTTTAATCTTTGTCTCAATGCATTGTCTTGTTAATTGAACTATATATGTACATTCTGGTTACAAATGTTAATAAAATTGTTTACGAAGTCTCGTCACATCGAAAACTAACATTGTCATCATAATTTTCCTCATGAAGTGACCCCTATTTTTGTATGTTAAAAGTAGAATATCTTTTGTATATGCATGGGTAAGGCTAGATATATTTTACTAACCTTCTTCATCATCCAAATAAAGGGCTTTATGACTGAATGACCTGTAGCCAGCTTTTGTCAAGGGGGTTCACTTTTCAAAAAATATCAGGGGGGTTCACAACTGGAAAAGAGGTCAGAATGGTGAAAAACTGCATGATATTGAAAGAACCTTTGGGCAAGGGGGGAAGTTGCCCAAACCCCCCTGGCTACAGGCCAGTGTCTGCTTGAAAATACCAAAAAATAATGACGTTGGCTTGTGTTGATTGGTATATGGGGGGACAGCAGATAAGGACTAATGCCAAGATCTGATTAAGTTTTGAGCATGCTGGGTAATTTGCAGGCAGCCATTTTGTATCCTTCTAATACAGTCTAGTGCACAGGTCAAGAAAATGTCTCAACTTGCAGCTACCCCATTGCCCCACATTTTTTACAGTCATTTAATTCTCCTAGCTTTGCACTAGGCTGTACTGAAATGCAGTCTGGAGCTCTGAATTTTGGATGACAGTATGATTCTTTTTTTCAGAGCCTCTTTTGTGTTTGCATGTTTTTTAATTTGCATGTATTGCATCATAGGTTTTATTAATGCAGATTATTTCATTGTGCAAATTTTTTTTTAAAAATGAGATTTTTCTTATACATCAATTATTGATCATTATAGGACTGAATTTAAAATTAGCATTTGGAAGTATATTATATTTATATAAATAAATGAACACTTCACATTATTTTTTGCAATAAGTTAAAAAACTATGGAGTAATGTAAAGTCATTTAGATTCTGAATATTATTTTAAAAGTTTCTTCATATCTAAACATTCTTTAACCAATGTCTTTCCAGAAACAAGTGACCACGCCAAGATCTCGGAAACCCATGTCAATCGTGCAATCTCCCTCAGAGTCACCTGTGGTGCAATTCAAGAGACGCATTAAACATACACGATTTTAGATTTCAAGAACCGTGATACTTCAGTATTGGATACAAGAGTATTGGATGATACACAAAGGAAATAAAACTAGGAGTATAGGATAGTGTAGGATAAACTACATTATTAGAAGAATTAATCAAAGATAACAGGACTTCTATATTTGAATCTACATTGTTGAAGCTCGGAGCTCCAAAATTGTACATATTATGCAATAAAATAGATGTACTATAAAACACAACCATAACATGCACACACATTTAACATAATTGTACAAATAATCATTTGGACATTGGGTCCATTTTTGGTATGATCATTCCAAGAAAACCATTTTCATAAGAAGCAGGGAACATGCAATTCTCAATTTTTGGGGAAGATATTTAAGCTACAGTTTCCATGATTCAATTTATTTAATACATGTACCTGTTAATTTCATTATTTTGCCTGTTGTCATTTTTTAGAATGAATCCACTGAGCTTCGTAGGTTTGAGACTACATTATTCATGTGTTCGTTTATAAGAAGTGTTTATGTTCAAGAGGTGTTCACATTAGACTAAGTGGTGTTTACATTTGAGAAGTGAGGTGTTCACATGTTAGTAAAAACACACAGGCTTTTGTAATTTGGATTGAATAACTTTTATCCAAAAAGTCATAAAACAATACAATCAACACGTATACTGCTGTTTAAAGTAAGATTAAGAATCAGAATTCACATTAATTAAATGGAATTTGATGAAATCATATTAAATTTTAGGATAACAAATCTATTGCATATTCATATTTGACATACAATCAAATATGATCTATGTTTGTCATAGAAAAATAAAATGCTGGCGTAGATCTATTGTATATGTCATACATTTTTATTTCCATAACAAATATAGATCATATTTGATGGTGTATGTCAAATAAAGGCCACATATATTATACAAATGAAGGTCATTTATGACAAATGTAGGTCAAATATTGTATATGAGATGGCGAATGTAGGTCAAATATTGTACATGAGATGAGGAATGTAGGTCAAATATTGTACATGAGATGAGGAATGTAGGTCAAATATATTACATGACACATGTAGACTAATGAAATAATATGTGATAACTGTACATTGTACAATAACAAATGTTAAAAATATCAATACAAGCGTTTGTAAATAGATGTATATCCTATGAATTGTCAAACATGTGTAACATAGTCATACCACTGTATATATCTCACTCACAATACAAACCTTGTTAGATAATAAATGTATATCTGTATTATATTGAAAAATTTGGATACTGTTGTCTTCATGGATGAAGGTTTTAACTTGAGTGAGTAGACTATCTCTTTTGAAATGGCGAAATATTGGGCGATAATCTAATGTTTTTCATTTTAAACCAAAGAAATGAATATCATTTTTTGAAATTTTGGTAGTATATTCACAACATCTATATATATGTCACATATATTCTGTGTTTTTCAGCCTGACCCACAGGGGCTGAGTATGGGGGTCGGGAAAATAGGAATTTTTGTTAATTTTAAGATCTTTCTGAAGTATAACTTTATTATACTCAAATGAAAGGTTTAGAGTAGATTGCAAATATTGTATCGTTTTTCTAATTCAGGCCTCATAAAATTCAAAATGGCTGTCTAGCGTAGAATTTCTCAATAATTTCCCAATCTCCTCAAAGTATGATTATATTATACTCAAATTGAAGGAATTTTAGAATAGATCACAATTATGGTGTTGTTTTTCTGATTCTTGCTTCTGAAAATTCAAAATGGCTACCGAGCAAAAATGCGCTGTCAAAGTATCGTTACATTATACTACTAGTATATTAGATCTCAAATATTTATTGTCTTTATGATTTGTGCCTTTGACACTCCTCAGTGGTCATCCAAATGCTTAAATTGGAAACTAACATATTTCTTATGTATGACTTTTAATATCTGCAAATTTAATCAACAGTAAAGTACAGGGTGTTTCATAAAAAATGCAACCCACTTAACAATGTATATCTTGTAGCGAATAGAGAATGACAAATCTTGTTTGACAGAATTAAAGTTCGTTCAATGTCCTTTAAGTTGATAACGTTTCATCACTGTACGTGTATGTTCTGTTTGCTGGCCATTTAAAGAACCTGCCCCAAATTTCTACCACTTTTCTGAAGACAGACTTGCACACTTTATGCGATGTTGTTGACAACACACATAATAAAATATGCATATTTTTATTGGAACATGTTTCTTATACTGAATCCTAGAACCATTGCAGAGCTCAAACTATAGATAATACGAAAGATAAGGACATTTAGCAGTCTGTCAGAAGAGAGGTGGTAGCCATTTGCAGCACATTCTTTATATTGGCACGGGTCATACATAAGCTACATTGAATAATCTTGCTCAACTTAAAGGACATTGAACTACCTCTGCTCCTGCCAAAAGAGATTGTTCAACCTTCATTGGTAAAAAAGATATGCATTGTAAAGTATGTGGGTTGCATCTTTTTTGAAACACCCTGTAGATGTTAAATATTACATTGTGACATACATTTATAAAGATACATGAATTCGTTGGGATTTCCTACTCCGTGGAGCTGCTGGCTTCTAGTTTAACGAGGTGTCATAATCCTGCTTCAAATTCTCCTAGCTCAGACAATTAATCGGCGTTAATTCATTGATATTATTAGATTCTCCAAGTGAAACATAACCTCTGTTTTGTAGATATGACTTTGGCTGACTGTTCAAATAGGAGCTGGAGAACGAGATCTGTGCTGCAGTAAATGACGAACGCAATAAATGTATAACACTGAAAAATATCAGATTGGAAAGTGATTGTCATCTTTCTTTTTCTCATTAACATGATAAAAATAGATAACTCTTACATTATTGTATTATTTTACGAATATAATTTAAACGCACTTCCTACCATACTGTATCATATACCATGGTATTACAGTATCAAGACGTTTCACCCTTTAAACATTTCACCCCTGGCCAATTCATCCCCATATTTATGTACAATGTATACAGGGTAGTCCAAAAGGCGAACCATTGAATCAGGCCTTATCGCAGTTATTAGCCGCGTTAATGGGCAAATATTCTCATGTTTTTAGAGGAAGATTCATAGTTTTATGGGTACCATTAAGGTCAGTCGTCATGGCATCAACAGACATTCCTGGATCCTGATTAATATATGGGTCATGGATGATGTGATTAGTCCACGCTCCACGGTTCTGGATGACTGCTGCAACGCGAATGTTGAAGTTGTTCACTAAAATGACTACTCTACCCAGTATATCTAGGTGTATTTTGTATTTCTAGTGCATTTTTATTTTAAATAAAAAATAAAGTTGTAGAAGCGAGAACGAATGTTATAATGGGTACGTGAATTTGATCTTGTGTAGAGCTTTGTTTGACAAACAAAGGACCTGAGGACTAGATTCTAAAAAGAATTGATTCCGTTTTGTTAATGTGATAAATTACTTTCGTTTCGTATCTGACGTTTAAGTCTACCCTATCATATTCTCATATTTTGAATAATTGCAAGTAAAGTATATTGAAAAAATAGTTTAGGTTTCAAGAATAAATTAATTTTTATTAGAGTGTTAATTGCTTTTTGCAGCTGATTTACCCTATTATTTCTTTTAACCTTCTTGATGCCAATTTTAAATGTGAAAAATTAAACCATTTTACAGTATAGGTAAAATCAGAACTTCTGTTGTTAATAGCTCCATGGTTACGTTTATTTGTTGACACATTGCTATTTCCTTAAGGTCTAAAGTAAATATAATTTATCTGTTTAGTTGAATGTAGAAATGCAGGTTTTAGAAATGAAACTAGGAAGTATGAAATTCATTTTCACATGGTTCATTTTATATTAGTCACTTTCCAATAATGCAGACATAAACATAACGTTTTCTGAGATCTTAGTCTTGTTTTTTAGGAAAAATATGAACTTTCAACTTATTTTCCTTATATGGAGTGGCCAGTAGCAGACTTGCAATAAACTGGACATTGCAAAATGCAAAAATCTGAAAACAGGGTTGATAATGCCACTATGTTTCCAAGCATGGGGACTTAGTGATTGAACGATAAAATGAATGTCTTCGGTCAATATAAAACTAGACACAGAAGGTGGCAGCATTTATGTAACCAATGTATATATTAATTCCCACCAAAGTTTTGTTAGTCCATTCATATGTTTGTTCACTTGTCCATCTGTCCGAGCAATAACGGTGGTTGGAGTCGCATTAATTGAAAAAATTCCCCGGGGCCTAAGGACTCCCCGTCCACTTATGAGGCATTCGGCCACGCAATCAGTTGCCGCGCCAACTAGAAAAACGCATCCCCATCTCACAATAGCCGCCATTTATGTAAGAATGTAGTTGTGATGCATTATTAATAATCTAAAAGCCAAGTACTTCCGAGAAGTAGAGAACAAGGATGTTTTTTAAAGAAAGGTAGACGCAAATAGCATTGATTCGATCTATTCGCATTAAGGGAGATCATCTTGACCCGATAGTCGTTTATTAATTGAAGCTAGTATTGAAGTCATGGAGATGAAATAACACCATATTCAAATAATAGTTATTACAAATGGTATGGATACTGGATGAATATTACTCGTGTGTTTTGGTGTGAATTAACATGATCTCATTTAAGCGTATTAAATGCAGAAGACAAATTCAACATATCACAAGACACAGACACTTTATTACGAATCCATACGATGATCATTAGACTACAGTGTACGTATATGATGCTGGCATGATTATATACTCTAATATTATCTATAGTATAATTCCAGTTGTATATAAGTATCGACTATACAATGATAGTGCAGGAGATAAACAAACAGAAAATATAGATGTACAAAGACGACAATTTTTTGTGATGAAAACAACTACATAAAATAGCGGGAACGGAAAGTGGGCGAGTGATGTACTACAAGGTTATATAATGGTGTTTCAATGAGCATGGTGTGCAGATAATTACCTATGCCCAAGATATGAAATTTATTTTCCGACCATCAAAAAAATGAGAATATGACTCGATGGTAAGTATAAAATATTGGAACATTGGAATAAGGATCAACACATTGTACATAGTGGTTCGCGAGTACGGAGCTCTGTGCGTGAGTGTATACGTAGAAATATGTTCGGGAGCGAGGAAATAGTGGTGCGCGACAAAAGATTTTACGTTCGCGATATGAGAATCGTGGTTCGAGTGCAAGGAACGTAGTTCGCGACGTCAGAACTGATGTTCGCGTTGATGGAAGTCTAGGAGTCCTGCATAGTATGTGTCATATATCATTCTTAAGCCTATCCAAAGTTACATTCATTTGCCAAGTATCATGGTTCAAATTTTGAAATGCCTGTAACTGTTTACCACTTGTGAGTTGAACCATGATACTCATTAAATCAATGTCACTTTGGATACGCTTTAAATTGGTATATGACACATAATGACGTACTATGGATACATTGGTATATGTCTCCCTAGGGGAGGGGCATAATTTCGGGACACCCTGTATACAATACATGATAAGAGATGTTACTTCTTGACCTTATTTCCTATGACTCCAAATGTCCCCATCTTCACTCTTCAGTGATGTAACATCCAATTGCTTACTGAGTTACGGGGTACCAGTTACGGAGTTCATTTTTCAAATACACGAATTTGTTTAAGTTTGTTCCATCTTAAAGACATATTGCCCTCCTTTCATTTTTTCTATTATTTTTTATGTAGCGTATGGTTATATAACGTAACGTATGACGTAACGTATTTTTTTATGATAACGTCCCTTGGGGGCCCTCCCTTACAAGTATTCATTACAGGTCGTGTAGGCTATTGTTGCCAGATTTATAGCAAAAACGTATGTTTGTACGTTGGTGACGTTACGTCTTTTTTAATAGATCTCATATCTTAGAAGACTATCGGTTCAAAAAAAATTCCTAGAAGACATAACATATTTCACAGTGTCGTGCGCATATTCATTTAGCAATTCAATCGTAAATTTCTCCTAAAAAATCTCCCAGATTTGTTGAATTTTCTAGCAGAAATCGCCGCATCCCCCCTCCGTTCATTTCTTCCGATCACTGGGTGTGACACATATGTTTCGCTTGTACTCTTTTCAGCATTCAGTCAATGACTTGGGACTTTGAAATCAACCACAGCTTGTCCCTCATCCCAATGCCACACAGTAATTTATCTATTATCACAATCACAAGACCATATTTCACACATAGTTATAACTGTATTGATTAAATTCACATTTTCTTGATTTCTTTTATTTGCAGGTATTCTAACTTCCTCGCCAGATTCTACTGGCTCGTGGTAATCATAATCACGGTGTGTGTGGCCATATGCGCTTTCATAGTATTCTACCTACATGGCACGCCCAGCTTCGAAGACCCTATCAAGGTAAAACATGGTCTCTTTAGAAGAGATGGCCCATGTGGACAGTTTCGTTTTGGTGGGGGAGTAAGGCAACTGGCATTCAGTTTAGTTTTGGTGGAGAAGTAGGGTAACTGGCATTCAGTTTCGTTTTGGTGGAGGAGTAAGGCAACTGGCATTCAGTTTCGTTTTGGTGGGGGAGTAAGGCAACTGACATTCAGTTTCGTTTTGGTGGAGGAGTAAGGCAACTGGCATTCAGTTTCGTTTTGGTGGAGGAGTAAGGCAGCTGGCATTCAGTTTCGTTTTGGTGGAGGAGTAAGGCAACCGGCATTCAGTTTCGTTTTGGTGGAGGAGTAGGGTAACTGGCATTCAGTTTCGTTTTGGTGGAGGAGTAAGGCAACTGGCATTCAGTTTCGTTTTGGTGGAGGAGTAAGGCAACCGGCATTCAGTTTCGGTTTGGTCGAGGACCCTTACAACGTACAAAGCAAATTGGACTTCATTCTGTGTTTTCAATGCATAGTATAGAATATAGCGACATCTATTAATCGTATAATAATCTAAAGTCATTACATAAAACTATCATGCTAAATCATTCGATTTTGAGGTTTTGCAAAAAATGAGTTTTCACAAGTCTATTTGCTTAGTCTTTAATAACATTGACATCCGAGATTCTTTTCAGACGAATAAAGTTGGGTCAAAATACCAATAAACACAAACTAAAATTAATCTCAATTATTCATTAACCATGACAACATATCTATTACAGGGCTTTGAGGTAAGAGGAACCTCTCTTAGTAAACGGTTAAATGCCATGAGAGAGTTCCAGAAACAAGTGGGCCTAACTAATGGTAACTATACATATCAACCAAAGCAAGTTGGGATTTCCAGGCGGAAAAAGAGAGATATCCAACAAGTACAGAACTTTTGTTACAGGATATCTCAAGATGGATCTGTCCAATGTGAGTATAGCTTTATCATGTGTGGTTTGTTTTGGGCCACATATCCCAAAATGAAGAGCGAATGGACCGGGAAGCTATCATTCATGAATCCAGACAGAAGTTTCTTAGTTTTCATCAATCAGGGAAGAGACGTAAGATGCTTTGTTATAATGATATCGATATGAATTTAATATCAAGATGATATGATTAGAGTAATATTAAAAAAGAAACACAAATGATGAAATGCAAAAAGCAACAAGCTTTGTGTTCAACATTTCAGGCCCAACCGTTATTTCCCTAGGGGCAACCAACGATGGAGATCTATTTACCAAACACAGTCTACAATCTGTCTGCAAGATCCACCTGGCATTAGCCAAACACCCTGCATACATCACAGAATCCCATCACTCCTTGCCACACTACATGGAACAACTGTTTGACACAACATGCGATGACTTCACAGATTCAATGGTAGAACAAATGAAGACGTTACTGACAAAATGTGTTCCGTTTTACAAAGATAATCAACTTGATGCTAATTGCGAAAATGGTCAGTGTATCGCACCTGGGGAATGTAACACAAACAATACAATCTATCAAATATTTCATTATCTTGTGGACAGAAATTTTCTGAGAGAAAATGGAAAGGGTACCCTTAAATATACAAACCTGTTCACGCATACATGGTTAGCGAAAAACATGGACTTTTACAGGGCATATTTTGATGGACAAGACTTTGAGATAGATGGCGTTATGGTCATGGGTTTGTATATGGAAGGACTCAAAAATGATCTGTTTTCTGAATATCTTGTGAGTGATATAATGCTGTTTGGAGTCGCTCTTGGGTTGATTTTCATTGTGATGTTCCTGTATTTGAAGTCTCTCTTGATAATGTTTGCGACTCTGCTCAATGTTGCATTCTCATTTATCATAGCATATTTTCTTTACTTTGTCATTTTTCGCTTCACATTTTTCCCATTTCTCAACATATTCGCAGGTCTGATTCTGATTGCGGTTGGTGCCGATGATGTCTTTGTGTATTTTGACATATGGCACGAAATGAAAAGGAAAATGGAGGGTGGCAAGAAAAGGGAGAATGAAAAGAAAGTGGGGAATGACAAGAGAGAGGAGGATGACAAGATAATGGAGAATGGCGGAATAAAGAATAAAAAACAAATGGAGAGTAAAAGTGAATTGGCAGATACAACAGATTTATATGTAAATAAAGGTAACCTTCAAGAGAACCCGAATGCAAGTATACCCAATGAGACCAACGTACAAGAAATTCCTGATGTACAGATCGATGATACTCATTTGAGATTGCTAATCCACAACACGCTGAAACACGCTACTTTGTCTATCTTTGTCACAAGTTTTACCACAGCAGCTGCATTTTTTGCAAATTTTTCAAGCAACATTATTGCAACTCGCTGTTTTGGAATTTTTGCTGGAACTTGCATTCTGGTGAATTTCATCTTTATGGTAACATGGATGCCTGCAATTTTCATAATTGTGGAAAAAATCGACCAAAACTTGTTGTCCGGGGTAAAATGTTGTGAATGTTGGGACAGATTTCTAAATGGAGTGCAGACTCTTTCTAGGGTGGTTTTCACAAGGCTCATTCCTACTCTGGTCATTGAGGCCTGGTTTTTCTGGTGCATTCTGTTAAGTGCCGTTGGCATCGCTGGCATCATTTTGGTATTCATCATCCCAAAACTAAACCTGCCCACTTCAAAAGAGTTTCAAATTCTTCCAAGTTCAAACCCTCTTGAAAAATATACAATATTAAAGTTAAATTTCGATTTTGAGAATACAGAACAAGGAGAGCGAGGGCAGTATGTCTTTATATATTGGGGTATCTTGGCAACTGATAATGGAAACTGGTTGGACCCAGATGACAATGGGACATTACAGTTAGACTCCACTTTCAATCTTTACTCTCTTGAGTCTCGGGCGTGGATGGTCAAGTTTTGTAAGAAGCTCCTACAGCAGGACTTCATTGAGGAATCATTTGCAAACAGCACCAAATGCAGCCTTGAGGTCATTGATGAATACTTGTCTATGAATTGTTCTACGCAAGGTGCAGTTCAAAATTGTTGTGGGAAAAGGCTCCCTGTGAATTCAACGATATTTGAATATTGCTTTCCGAGACTCGCACTATTTGGTTTTCAATACGTTGGAAGTGGTTTGTTTGACAGCTCCAACAATGTCCCTGTCTATTTCATGATGGTTCAGACCATTCAACCCTTTGTGCCTGCTTTTGCTGAAACAAATAATTTGTTCAATAAAGTCAATGGGTTCGTAGAGAATGAAGTTAAAAGTGCCCCTAAAGGTTTGAATGAAGGATGGGTTGGTGGTTCTTTTGATTTCTACAGTTTACAAAGATCTATCGCATATGGGACTTACACCACTATGGGTATAGCCATTGCTGTTGCCTTTATTGTAATGCTTCTGACATCCCTCAATATCTTTATAACAGTTTACGCTATTGTAACTATCACCTTCGGTATTGCTGCAACAGTTGGTGTTTTGGTTCTCCTTGGTTGGGAACTCAACATTTTGGAATCAGCTATCATATCCCTAGCTGTTGGATTTTCAATTGACTTTACAATACACTATGGAGTGGCTTACCGGCTCTCACATGAGGCGAAAAGAATATCAAAAGTAACCGATTCCTTTCATATGATCGGCTCAGCTGTTGCTATGGCGGCTTTCACAACATTTATTGCCGGCGCAGCAATAATGCCAGCACGTATTCTTGGCTACCAAAGACTGGGTGTATTTCTGATGTTAGTCATGACATTTAGTTGGATATATGCTACGTTCTTCTTCCAGTCCTTGTGTAGGATAATTGGTCCTTTGGGTAACGTTGGAAGCCTATTAGCATGCTGTGTGAAGATAAAAATAGATTGTGAAAAAGAGGAGGTTTCTACCCCGGTGATTTCCATTGGTTTTTCGCAGAACACCCAACCATTACCAGGAGAAAACACAAGCAAACATGATGAAACAAAAAATGAAACTACAGATACAGATAAGGAACTGGCAAAGAAAAGTACAAATGAAACTGTATCAAACATAGACGTTTCGGTCGGTTCTTTGCCTTACAACCCCAGCAGCAAACAAGAGACAAGAAATGAAACTTCGGAAGATGCACCTCAACGATGTTCACCAAATGACAGAGGAAAATATCACATAAGTGAGGATAAAAAGCTGCAACGTTCAAAGGAACATGTTTCAATTGTACCTGTCCAGCATTCTCAAGAAGATACACTGGCAACTTCAGTGGATTCCAATGACTCAACGCATAAAAGCCCAAACAAGCATAATGAGGCGAAAAATGAAATTCCAGAAAGTGTGTTTCGGAACAACTCAATAACGGACAGCCCAAGTAGCCAAGATGAGCGTAAAAATGAAATGTCAGAAAAACTTCAACGAGATTCACCATGGGAAAAACGCGATGTTGGTGATGATAAGAAGTCGAGTTCAAATAAAAACATATCCCAGATATCAGTAGGCTTTGAAGACAATTCTAAAAAAGAAGCTTCGAATGATTCTTCGCAAAGCAGCAAAGATGTTGTTAGTGATCATAGAAATTCAGAGACAGTACAAATAAAAACAAATGATTATCCGCAAAGCAGCAAAGTTGATGTCAGTGATTATGAAAGGTCAGGGACAAGTTCAAATAAAAACAGTTCCCTGATAGCAGTAGGTAATGACATTTCGAAAAAAGAAGGAACAAATGATTCTTCGCAAAGCAGCCCGAGTAAACGCAGCGATGGTTCCTTAGTGAACAGCCCAAGCAAAAACGTAACTAATATTCTACTTAAATAAAGTTTTAAACCAAGCAAGAGAAAATGATCTTATAACTGTAAATTGTGTTATACTGTACATGACGATCCTTATACAGGGTGACCGGAAAGAAGAAGACCATTGAAGTAGACATTTTCTCCTAAACAAGACAAGTGACATCAATGAACTTTTGCACACTAGTACAGTTCTCTGGATAGTTGTCCCTGAAAGCTTCTATACAAACAATCAACTGGTCCACGAGCTGTTATCATTTTCATTACATGCTCCAATTTGCCACAATCGTATTTGAGACCAAGTAGAGCTGAATTCATATGGCAAAATACCCTTACATATTCAGCCCTTGTTATGGCATTACATTTAGGAGTGATTGCCTTCTTTAAGTCAGCAATTGTCTGGGTATTGTTTTGCTACACGTTGTCTTTCAAATAGCCCAACAAAAACAAATCAGGTGGATTCAAGTTTGGGGTGTATGGAGATTTAATTGTGCTATATGGTGGTTTTAGCAAGATGGCACCACTCCCTATACCTCAAATGACTCACTAGGTTGGCTAGATCAACACTCTGGCAACAGGATCATAAACCATTGATCAGATGATCCTTCATCTCCACACAGCCTATACTTGAATCCTACTGATTTCTTTCTGTGGAGCTTTTTTTGAAGACAATGTATACCAACATAATTCTCAGACAAATGCTGACCTAGAGAGGGCAATCACTGCTAAATGAATGCCATTAAAGGGCTGAATAAGTAAGGGTACATGTATCTTACCATGTGAATCCAGTTCTGTCTTGGTCTCAATTGTAGCAAATTGGAGCATGTAGTGTAAATGATCACACTTACAGAACAGTTGACTGGTTGTATTGAAACTGTTCTGATGTGTGGAAAATTTCAATGATGTCACTTGTCTATTGAAGGAGATATTGCCTACTTCAATGGTCTCCTTTTTTCGGTCACCCTGGAAAAGAGACACAATCGTTCTAAAAATGGCGAAAAGTGGTAATGATCTCGGACCACAAGTCGCACTACCACATTGCAGCTATTCCAGACTATGGCTTAATATTACACTCAGTCTGGTTGAACGTGATATTGTATGTTATTGTTATTGAATGTTTAGTTTTAGTTTTATTTTATCATGTTTATTTGTTGACGCTTACCCGAAAGGGATTTTTAGTACAATAAAGCATTGAATATAATTTGGATTTAGAGATCCTACTTAACTGGCGTATTTCATGTACATATCTGGTTTGTAAATATGTATATGTCTTTATTTGGCCTTCTGCTTGCTCATTTGTCATGCATTATTTTGTATTGCAAAGTATCATTAAAAAAGATCATATAATGTGAATGAGTGGGCGCATGGAAAAAGCGAATATATTAGTATGGGAACGAGGCTAATATATAAGCAACCATTAAATGATAGATGTATACTATTATTGATATTTTATTTATGAAATGGAAATATTATATTTAGAATCGTATTTAGACATTTAAACATAGCATAGATATAAAACGTAAGGCCCGTACTTTAAAGGCAGTGCAACAAATTGGACATAATACAAATTATATACAGATTTTTAAATACAGTTTACTTAGAAATATACATAATTATATATTATTATTACCATGACCATTTCTCGTATATAGGTCACTATATATATTCCATAAGGTTAATATGAAGATATGTATAAATGTTAAACATGTAAATAAACATGTACATTGCTTATAATTAAAAATGTATTAAAACGATGTAAATAAATTGTTAAATGTTGGTACTTTTATTTTTTCGCATATGGTATCTATATGAATATTTTTGTAAATGTGTAGTACTGTATATTGTACTTCAGCTTTGCAAACATTTTCTATGATAGTAGTGAATTAATAGCCCATTGACTATTCCTTTTGCATTTGTTACACATATATGGTGTTTGAATACTGTTATAAAATAGAATTAGGAAACCTACAAGAGGCAAATCTGGGTCTCGAGTGTCAGCCTATGTCAACGAGTGCCTCTGCCATTTACAGAAGCTCAATTGGTGAAATTAATGTATAGGAATAATTGTATTCAGAAAATTCCCTTTATCAAATTCCCTTTATCTTCAACACAATTTTTAGTATAATTTGTTATGTGTGCAAACGTTTTTCATTAGTGAATAGAACGCTTTACCTTATAACATGTATAAGTGAATGTCTGTCAATTTGCTGTTTTCTCACTGTCTGCGTCTTTCAAATACTTTAAATATTTCCCTTTCGTGTTAAGTTCACTCTATGTATTTTACAAATTCATAAAGTCATTTAAATAGAATACAGAATAACATCAGAAGAAAAGAAAGAAAACCACATCCTGAGAATTAAGTCATTTTTTGAGTAAGAATTCCATTCGTTGTTAAGTCACCAATGTCTCAGGGAAACGATTGGAGAAACAATATAGTCAATCAAAATTAAACAAAAATGAAAAGATATATACAGCTATTATGGCTATATTCTATATACCTAGAGGAAATTTATGCAATACCTCGGCGGTTTGAAGAATTTGAGGGTCAGCAATTTTGCTCAAGGAGACCAAGAGGTTCCCAATGCTGTAAGGATAGGAGGGATGAATGTTCGGTGCCTATATTAGACACGCAGTGTTACTGTGATGAATTATGTGACAGGCCTGACTCCGATTGTTGCCCAGATTATTGGAAAGTATGTCAAGGAGTTCCCCCACCAACCCCCAGACCCCGAAAAAGTAAGTCATGTTTTCTTTGCTTATAATTCATACTACAGGGTGAGGCAAAAAAGGTAATACAAACAAATGTTAATAACTTCGTCTTCCAATATGGTAAGATGACTATTTTTCCGCAAACAATGAATCACACATTTATATTAGATATTATTACCACCTTGCCGGGCCAGTTCTAGGGGTTTTAGTGCTAGTTTAGAAGGCATTCATTATACTATATCGACCTGAGAAATGTGTAACGTCATAGTGGTGGTCCATATGGACCGGTCTAGAATATATTCTGGACCGGCAACTTTCCCCGGGAAATTAGATATCGTTCAATGCGTAAGATTTTCTTGCTGTTTCAGTCCTGGTCGTTAACGGTGGTAATAATACTAATAACGTCATTTCTGCGAGCATTATAGTGAAATATTGGACCTTGGGCCTTCGGCCCTCGGTCCAATATTTCACTATATTGCCCTTAGAAATGACGTTATTGTATTATTTGATGAATGTGCATACTGTATTCTGCAATTTGATTGGTTTGTTAAAACCATTGTCACATTTCCAATGATATATCACCATTGGTACCATATATCTTGGTTTTGGCTGCAGAGGGGTGTGGGGGATGGGACTTATATGACACCCTGTATATTTCTTTTTGCAACCAATTCTGATCATATATACATATAGTTTCATACAAGGTTATAACATGTTATAAGGATAAAATATAGAAAAATATATTTAATTTCAGTTGTTTAGTGCGGGACGTTTAAACTATTGAGAAATGTAGCTCTCAATTGATACATCGTCCGGGCAATTATGATACTATCTTCATATTTATTTGGTGCAAAATATTTTCAATAACATTTAGGTCACTGCCTCTTGAGTAAGGTCGTATATAATAGGATATCTAATTGTTACCAGCACAGCATAAAATTTAACAAAATGTAACAATGATTCAGGCGAATTACACATAGGACATACCCTATTCACATTAGGGTGCGGTGTAACGGCCAACACCTTAACCAACCAATAGCCGTACCATAGTATCATACGTTTACATTTAAATATCATTTATATTTATTTGAGTTGTATGCGGTTTGGAGTCGCTTGATCACTACTTTAACCCAATATGTTATATCAATTATTGGGTTTACATGATTTCAACATAATTCTTACAGAAACATTAGTTAATCTATCTCAATTTAATGCTATATTCTTATACCGAAGGGGTCCCTATCGCCAAGATATATATTACAATACACAATATATTTTATATATGTTTTTACTTACTTTAGTTGCAGTACATTAACCTGTTCATTACTTTGGTTGGTGCTGGGGAGGCTGGTGGGCTTTCCATGGTATGAGTTCACAAACTGATTCCCGCCAATTGAAGTCACGTGACATTTCATCCTTATCGCATGATCTAAGTAATTAACTCACCTATGCACCTCTGCCATCTATACATCACTTACGAGATAGATTTAACTGTATGAATATCTAGTGATCTGAGCCAACTCCAAAACACATAAATATTTATATTTCATATAAGTCATTTTAGGTTTGTATTTACATAATTAATTCCAGACTTTAGGAGTACGAGTAATTACTACTTTTCTAAGTGCTTGATCTTATCATCGATGCTGTTATTATCATCGATGGTTATGTTAACATATTCTCTACGAAGTAACCGCCCAAACATATGTGAACCTTCTTTTTGCATCATATTTTGCATCATATTTTTCTTTTAAAAGAGCAAATATGCACCTCAACCCAGAGACCTCAACAGTCAAAAGAATATAATTGTGTAACTCTGTATGATCTATTGTCACGTGGTTTTAACTCACCGGGACATATCGAAACTAAAACGCCCCGCAAAATCGATAATTTGAATTTCAAACCTACCCTGCCCTTTTTGAGTCTCACAGTACACCATTTTTCATCAAACTTGTTCTATCATAACCTTCACAGAAATACCTTTCAGTCGATACATAGCTATTGTGTACAGGGTCCCTCGTTTTAGCGGCGTTTTGGTCCCTAGATTTGAGAAGATGCAAACTTTCATAGATTTCAACTAAAATCCTTGATATATCGCCAGTTCTTCTATCACCCTCCTCCATATTCTGCGCAAGGACTCCCATTACAACCCTCAATGGCTGCACCAACATATTTATTACGTTAAACGCAGCAATTTTGAAAAGTCCTACGCAACTGTTCGAAATTGACCAAAATGCCCCGTTGTCTTCCAAAACGCCCCGCAGAGTCTACGACTACAAACGTGTAGTTTCATTCCGAAACATTTTGTCCATCGGTGTGTCCATGGTCGATTCTAAACTAACACCAATCGACTTACAATTGTGTTCTAAGATTTGTCCTGTCTTGTCCATTAATACCACGTCTTTAAGTTTAGAATACATACGATCATAGCACTGTAGCATGTCATGCTAAATTCATGCATTTTCAACATAAATGGATTATAAACTGTCGACTCAACTGTGGATCAATTAAAGGCCCACTATACTTTATTTAGAAAACAATTATCATTGAAATATATTACCCACACACTCGCTCAAATATGAAGCAAATTTCGATTTGGTTTAATATTGAATCAAAAAATAACTCACATAGAAAAATGGCATTTGAAGTTCAGAGATCATTAGACATGCATGCACATGCTAAACAAAGTGCATTACATGTTTTTAATTATTTTGATTAAAAAGATGGCGACGCTTCTATTAAAATTAATGAATCATGTAATACAAACAACTTCGCCATCTTTTAATGACATTGATAAAAACTTGATATATAAAGCTTGACAGATCGAAAATATTTTTTGATTATTCATTGTAAGCTTTGATGTGGTCCGTTTGAGCTGTTGTTGGTGTCAAATGAAAGAAAAGATTCGGTCATTCTTATCAATACATTGGACAATCTATGGAATTCAAATAAAAGTCTTAATTTTGCCCAAACACACTGAAAATACGTGAAGTGGGCCTTTAATGTAAAGATGTACATGTACGTACTCACAATATACACTTGTGGTAATAAAAGATACAATACAACAACAACACGACAGAAAGTTTCAACACATTTCATTGCAACATATTTATTTACTTATTGACCTGCATTTTAATTTTAAACAGAGTGGTTTTGAACATATTTACATTTTTCATCACACAGTTAAATGAATATATGCAGTTACTACTTAAAATAGTATTAACACTATTTTTGTTTTAAAAAGCTTATTCTGTCTATCAAGAATTCATATTTTGAAACAGAAGCAACATAGGAAAACATTACCCAATTATTTTTTATCAGGTAACAGGAAAATTACTGAACGAACAGAAATAGCTAAACAATTCAATAATTTCTTTGGGAATATCGGTACAAGTCTTGCCAACAAAATTCCAAATTCTAAAAACAATCCTTCTTTTTATTTGAATAAAATTTAAAAAAATTTCACCAAAAGTATATTTTTATCAAATGTAGATTCTGATGAAATGAATAAGATTTTGACTAACTTTGAAGACAAGGCTGCTGGTGAAGATCAAATAAAACCAATTATAGTCAAACATGTTAAAGATATGTCAATACTCCCTTTGACCTATATTTGTAACTTATCATTAAGAACTGGAGTATTTCCTAATAAACTAAAACATGCAAAAATCACACCCATATATAAAAAAGAAGATGAACATCAATTTAACAATTATCGCCCAATTTCATTTCTGTCCATTTTTCTAAGATTTTAGAAAGAGTTATGGCCAGAATTGTTGATTTTTTGGAAAAATTTAAAATATTTGCTTTCAGAAAAAATCAGATCAACTTATATGGCACTTTTGAAGTTTCTGGAATCACTTCGTTCATCACTTATTGATAAAAAATTTAATATTGCAATATTTATAGACTTATCGAAAGCCTTTTAACCATGAGATTCTTTTGGAAAAATTACATTTCTACGGAATAAGGGGTATCGCTCATAACTGGTTTGCAAGTTACTTCACAAATAGAACTCAATCGAGGGAGTTTAACAATTGTGTATCATATCCTATTCGAATAGCATGTGGTACCCCACAAGGGTCGATTCTAGGACCAATATTATTTCTCGATTATTTTCCTTGTACAACCGACTTTTAAGCAGGTGCACAAGACAACATGTGTTACAACCAATTACAACATGAGCTTTACACACACAGTCTCTTCTTCCGTTCCTAAAAATATGAACACAATCGGAAAAGTATTTCCCAAGACATAGCGATTTCATCCAACGATCTGTAGTTATTTAATTTTCAGATAATAGTAAGCTTTTTACTTTTTGGATACCATGTATATGTATAAATCTTAGTAATCGATCATGTGATTAAAACTAATTGATACAGTCTTTAATAGTAAACGGGGTTAGTAGTTATTTTCTAAACATGAGGAAAAAAGGCTGCTATCGCTGTCATAGCAATATTCTCTATTTTTCTAATTGGCACTTATTTGCCTCTTCATTGTCGGTGTCAAATATCAAGTATCATCGAGGTACAAGAAAAAAGACAACTGAAGTGCAACCAAATACACCTGTTGATACAACTATCAATCCATTCAAGACATGGTGGAAAAATTACAGAAAGTCTGATGCTTTTGTAGATGCTTTAAATGGAATCATTGTTTTGATATCTATCACAGACATTTTACAAGGTTCAGAGAGAAGGAGGTAAGATATGATTTTGAATTTTATTATTTTATTTAAGAGTGAACTGTCAAGGGCCTCTACGAAGTAAGTGCTATGGCAATAGTCAATCACTCTCCATTGAAGATACTTCCACAATCACAAAAAGTTATAAAAACAAAAAAAAGTTAATCAAAATTTTAATAGATTTTTTATATTTAACCTATATATTCTACCCAGGCATTGTCCACATAAAATGTAAATAATATTCCCTAGCTCCTCATCGTCATTGGTAATAATAAGCAAATATTTCATTTTATGAAGGGCAATACCTGTTCATCTTTCAATGATTTTTGCAGTATGTATTGCCCGCAGCCCCTAGGATTTCTAGCAATGATGTAATAACATGAATTATAAACTTGGAAATTGCATAAAAAATCCCATTTTGTGTAGCAGGTGTAGCTGTCCCATGTAAAATCTGAAAATATAGTCTAATAAATTCTAGTTGGTGCAAGCATCTATCATTTTAATAAGTAATGTATTAAATACTTTACAACGATGCATACCGCACGTCCTCTTGTTTCACCAATTTTCGTAATTTCTACGACACAGGGGGCCGTTCTTGGTACAATCGTAACTTACGACCGCTTCCAAGAACGGTCCCCTGAATAGAATAATTGTCCTGTATATTTGAAGTTACGATGTTACTGATATTACGACAATATGTCTGCACCATTTCGTAAAAGTGGTACATTCGAATGCATCATCTCTTCATAGTGACATTACTTCAATGTAGCATCTCTTCATAGTGACATTACTTCAATGTAGCATCTCTTCATAGTGACATCACTTCAATGTAGCATCTCTTCATAGTGACATTACTTCAATGTAGCATCTCTTCGTTGTGATATCACTTCAACGTAGCATCTCTTCATAGTGACATCACTTCAATTTAGCATCTCTTCATAGTGACATCACTCTAACGTAGGATCTCTTCATAGTGACATCACTTCAATGTAGCATCTCTTCATAATGACAACACTTCAACGTAGCATCTCTTCATAGTGATATCACTTCAATGTAGCATCTCTTCATAGTGATATCACTTCAATGTAGCATTCCTTCATAGTGACATCACTTCAATGTAGCATCTCTTCATAGTGACATCACTTCAACTTAGCATCTCTTCATGGTGACATCACTTCAATGTAGCATCTCTTCATAGTGACATCACTTCAATGTAGCATCTCTTCATAGTGGCATCACTTCAACTTAGCATCTCTTCATGGTGACATCATCTCAATGTAGCATCTCTTCATAGTGACATCACTTCAATGTAGCATCTCTTCATAGTGGCATCACTTCAACGTAGCATCTCTTCATAGTGACATCACTTCAATGTAGCATCTCTTCATAGGGCCAACACTTCAACGTAGCATCTCTTCATAGTGACATCACTTCAACGTAGCATCTCTTCATGGTGACATCACTTCAATGTAGCAGCTCTTCATAGTGATATCACTTCAACGCAGCATCTCTTCATGGTGATATCACTTCAACGTAGCATCTCTTAATGGTGACATCACTTCAATGTAGCATGTCTCTTCATAGTGACATCACTTTAATGTAGCATCTCTTCATAGTCACATCACTTCAATGTAGCATCTCTTCATAGTCACATCACTTCAATGTAGCATCTCTCTTCATAGTCACATCACTCCAATGTACCATCTCTTCATAGTAATTTACTTAAATATATCATCATCATTATATTGTGATTATGGCCATATGTCATGCAAGTAGATGCTCATTTGACAAACCTGTTTCTTACTTTGCAGTTGACTCTACTGGAGATCGGGGTGAGAAACGGCGGCTCCTTGAAGATGTGGCGAGACTACTTCGGTCCTGGTGTACAAATCTATGGCCTGGACATTGATGCCAAAGCAAAAAGATTCGAAAATAAACTAGACAGAGTCAAGATCATAATTGGAGATCAGGGAAATGCATCATTTTGGACTGAAGCATTGAAAACATTGCCAAAGTTTGACATAGTTATTGATGATGGGGGACACACAATGAATCAGTTAAAGGTAACGTTTGAGCATCTATACAATCATGTGAAGCCAAATGGTGGGGTTTATCTTGTGGAAGATGTTCATACAGCTTATTATTGATACGACGTCAGATACTGTACATCACGGCATTTTACTGCATTTTTACATGCGTACTTACTTTTAGAACCGCGATATCTCCACAGCAAAATCATATTTTTATACAATTTTTCGTCATCAGTTGAACATATTTGTCCATGAAATATTTTGCCTATCAGAATTCCAAATAATTGATTTGGGCCTTTTTAAATGAGAATCACGCAAGCCGTATGATGTGACTTTCTATGCTAAAACCGGGTGTGGACTGTAACATTTTGAAGAAAAATGATTTTAATTTTAAACGAAAAATGAAGATAACTTTGTCATTTCCTAACGGATCTTTCTCAAATGTTCACAATATTTAAATTCACCATTTTGAGAAAAACGAAAAGATTCTGTGTTATGACGTCATAATATAACAATGCTAATTTAACGCTTATATTTATGCCAAAAAAGTGTGGACAGGCAGAATTTCATAGCAATAAGATATATATTTTGATCAATAAAACATTTAATCGTTTGAAAGGTGAATTATTCTTTTTTGATTCCTCAAAGGTATATCATATTCTATATTTTTATCAAAAAACTATATCATTTCGATTAAAATTCAGTCTGTAAGAAGTATAAATTGTAAGAAATATGAAGTGAAGCCAAAATTACGTTTCATTTTTTGTGTTCAAATATCTCTAATTAAGGGATAAACATTCAAAACGTTCCAATGTTTCAGCATGTTCTTTAACATATATCCCTTCCTACATGCAATTGATTTAATTTAATTTGAACCAGTATATTTTGAGATAGACATCATTTTATCACCGCAACCCCAAGTGAAGCCTTTACAAAATAAGACGTTACGCCGTTAGCGAATTATATGTTCTCCTTTATTATTCATTGCTTTAAATAAACAAAACTAAATATTCGAGTTAAAATAAATTACAAATAATACATTTAACAATCCTTAATATTTTCCCGTCTGGGTATATCAGTTGAATATGACAAGGGGCTCTGTGAAAGAGTCTAGCAAGACGGTGCGACAACGAGAGCGCATGGCCGAAAAGCGCGACAAAGAAGAAAGCGGGTAGGGTTTTAAATGTCTACTTTCTGGTGATTCTAATTCTGTATATCGTGACACAACCTTTTTTAATATAGAATTGTATTGAAGCGCACATTAATCTGAACAAAACTGAAGTTTTTAAGAAGATTCCACGAATATTAAAACTTTTGCAATTACTGGGAGGAGCATTGCGCATATTTATCGCGTAAATCTTTGCATTTTGTCGGTAAGATGAACAATTACAATGTTACGCCGTGATGTACAGTATCTGACGTTGTATCTATTGGAGATATGGTGGAGGATACAAAAGACCAGGAACCTTTATAGAATACACCAAATATCTTATCGACCAACTGAATGCATACCTTAGTAGAGAAAAGAAAAAATTAGTTGTAACTAAATTTACAGAATGCACACAGAGTATACATGTGTACGACTCTGTAGTTGTGTTTGAGAAGTCACCACATCCTAATTATCACACCGTAATGTCACAGTAAACAACAGACAAAGGGAAAAATTAAATTGAAATAGAACGATAAGCAATCATCTAAAAGAAACCATCTGATGCGTGAATAATGAAGAAAATGCAACATTTTATTGGAAACACATAGGGTTAATAAATTGATATGTACAGAGCTAGAATTATCTTTTGTTATTATCAATAATGAGACACGTTTAGTCGTTGCTATGCCAATTGTGTCATCCTTTGCAAATTTCACCTCAAAAAGAGGACTTCATCTGCTCTTTTTAAACTAAATTTTTTTCTCGCATATTTCACTTTTGACAAATATACATTATATACCCCTGAACAATGTTAGTCTGTGTTACTCTTGCACGGGTACACAGCAAGCCTAGTGTGCCGTTATTTGGTATCAAAATAAAGAGGAGTTCCATTTTCATTTTGATTACGGAAATTGGGATGTAGGTCACAAATAGTTCCCACGTTAGCATGTTTACTACGAGTTTGGCCTTTATCTCTGAGCAAATGTTAGCAAACGCGAGTTACAATAAATGGACGCTGATATCTCGGAAACATGATAATCTGACTCCCTATAATTAACATATTTCCCCATGGAGAAAAGTTGAAGGCCGTAGGACCGTACGTTCAAAAACAAAACACAGTTTGCGATTTGATTCGATTGGGGTTTTAACTGTACCAAAACAAGTTTGCGACAGATTTAAACATTCAGGGTTCAGTTCAGTTCAGTATCATTATTTGCTCACATATTATGTAAAGATTTTTAAACAATGAATTCGAAAGATGAGAATGGTATGAGAGAAGAAACAGATAGAGAGAATCTACATGTGATTGTAGAAAATGTGTTTTAAACTGTATTTTGAGATTTCAGATTAACCTCTGATAATGTCAAAATAAACATCGAAATGATTTAAAGAAAATGTGCTATACTTCAACTGATGTTTCTTGCCATGTTTACAGAGACATGTCTGGAGGGCGGGCTGGAGGGTGAGCCATGTTCTAAACCAGGGGAAACTAAAAAAAACTGTTGTAAAAAGTGGTGAGTTATGTTATGTTTCTTTATTTAAGTATAAAATAATTGGCATTTTGTGCTACCGTTGGTTTAAAAATAAACCAATATGAGGATTGAAATCTCAACGAGTAGTAAATTTTTTCTTGAAAAAATAAATCTTCCAAATTTCCTTGAGTTTTCTTGCAGAAATTGCCTAATCCCCCCTCCATCATTTTTGTACGATCACCGGGCGTGTGAATCGTCAAATGAATAGGCGCAGTGCATGGCAAAATATGTTAGATCATCTAGTATTTTTTTTAAACTGATACCCTTCTAAGATATGAGATCTATTAAAAAAGGCGCATCATCACCAACGTACAAAAGTCAATGTTTTGCTACAAATCGGGCAACAATGGTCTACACGACCTGTAATAAATAGGTATAAGGGACGTTATTATCACAATACTAATGACATTGCTCACATGATAAGACAAGATACTTGAATTTATTCTTATGACATTTTCTTTTTCCATTTTTTATTCTTCAGAGATATAATATCCAGTTTCTTACTGGGGAACTGAGTTTAGTTTTTTCAAATACACGAGTTCTTATGAATTTGTTTCATCGTAAAGACATATAAATCCCCCCTCTATCCACTCCCACCTCCATCCAATACTAATTTATTTCTATAATTTTTTATAACGCATGGAAACTTACTTTAAAAGTGAGCAATGTCATTAGTGTTTTAATAGATCTCATATCTTAGAAGCGTATCAGTTCATAAAAAAATACTAGAAGACCTGACATATTTTGCCATGCACTGCGCCTATTCATTTGGCAATTCAGTTGTAAATTTTCTCTTGAAAAAATAAATCTTCCAAATTTGTTGAGTTTTCTTGCAGAAATCGCCTACTCCCCTCTCCATCCATTTTGTACGATCACCGGGCGTGGTATGGGTTCCTGAGAAACTTCATGGTATAGAATATGATAAATGAGATCTTCTATGCTTCGTGTAAACTACACATAGTATCATTTCTGTCATTATTACACTTTCACTTTAATTAGCTCTAGAGCTTTCAATTCTAGGATCGGTTTCAAATCTAAAAAACCTGGGAAAGAAGGGGGCCTCCCCTTTCTGACGCCAATGACTCAATTATACAAACTGAAAATGGCATTTTTGTATGTTGCAGCCGGTGTGACGACAAGACTTACACTTGGAAGTGTGATGATGCCGTTTGTATGTTCAGGGCCTCAATAGTAGACTACGTCAACAGTAAAGATCTCGGGTGGGTGGCAAAAGCCTATTTCGGTAACTGAAACACAAGTCCTAACGAGCTAAAGTCTGTTACACTGCTTCAAAGGCAAGCAGTTAAACGTGAAATATAAGAAATCTAAATAATATTGTGCAATAGTAATATATAGAAAAATATTTTCATATTGCACACAAATGGCATTTGTAACGTTATACACAATTTTATTGTTTACATGTGTTCGTTTCGTTGTTCCAAATACAAAATTGCAAAACACAGTACTTGTTCTGTAAAAAGGGGATTTCAAGAAGGATGTTTGGACTTAATATCGAGATATGCACTATTGGGGATATCATCAAATCTTATTATAGTAAAGGAATATGATGGTATCCCCATGTTAAGTCAAAAGAGCATAGCTCAATGCACCCTTGCTGAAACCCTCATTCTAAGAGAAAATGCTATTTATTGCATTTTTTTTATTCTGAACGAAAAAACAAAAAACTAGAACCAATAAAATTGCGCTTTTTCTTACAAAATCACAAAAAATTGATTGAATTTCATGAAAAAGAGTTGTAAATTAAGTTGATCCACGTGTGAGCCTTATGATTATATTCACTTTACCAAAAACAAAATGGTTATTACACAATAAACATTTAATAGGTAAAACATGAATTAAATTATGTATTTTAAATAAAAAGCATTTGAAAGTCAGCATGACCTAATTTTTACCATAATTGTTTTAAATAAAATTATTACACCCTAATAGATTATCATTACATATCAAAATCAAATTAAACTCCTATTTTGCATTTTTACTGTTACTTATATAAATGCAAAAAGAGATATTTTTTCTCAATTTCGCTTTTTGAAGTGTTGCACTTTGGAGCAAGCCGAGTGCATACAAATTAAAATGAATAGAAATCGAAAATGAACGTTTAAATGGGCAACATGCCACAGTGCAGTTGCAAATGGAAGACTTGGGTTTATTTTCATATTTCTGAGTGTAAACTATAGTTTTTACACGATGTATGATATTTCTTAATATACATTGCAGGCCCATAGCCAGGATTTGTAAAGGGGAGGGGGCTCACTTTTTGATATAAAATCTAGAGGAGGTTCACTTTTGACAACTTTGGTCCAAAAATGCCCCAAATTTCTAATACATTGACATAGACTTTAGTATCCCCAGCTTGTACGTAGTTTTCTTTATTTTTTGAAGATGGAAGGCGTCGTACTATTCAAAGGGAAAGGGAAGAAAAAAACTGGGCAGTGAACTCGGCTTGAGAGGCAAGTCGTTAGCATTTGCATTAAAGTACAGATTAGGGACCCGATTAGGGACAAGCGTGTTGGAGCCATATTTGAAGAAGCCATCCATTACAGTGCGTATATCTAGCCCGTCGAGATCTATAAACCAAATATCGCAATATGTATTTCACCCTCATACCGAATTGAAAAAAAGATCAGTGCCAGACATCTGCGAGACAAGACAAACAGGGGTTTTTAGGCCTAAGGAGACTACTAGTATGTCGAATTCAGCAGAAAACGAAACATTTCCAGATAACTTTACTTGGGTGGGTTTGGTGTCGGCTGTCCATGATCAGGGGAAGTGTGGAAGCTCTTGGGCCTTAAGTACAGTTGGTAAGTTGAATATATAAGAGCGATACTATTCATGTTTTTCTTTTTTAATCTTCCTTCTTTTCTTTTTCCCTTATTCATCCTCTTCTTTCTCAAAACATGAGACGTATCAACAAAGCATATCACCTGCTCCTGTGACACGGTACAGGCGTTGCCATTCACGTAATTATAATCGTTATTATATATAGATAAATTATAGGTAAGTTGTGAATACATGTATGTAGAAGAACTGTATGTATCAGTGGCGGATCAAGATGCTAACAAGGGGCAGGGGATTTTGAGTCAGTAAAAAATGTTGGGACCCTTGAACGAAAAATTTGGCCTAAAAAGGCGTAAAAAGGCCAAATTATGCCAAAAAGGCCCAACAACTTTTGGGACCCAAAAAACTTTTTGTGCCCCCCCCCCTGGATCCGTCTCTGCGTGTTACTCGTTGTATAATTCAAACGCTCCTACATTACACCGAAGCGATTCATTATTGAATCCAAACAAAGAAACGCCCCCGCCTTAAGAAATATGGCGGATGGAAATGACCACCCTTCACACGATTTCGATAATGATGGGAATTAGAGGTTACTTGTTTATTGAAATACCATTTGATGGGTGTGATATCCATGTTTTTCTTGGCTGACTGTTGACGTTTGAAGCAATTTGGAAGAGCTGCAGAAAGCATAACACCCCAGTCACATGTACGTCGACCGAAGATCAATTAAATCAGTGTATTTCTGCGGCAAGCGTAGGAAAACTACGCTCGCCTTGCGGCCTCCGTACGGTGTATCCAGTTTTTTACAGGCCGCAGGGTCGCCGTAGAAATTATAACTCGGAGTTATAATATTTGTTCATTTCTGAGGTCCCCGTAGGAATCAACTGGCTCAACAAGATTGAATCATTATTTGTCAATGTTTCACGATCCCTTTTCATTTGATATTACATCCTAGTACTATGAATAAGATTTATAAATTGTCCTTATGTAAATAAAATGAAAGAAAATATTATTTATCAACAGAAATTTAAAATTCACCGTGCGGCTGCCTTGGGAAATGTGACTGCAAAAGTATGAGAGTGCAGAAATTCTACGGCGAGCGTAGAAAAGCTACTGGCCGCAGAAATGATAGACCGCACGGCGGCCGTGGGAAATTTGACTGGGGTGTTAGTTATCAAAATTCATAAACTCTTTGATCAGAGTAATGTACACCGTGTATAAGATGAATTCCTTCTACTATTATATAATAAGTATGTGACTTTGTCCAACAAATCTAATGCATTTTGAATTAACTTCCATATTATTATATTACTATGGTATATATGAAAAAACATATTTCTGATCGCGTGATGATTATTTACAGGTAATGTTTGAATCACTTATTTTTTCCCAAAATATTTGAAAAAACTTATATTTATTTATTTATCATAAAAATATATACAAAACATGCAAAATGTCACAATCTAAGACACCACAGTGGCATATACAAGACGTATCACGTGCTAAAAAAAAGTCTTCTAAATAGAAAAAATGTAAGACTAGAGTCTACGAGGGGTCATCAATAAGTAAGGGACGCTTTTTTACACAGACACTTTTTATTGACCAATCCCTTTGATTTTCCTACCAATGGTACATCATTCAATTATCTATCAATTCTGAAAATTTGAAGACAAAATATGTAATACGTGTTGATATATCCTTATTTCTGTGAAGGAGGTACAGGTACCCCGGGACCGACATTTACATCACATATTCAGTTTTTAGCCAGTTTGGTAAATTTGAGTTAGATTTGAACTTTTTGTATGCAACAAGTGTTGTATTGTTTGAATTTTTATCCTGACTGGTAACACATAAACAGAAAGTATTGTGATGTCAGAGTGTTGTATGGAAGGGGTTTGCAGGTCAATTTGAGAAAGCATTGTGGAAGAAAGGGGTGGTGAGAGAAGGGAACGCCCTACTCCATATGGACAATGCACCTGCCCACAGATCTCAAAATGTTCAAAAAACAATATCCCTGGACTTCAAAATCGAGCCCTTGGCCAATGCACTATATTGTCCACATCTGCTCACATGTGACTTGTTTATTTCTATACTACTAATTTCTATAGAGAAAGGATGCATGTTTGTTAACATTGATTAAATAAAACAGCCCGTGCAACTGCATCTTGCTACCATTTCAGAGAATGAATTCAGTCTGTCTCACAATCTTGAGTTAAGAGGATGAGGAATTGTATACATGTAGCACTTGATGGAACCTATTTAGAGGGCCCTGTGGAATGAATGTGGCATGAATACTACACAGTGATGATAAAATATTCAAAATCAACTAAGGCATAACAAAATGGGGTAATTCATGACCATAATGGTTTGTTTTGTTCAGCCTGCATTCAACTGCATTGCATGTTAAACAAGCTAAAATAGCTTCAGAATATGTGACGTAAATGTCGGTCTTGGGTTGATAGATAATTGAATGATGTATCACTGGTAAGAAAATCGAAGGGATTGGTCAATAAAAAGCATCTGTGTAAAAAAGCGTCCATTACTTATTGATCACCCCTCGTATATGGTCCATATGCTATAAAGCTACTGTATACATGATAAAGTATAATTGATACTAACAGACTAAACTTTCTAATGATTATATACATAGTGACGATTGTTGATGTGTCCCAAAAATGCTAGTAAAATGAAATCACTTATAAAATAGAACAAAGTATATTGGACTAGGAGTTAGATATAATGTTTTAAGAGTTCAGATTTGAAATGCTTCTTAAAATTTATTATTGAGTTATCAGGAATTGCATTTTAGATAAGAGGGACAAAATAACTGATTGAAAAAATGCTAGCTTTTCCAATATGAAAATCATTTTTCTACGAGTGTTGTAAGAGTGAACTGAGTTATTTTTTAAAAGTTTTATTTCTGATATTGTTGAGAATTTATCATTGCCTTTTTCTACATCAAACATGAACATTGCAGTATTAATTTTGTTTACATCAAATATGTTAAGAATACCAAGATCCTTAAAAAAGGGAGCTGAGTGGGTTTGTTGATTTTCATTGTATACAAGTCGAACAAAACGTTTTTGAAGAATATGTAGTCTGTTCAGATTTGATTTGTAATTATTGCCCCATATCAAATTGCAGTAATTAATATGAGAGTAGATAAGTGCATAGTATATTTTTAAAAAGGAGTCGTTTTTAATCAGATTCCGCACACCATATAAGGCTCCAATTGTTTGAGAAACCTTAGTTTCAACTGATTTTATATGCTCTTTGAATGAAAGTTTATTGTCAATTGTAACACCAAGGAAGGGTGTACTTTTATAGAGTTTTATTTGTCCATTTCTTATTTTGATAGTGACTTTTTCTGAGTTGCTTTTACCAAATAAAATCCAATTTGACTTCTCAATGTTAAGTGACAATTTATTAGCTTTAACCCAGTCATCAAGATGGGTCAATTCAATATTTGCTTGAGTTATCAAGTATTCAGTGTTTGAATGTGAGGCAAACAGGTTGGTATCATCAGCAAACATCACAAATTTAAAATAATTTGTTGACATACATGTATAAATATCATTAATATACAGTATAAATAAAATTGGGCCTAGAACTGATCCTTGGGGTACACCAAAAGAAATTTCACTAGAATTGTTAGATTTAACATGATTGTGAACAACTACTTGTTTTCGTTTAGACAAGTAACTTTTAAACCATGATAGGGCTATACCACGTATACCATAGTAGGATAATTTATATAACAAGATATTGTGGTCAATAGTATCGAAAGCTTTTGAAAAATCTAAGTTGATACCGATAGAAGGTAGAGGTATAATAGTCAAAGTTCATCGAATGGTTCAAAATTATCTGTATCAATCAATGTGGAAATAGAGGGAAGATTCTCCGAACACAGACCTCCAGAGCTCGTAGGCTTACTTCCTTCTTCCAGAAGAAAGAGGAATGTAGTGGAAGATGTCTTAACCTGTGTTCGTAGGATGAGAAGGAATCGATATATTATTTACTATTTTGAACTACCTGGAAAATCAATAGAGAAACACATATATGAATTTACTTTCTCATATGACTAACAAAGATACAGCCATCTTTACCCCATGCAAGATATACGTGTAGTATACAGGTTCCTGTATAAGTACCTGTGCAAGGTCGTCCATTCTTGTTGAGCTTTGATATATCTTCTTTATCGAGTCGAAGACGATATAAATAAACATTATCAAAGCCAGTCAAGAATGGGCGATAGTGTGCAGGTATATACGAGTACAAGAAAGTTTTTCTCGTATGACTAGGCTATATACCTAGTATTGTGTCATATTTTCACTGCCTTTTTATGATAAATCTGAGTGAAAATTGGCTAAAGATTATAATGGAACTTTATCTTTCAATCGCTAGTACAGTTGAAGTAAGTACATGCATGCTATATTTCTGTGTAGAATCATCTCTAAGGTAGTATATGAAATTACTCAAGTTAATTTCCTTCAGAACATGTTACTGTATTGCTTTTACATTTCAGATGTCGCCTCTGATCGTCTCGCGCTGCATTCTGAGGGATCTATCAACGTGACTCTCTCCCTTCAACAACTGATCTCTTGCAACAGAAAAAATAAGGGGTGTAAAGGGGGCCGCATGGCTTTTGCATGGGAGTACATTAAGAAAGTAGGGTAAGTCGTATTCGTTGAATTGTTAATTTTAGTTGAAAGAAAAACTCATTTAAATGCTTCCAAGCACGTCATATTACAGTGAGACGCCTAATAGTAAGGCAAGCTATTGTACATGTAAATCATTCTGCACTTCCGTATAAAAGCAAAATTATAATTGATTTAGCATCATTAGACCCCGAAACTGACCTGAAATCTCCAAGCGTTCATTCTGTGTTTTAACTAAAATCCAAGATAATCAAATATAGCCTCTAAGGTACAATACAACTCACGTGGCCTTTTGTTTACTCATGGTATAGGAAAAGTAGTCCATTTTGAAAACTGTTTGGGTGTTGGATGGTGTATAAATGGGACATATTAGGATGCAATGTACCTCTTTGCTGGTTAATAAGTAAGTACAGACTCTTAGGCATTGGATGAAAGCAGAAAACTTTCATGAAAAAAATTGGATTATTTTTTGGTAGATATTGATGACGTAGGGGGTGTGTTGGCTGGGCCATGTTAATTTTCCATTGAAAAATCACTACGCGTGTGAACAATCCAGCGGTTCTTTTGATTTTCGTGGGATATTTTTTTCAAGACTTTTTCTGAGGTAAGTTTAAGGATATCTCTTTATTGTCTGTTAATATGAGTGAAATCGATGGGCTAGGATTTTTGTAATATTCTCTCAAACTTTGTCAATTCACCATGTTATCCTATGGCAGAAAAGTAAGTTGTTTTCTACCTAATATTCAGATTTTTGGAAACACAATTTGGTAAGAAAAATGATTTTTTTTGATTTTTTCAGAATTCATTCTATCTTATCTCACTTGTATAACATATAAGTTGTTTCTTGCTTGTAAAATAGGCCAAAATGGATGCCTGGGGGGCAAAATATGCCCGGAGATTGGGCCGAGAGGCAACAGTCTACCCCAATAACTGCATTATTTGGACAGGCTATCGTAACAAGGCTACTGGGTATGGGCAGTTGTGCATACAGAAGCGCGGTAGTCAAAAATGGGTGACCGTGTCGGCTCACTGGCTGTCGTATGCCACACGGCATCCTAACGATACGCTTGATTTAACGACACTGGACTTATCTCACCTTTGTCATAACAAGCTATGTATCAACATAAATCACCTTAGCCTAGAACCACATTCTGTAAATAATGTGCGAATGGGTTGTATCAATGCCGGAAAATGCCGTCAGCATGGGGCCTACCCTGATTGCCTCTTAAAATGGAAAATGTAAATGGTATGATTAGATCACTTACCTCATATAATCTCTTGGGCATAATCGTGATCACCGAACCTTGGTGATCTCCTCAATTTCAGTTTTAAAATGGGTTTTTTGTCTAATTGCTCTTTCTTATAATCACTAGTTCGCTTTTCTAATCTTGTGTGTAAATACTGTCTAGTGTAGTATGCTCTATGAAAAGACTTGTTTTTTCTTGCATGTGGGGAATTTTTATATTTTCTCATGTATCTTTTCTTTTCACTCATGCTACGTAGATGCTTTGCAGCACTTGCTGATGATATTGGGGCCCCAATAAGTTCCAATTTGAGGTGAGTGGCATTTTCTCTTCCATGGTTTATATCTAATACTGCAGAATGTAATCTGCCATTACATGTGGCTGAAAACACCTTGTTTTTAGGTAAATATTCTGCAATTACCTTATTTGATGCTTCATTTTTGTTTGTATGCGTGTAAAAGCGCCCGTCATTAACAGCTTCGGGGCCCAACTTCATTTCTAAAAGTACGCGTATGAATTTGCAATCTTCCTGAGATGGCATCAATTTGTCATTCTTTGTAATTCCACACACCTTGAGATTGTGGGATGTTTCTAGCCATGATTTCTTAGCCCCTTTGCAACCATTAAGGTGGGGTTTACATTGCTCATGATTCCCCGCGTAACAGTTCACTGTACTTGTGATGACCTTATTCATGTATTGAACTGATACAACACCCAAATCATTGTATTTTTTGGCAAGCTGACCCATGATTTTGTCACACCTCTCTTTAATATCTAGGGAAAACATTTTCTGCTGGAGATCTTTGTTACCTGGGAACATATGTTTACTAAAGCTAGCTTTCAGACTGTGCTTAAATTGAAGTTGCCCTTTGTGCACTCTATCGCTAAGTTTTGTAACTTTGTGATTGCTCTGTTTTTCATCGTAAAATGACTGAGCACCAAGGGAGCCTTTAGCATCACCATCTGTAGTCAGGTATTCTATTTGCAAATTGTCTGCATCCAAATCTTTTGCAAGTTTGTACCCCATGTTGAATTCTTGAAAAGCTTCAGATTTCTTTATATTTGATGTACAACCATCATGGCCACCAGGACATTTAACATCAAACCCACGCGCCCTTAGGTAAGCCCCGCGCCAACATAGCTTATTATACAAGCATACAGATATTATCTGCATGGCATCGGTCATTGTTTCAACAGATACACCAACTGCTCTGGTAGCGCGCTGACCAAGCTTACCCCAAGATCCGAATGTGCTACTACTGTAACACCCATCAAATGCTACCTGGACTTTTTTTCATCTTTTGAAGATACACCCCTCAGTTTATTCACCTCTATTAATTTGCTACGTCTCGTTTTTAAATCATTTTCACCCATTTTCTCAATATCTCCACTGACCGCTTTAGAATTTTTTTGCATTCCTTGGGAAGAAGGGGCCCTTGCATTGCAAGTAGCTAAAATTTTTCGAAATGCCTCAACACCAATAGAGGAGGATTGTAGAGCTACATGTATTGCTACATTGATCTTAGCTTTCCTCCTGCCACCTTTCTTTTTTCCCTTGACTTCTTCATATAATTTGCACATTTTGGAGAGAAACCCACATTTACTACATGAAAGCTGCATTTTGCAAACTAAACCAAATGGAATTTTTTTATGTACCTTCAAATCACCTCTACATTTTTTGCTATGGGCCCTATGATCTTTTGCTACCAAGTTGAAACAATTAATCATAGAATTCTGACTAACTATTAGAGTTTCATCTCCACCAACAGTGCCATCTAGGGGTTCAACAGTGATGTATTTATCTGAGATTTTTGGTTCAGAAAGTTTTGGCCTTAAAATCTTACCTCTACCAGGTTGCATGTGGACATCGGGTACTTCATAACTATTCCCACCTCTACTTTTCCTGACAACTAACGAATGAGTCTCCTGATCTAGCCTCCTAATTTTTGTAGGTGGGGACGATTCCTCTTCGCGATTCGCTACCGTCCCATATGCTGGATGCTGCGTATGTCCTTCAGAAAATGTTTGCTGGTTACGAAACTTATTTTTGGAATAAAAATGACCAAATCCTCTTGGTGGTTTTGACATAGTTGACATTGCTTGATAACTTGGAACAATCCAAAGCAGAATGATGTTCTCCTCTCTAAGTCCAGTCTTTCAAGTGAAAGTATTGGTTTGATAATACATGAGATGTGTTTCTGGGTGACTTGGGCAGCCATCTGACCAATTAATAATTCCAGATTATGTTTAAAAAAGTGTCTGAAGAATGATAAAGTCTTAACACAATAAATAGTTCACTGTTTGAGTTTGAGATAAATCACCCCTAGATCAAAAGATGGCATGTCAGTACATTGTCAGTATATGTAAACAAACTGTATCTTGATTTATTTGCTAGATAAGGCATTGTTGTTCCATTTAAAGCAGACCTGGTCAAATTACCTGATTTATAGATCAGTTTTTTTTATGAATATATCACAATTTTAATGAAAAAACACAATACTCATTAATTATGCGCATATTAATTAGTTATTGCATAACTACCAGTCAGCACAACCAAATATTCCATGTGAGGGTAAGTCAGAATTCAATTTTTTTACATAGATAAACATGGAGGAGGATTAAAAGCATTATGGACTTTTATTAAGGTAAGACAGTAGATTCACCTCACACAGGACATTGGTGCCAGGGATCAACCAGGTGTGACTATTAGGTACAATACAACTCACGTGGCCTTTTGTTTACTCATGGTATAGGAAAAGTAGTCCATTTTGAAAACTGTTTGGGTGTTGGATGGTGTATAAATGGGACATATTAGGATGCAATGTACCTCTTTGCTGGTTAATAAGTAAGTACAGACTCTTAGGCATTGGATGAAAGCAGAAAACTTTCATGAAAAAAATTGGATTATTTTTTGGTAGATATTGATGACGTAGGGGGTGTGTTGGCTGGGCCATGTTAATTTTCCATTGAAAAATCACTACGTGTGTGAACAATCCAGCGGTTCTTTTGATTTTCGTGGGATATTTTTTTCAAGACTTTTTCTGAGGTAAGTTTAAGGATATCTCTTTATTGTCTGTTAATATGAGTGAAATCGATGGGCTAGGATTTTTGTAATATTCTCTCAAACTTTGTCAATTCACCATGTTATCCTATGGCAGAAAAGTAAGTTGTTTTCTACCTAAGCAGTAGAAATGCTGTGACGAGTTTACGTCCACTGCGCATTTTCGGAAGTGAATTGGATTTTATCAGCTTTGGATAAACCCGGAAGTAGACGCATCCCAAATCCACTGGATATAATTAAATGACAGCATGTTTCACACCGGAATTGAACTTTTCTGAAATATAGCTGACTGTAAATAAATAATCAACAGTCCAAAAGATTCGTACCAATATCTCGATCAATTGGAATTTATTGTTTGGAAAAAAGACCAAAAATCGCAATTCGAATTCTGAAGTGAACAAAATAACGTCTGTTTGAATTCGAATTTTGTAATCACATCTCGAAATATGGCAGAATATCGAGTTGGAACCCTCATTGGAATGGTAATGATTTAACAATACAATGTACTTATATAATTAGGGATGCAATATCTCCTTGCAGGTTTCTTAAACCTAGTGTCTGCAAAGTGATTTTTATAGCACAGTCGCAGGGGGATCAAGGTCATGTGGTTCCCATGGCGATTTTTTATTACTTGTCTGATTTCAATAATGTTGGTCCTGTTGTAATCCTTATTCAATAACCTCTTCAGAAATGATTTTTTAAAGTAGTTCAACAAAGGTCAACTTGAGGTCTGCATTAAGTAAACAAATTTAAATATACACAGAATGCGAAAGCGGGGGAAAATTGCGAAGGCGGGGAGACATGTAAGGCAGTCTGATGAGTCATTACTTTCTTTGACATGAGATATTCAGAGTTTGTGAGGTTTTTCTTGATTTTCTCACTCTGAACAGCAGAGATATTCTGTTGATTACTTTCTTGATTCCTTGAAATCTAATGTTGACCTAGCCAGGTTTGTGAAACAGAGATCGCTTACTAGCTTGTTGGATGCTGTTCGCCTGGGGACACTATATTAGGACTTCTGGTTCGATGTCGTTCCAGCAAGTCGATACTCCATGACAATACAACCAAATCATCAATGATTACACTGGAAATTAATTCTTTAGATCTGTTAATGCAATTTTAGACTTCTAACTGAAGAATGCTATGGTCCTTACATAAGTGACAAGAAAAAAAACAGGAGAAAGTGTATAATTAAAAAAGAAAACCTGAAACAAGATGATTTTAACTGCCCCAGCAACAACTTAGTTTCAGGCCAAAAATATCAAGTCTTCGAGGGAAAACGTATCCCCAACAACGTAAGTTTCACTTACTTTAATCGTATCATTTTCTATCAATTGTGTAATCAATTGTTTTGGGTTCACTATATTTTGGTGAATCCTACCATGGGCTTTCAATTACTAGTTGAAAGCCCATGATCCTACTAAAGGCAAAAACTGAGCATTCATAATAAGTTTATCAAACCGGAGGATTGGCTCCAAGCATTTCGCGATATTCTTTCTACGGGCATAGGCCAATTTGTTAATAAAACTTATACAAGAATGTTCATTTCTAGACTTAGCATAGTCGGGTGATTAACAAACATGACTAAGGGCGTTATAATAACCAAGAATTTATCGGTTCGCGTAGTACATACATGTTTGTGATAGAGCCATCTATAGCTCAGTGCGCTAAGACCATGATTTTCCCAATCTTTGACCAAATAGATTTTACAGTAAGGAGATCAATTTTGAAAAAGTACATTTTAGAGACACTTGCAGGATAATGAACAGTTACAATCATTTGTATGCTCGTTATAGGAAAAGGAAATAATGAAAGAGATTCGCACCAATGGTCCTGTCCAGGCCACATTTCTTGTAAGAGAGGACTTCTATATGTATGAAAGTGGCATATATACTTATTCTAATCTACCAAGTCACATGCGCAGTGAGCATGGATGTGGCTACCACGCAGTCCGAATAGTTGGGTATGTTAGTTTTGTAGTTCTTGCCTATGTCAGTGTATTCCACATGTTCCAGTTGCATGAATAAATATTCACACATACCTGCCAATCCGAACAGAGTATTCGAATAATGAATAGTGTGTTAAATATCAATAACACATGCAAGGTCACTTGTTAAACAGTTGTCATGGTGATGAATGGAATTTTCACATTGGATTTGATGACTTGCCAACTTGACCCTTGCTAAAAATTTCATTGAAAATGTGTTCTTTTGCATTGGTGATTTCGTTCCCTTCAGATTAAGCCCAAGACTCCATGCATTGTAGCTGCTTCATTCCACTCAGGCGTTGTTTCCTAAACTTTGCATCCCCGCCGCGCGGTCATGCAAAGGTTTTGAAACAACACCTTCATGGTATGATTCAGCAAAAATGCACCAGTTCCAGGGCTTAAATCATTTAGCATACGAGGGTATGTCACCATATTCTTATAAAATGACATTTGAGTTGTATCATTTATTCATTGCTTATTTGTGTTAAAAAGCATTGCATTTGGTTCTAAACTAAGAAGTGCCAATAAGTATGTGTACTTACCACTTACATACTTACTTACTAATTTAAGCCCAAGCATTGTAGCTGCTTCATTCCACTCACACTTTTCCACAACTAGTTACTTTGACTAAGTACAAGGGTATTAGGCACAGTATATTGCGGTAAATGCTTTTCTGCCCTCTATGCCCTACCAAAAGTTACACAGATAAGATAATATATCCAATTCCTCGACTAGAATGTATTAAAGTGTAACTACGTCAAAATGGATGAACTTCCTGGTTACGAATTGTTTGTTTTCTCGATTTAAACCTACTTATAAGTCAAGCTGCAGATTATAATTTGGCATAAACCTAGAAAATATAGTCTAGTTTTAATCATATATTTAGCCCATCGCTTCTGTTACATTGACGAAAGTCCGTTCTATCACCGTTACCTTTGACGAGTTACGTCAATGTAACAAAAGTGATGGTCTCAATGCATGAGGTACAGCTTGAATTCCAAACCAAGGGCATTTCTAAAAGCTAGACAATATTGTCTAATTCTGTGCCAAATGATAATTTACAACATGACTTATACGTACGTTTAAATCGAGAAATCAAAAGACTCGTATCCAGGAAGCCCATCCAGTTTGTTACATTGACGTTCCGTCAAAGTAACTAGTTGTGGAACGGTGACTCGGGCGTTGTAGTCAAGTGAACTCAACTTTATGTTGTTGTTTCACGTTTCTTTTTGATGATTTGGATATTTGATATTTTATTTTTGTTTTCAATATTTGCATCGAGGGTATTAGGCACAGTATATTGCGGTAAATGCTTTTTTGCCCTCTATGCCCTACCAAAAGTTACACAGATAAGATAATGGATCCAATGCTTCAACTAGAATGTATTAAATCTTACCTTAAACACAGGAAACACTTGATAATTCAAGAAATGTAATCATTTTCGAATATGTTTGAAACAATTTCCAATATGGCTCTCAAGGTCACCGAATACAGTCTAAATGTGAAACCATGACACCAAAATGAAATCGTAATTATTTGTTACCAACATATCTGTTTTCGGTTTCTTCACCCTCCTTGGTGTCTGAGAAGGAGATTCAATCGCCAGAAGACGCCTTCCTCCCCCTTTACATCTCACTTTTCTCATATATAGACGATGAGTAACTTTTTCGAGTTGAAATCTTGATTTCAATATATGGCTGCCGTTGTTTATTGTAATTTCGTTTTTCGTTTCACCTAGACATTTACTTTTACACGATCACTACCCAGAATGCATCTACACATTGGGAAAAAATTGTTTTCAGAAACTTCTTAATTACTTCTTCAATTACGTTTGACGTGTGTAAGGTAGGATTTAATACATTATAGATAAAGAACATATACATCATTTGTGTGATTTTGGCTGCCCAAGCAGGCCGGGAAAGCGTTTTCCGCAATGTCGAATCAAGTAATTTTTACGACCCTAGTATGCAAGAAAATAATAAAAAATAGATATCCAAATTATAAAAAAGGACAATATGGCATACGATGGTCGGATTTATATGACTAGGGCGTTGTTTCCTAAACTTCGCATTCAATAAATGCCGTTATTGATAAATACGTCATGCGTCATTATGAAGGGGTTAACCCTTTCCCGACGTGAATATAAGAGGAAAATGTTGGCCCTGGTGACGGATAAGTAAGAGCAGTTTTTAGGGGAAAACTGAAAATTACCTATGCCCAGGGACCTATACCTTGAATTTTATGCACTGAAATACATTTCTTAGTAAGGACTATCGTATTAGAACAACTTGTCAAAATTTGGTGTAAAAATACTGAATAGAACTGGAGATATTATCGTTTCATCGATGTATATAAATAAAAATTATGGTGCCAAAAGGAGCCTATCGTCCTGAAAGGTATTACTGTAGATTAGTTATCCCCTTCGAAATAATAAGTTGTCTGATTGAATAGTTCCTTGGGGCCGTAATATTACAATTTTACGTACATAAGTTTACTTCAAATAATTCATCGTGCATGTATATCAGTATGTAGATTGTGAACACAAATACAGGCGATTACTGTTTTCACATTTTCAGGTGGGGCTCAAATGAGGAAGGCAAAAAATATTGGGTAAGAATAAAATTTTATTCAATAAAATCATGTTTTCTCTGGGAAATAAACTGGGAATAAAACTGATATTAAAAAATCCCGTATCAGCCAAAATCCCGTATCAGACCCCGTGTCGGAACCCGTGTCAGCCAAAATCCCATATCGGAATATCAAAACATTTCACGAGACTTAATATTGTTATTATGGCATTTTATGATCTACTAGTATATATTAGTATTATAAATTATTTCTCTTTAAAACTTGTTAAAAGTTGAAAATGTCATTCGATGAATTAAATTGTATTATTCAATATCACCATCATTGGGTGACGAGATACAATTTAAAAAAGTTTCAGAAAAATATTATGGAACAAATGGGTTATTGATAGTCGTAATGGAATATGAATTTTTCCCCGAGAAAATATGATACTGGCCCCGGAAAATATCATATTGACACTCGGGCTGTCGCCGATCGGTCAATATGATATTTTCTTTGGGCAATATCATATTTTCCCTCGAAATAAAATTAATATTTCATCCCTCCCATTAAATAACCTCTTTATCCCATGATACTACTACTTCCCGGTGAATAACACCCAGGAACAATTTTTATATTGCGAAAAATCGTATGGTCTTCCAAATTCGTATTTAACTCCTAATCCCGCACACGAAAATGGTATTCACCTCGCGGGAATTTCTTCCTGCTTCTTCAGTTTGATTTGTATGGCAAGCTTAACGATATTTTCCAAACAGAGAGAAAAGAGCGACTTTGAAACGTAAATACAATTACTATTTTCTCTATAATAGACACAGATGCTCCGTTTTGTTACGTTGACGTTCCGTCTATGTAACTAGTTGACGTGGAACAGTGAATGTGGCAGCAAGGACAGGGCCTTACGCAAATTATTTTATATGTTTTAAATTTTGATTTCTAGGTTGTTGCTAATTCCTGGGGCCCGGAGTGGGGAAAAAATGGATATTTCCATATCAAGAGAGGCGTCGACGAGTGTGGGATTGAGTCAGACGTGTATGGTATCAATAGTGCTGAGAAAAAAGTGGGTATAAGGAAGCCTGATCGGCTAAATATTGAACGAAGATCAGACTTAAAAAATTTATACAAAAGGCACCCCGAGCATACTGAGACTACCCCTTAAAATTCTACTCGATAACGTTAACTATTTATGTTGACCACTAGATTCCCATTTACAAAAATATTGACTGTATTTCTTTATTTATTAACATTCGTTTGAAAAGCTCAACATGTACGTCCACCAGTCTATATGCACCTCGTAATAGTCTGCCAGCTCTAGATACAAGGAGATGTTTGTCTGAGTGTCTGCCACAAAAAGCAACTACTATACAGTGTCATTTATATGCCCTACACTGGACTATGTTTCGTGTATATGACAACAGGGGCTTTCACTTAAAAACAAGGATTTGAGCAAGGATGTATTGACTTTACATGGGGGATCTGCACTATTGACTTATTAACATGGGGATAGTATCATTTATCCCATGCCTAGTAGAGTTTTAGGGAGATAAGTTGGTAAGGTAAATCCCATATCCTGATTTAGGAGTTTCCATATCCAGAACCTCCATATCTCCCGTCATATCTTCCGTTCGAGGGCATATCTTCCCGCTTTGAAAAAAAATTGAAGAAATATTTGGAAAAAAAACTTTGAAAAATAATTTGAAAAATGTAAAAAATTGGTATCGATATGGCGAACTGAATTCAACATTGTTTTTTCTTCAACCAATTATCGAAAACAATCTGTAAAAAGCAAGGTCCTTTATATAGTGTTCACAGATATTGACAACAATTTAGTGCGAAAATTTTTTAAATATATTTTTTATAACTGTTTTTGTTAAAATTTTTATACAAAGGAAAATTTGGTTTATTTAAAGTGTCTCACATTTTCGATCAAAACTTGCCATGCAAACATGTTAGTATACTTTACTGGCCCCCGTGCTGTAACAAGGAACCCAAAACACATTAAAACGTAAACATAAACCAATTAGTCACTTCACTATGAAAGTGGGGGTGTTAGCAATGTAATGGGTATTAGCAGAATACGCTGTGTGCATTGACTAACACAATATCAGTGGTCATTTACTGTGTCAACTTAGTAACCCTTGCATATCGTGCTCACTCAAGTATTGAATAATTTTTTTATGATCTAAATATTTGTGGTTTATAAAAAAAGTGATATATTTTAGTTAGAAATACATTAATTAATATATTCATTCAAACAGCACTAGAATGCGGGAAGAAAGAGCAATGGTGACAAAATGCAGACAGAATTTTCCGTAAGGGTTTACAAACATTTCTGGACACAATCATGTACTTCATGTGTACTGTTATTTTTAGTGCTGTATTTATTGATATAATTTCACATATTAAAATCATATTTTCCAGCAATGACTTCAAATTCGGAACCACACCCATATCACATTTTCTTCAATAACTCCAAACATGTGTAAACATTGACCATGTGCACATAAATTCAGATTTCACGAGCTCTTTCCTATTCGAGTACCTCATACACCCCTGCATGGATTTGAGTTGGATTCGCGTGAGCCGATACACATCGCAAACGCTGATTGGATAAAGATTGCGAGAATCTTTAACAACACGTACTCTAGAACCCCAATATAGATGAAAATTAAAGTAAACCCTTTATTTCATTAATAATCAAACAAACTCCATATAAGGAGAGGCGGTCTTCGGTCTCTCAGGTAGATATGCATATCTCCCTCTGGATAAACCCCATATCCAAAACCTCTCAGTACATAACCCTTATATACCTGAACCATCATAGATATTTATTTAGGTAGAGTTTTTGTCACTCTCTACCTTTCATACACGGCACATAACCTTTTTTCAAGCATTATACAGTGTTTTATTATTTTAATGTAGTGATGCCAAAACATTGTTCCATGCAATTTCTCTTACTATTGCAGACGTTTTTACCCTGTTGCGGCCATCTATTTTCCAAATTCTATATTCTCGTATTAATCAAAAGTATTTAGTTTTTATCAAAATCAATTGATCATACAAATAATGCGATTACGTATATAAATTGTCTGTAGAGGGCTACCTTGTGTAACCCCATTTTAGAGGCAAAAGCCCCTCATGGACTAAAAGGCCGTAGACTTCAAACTGCGTCAACCAATATCTTTAGGTAACACGATTAATTTTCCAAAAACTTGACTGTGTTATGCAGGTTTGGCTCATGATTTTGAACTAGATGATGGTATCGTTTTGATTTATTCTGCATAAGTAGACAACAATGTAGTTTTTACTGACAAAGCTTTATTTTTTGACATATGTTTCAGGGAAATGGGACTGATACACAAACTAGCTCACAATTAATGCATTTATATCTTATACTAATATAATATAGTACCCCAAAGGTAATTTTGTCGCAACTTCAAAATTAAATAGTGCCACTAATTTTTACTTATTTTCCATGAAAGGAGCATACCTTCTCTGTAGTGTTCCTAACCCTCAATTTTTTTGTTTTTTCTTTAAACCTTTAATTTTAGAAAATACATTTATTTAGAAAATGTGTACATTTTCAATTTACTGCAAAAATAGAACAAAATCATAACATTTTGTAACTTTTTATTCACATCGTCGTAACTTTATTCATTCATATTATCCGGGCATGGGTTTAAATAAAAATAATCTTTGAGAGCCCTAGTATTTAACAACTCTTTATTTAGCATGACTGTGAATGTTATTGAATATTAGAGTCAATGTCTTCTATTTATTGGTATTGCTGTTCAGGAAATTAAAAAAACTGTGTATTGTGACCCTGACAGGCTCTGCGCTGGGCAACATAACTCTTTGATATCCTATTTACAAAATCAGTTCTCCCTGTATGTTCATCAAAAAATGGCAAATGCTTCTGAAGTCTCTTATTTGCTGCAAGATATATATCATTTTAGAGCTTGAAGACACTCCTCAAATGACAAAAGACCAACAATTATGCGACAATACTCACCCCTTGGTGAGTTTAGTGGATGCTATCTGCATATGCACTCTGCTGGATGGCTTTATTGAACAATTCTCCAGGATGTTCAATAGGGGGTAGCATAACTTCACTGATACTGGCACTTTCCAGTTTTGTAAAGTATGCAGTTGTAGGGTTGAAAGACTCTGGAGCAAATCCTTCTATACCCTTGCTTCATACTTTTTAGAACTGTATTCGTGCATGTACTGTGTTACACATATTACCAGCAATTTGCTGCGATTTTGCTACATTTTTGCAAAAAATCGAAAATCAATACAAAAAACCACAACCTCTAGATGTGACATTAAAAAAATAGTCCAAAGAACATGTGTTCCAAAGAAGAGTAAAAATTAGTGACATTAGGTAATTTTGAAGTTCGCGACATTTTGACAATTTTGAAGTTTCCTATGGGGTACTAATATGTTACTTCACGACCACTGGTTTGATTCACTGGTCTTTAAGGCTGTGTGTATGATTAACTTTAACTGTCGATCAGTAAATGTATGTTACGATGAAACACTTTTACAACATTAGAATAGTAACAGAAACCCCGAGTCTATGATTTATGTCAAAAATACAACCTGAGTGCTATGGTAACCATTATTTTATTGTTTGGAGGCCATGAGATTAGAAACTTTCTAAATACAAGATATTTAAAGAGGTGTTGATTTGAGCAAGATTCCTTAAAATTTGACATAATGGGAAACCGAGTGTCTTTACCTAGTGAACACCTTGTATTAAACCATAAATCATGGAATCTTTATTCCCAATGTATTGAATTGAGAATTAAAAACAAAATCATTATATATTATGTCATATTATATTATATCATGTATCACATACCATATTATATCATGAATCATATATATCATAATATATTATATTGCATTAATTTATACATGTATATCATTTTAGAACTGTTTGATCTTTCTATAAAATGAAACTTGGGACGTAATGGATAAAAAATGTCTGGAGCACGGAATAATCTGTAAAATTGCTATCCTCTGGACATGTGTCTTAATAAAAATGATATTTGGAAATATAAATATGCTAAAAGACAATTTAACTCCAGCGTAGGATGTAAAATACATTTTATTTATTTATTTATTCATTTTGGTCTCACAACAGATTTATTTTACAAATACTAGTAGTACTAAAATATCATTAAAAACACTGCCCCAGCCAGTGCGGCTTATGCGAGACTACGTTTCATATATGTATAGGGTGTCTCAAAAAATGTACCCAAAATTATATCAAAACCATAGACAAACCAATCAATATTTTCAGACATTTTTTGCATGGTCTTGTAGATAAAAGATGAAATTTTTTTCCCTGTACACAGTTTTTAATTCAGTTTTGCTCTTTTGATACTTTAACCCGTTACCCTTTACACCACATATTCAATGTAACCTCATATTTCGATGACAGTCTGCATCCTTACTACTACATTGTTCATCACATTTGATATTTCTGGTGAAATGCTTTGATTTCTGTTCGGAAGCTGGTCTTAAGTTGTTCTAGGTCTCTTAGCTTGGGTTTAGCATAAAAATGGTCCTTCAAATAGCCTCAGAGAAAAAAGTATGGGCCGTCAAAAATGGTGAATAGGGAGGCCCTCACGATGTCTTATAGCCCCCTTATACAGAGCGGTCAGAGGCTCAAGAAACTGCATTGCTTGGGGTTCTAAAGTAGCTTTTGTTTGTGTATCGATTTGAGACCACTGTGTTTTCATTTGGATATGATTTGGTCTCCAGGATAGCCTGCCTAACTCGGGAAGGTAACTCCTGAATCATTTGACGATAATTGACCTGATTATCTGTGTTTGTCCTGCCATTGTCATCCTCAAACATCTTTCTCTGTGGCTATTTGAAGCAAAAAGACCTGGAACAACTTAAGGGCAACATCCAAAGAGAAATCCAAAACATTCCACCAGAATTATTATCAAATGTGATGTAGCAGTAAGGATACAGGCTGTCATCGAAATATGAGGTTACGTCAATTATGTGGTGTAAAAGGTAAAGGGTTAAAGCATCAAAAAGACAAGACTGAAATAAAAATGGTGTATTGGGGAGAAAACTTTCATGTTTTGGCTACATGACCATGCAAACAATGTCTGAAAATATTGATTGGTTTATCTGTGCTCTTCACATACTTTTGGGTACATTTTTTGAGACACCCTGTATATTAAAGGTATTGCACATATAATTATTTCTAATGACTGTCAATCAATAAATTGTCATTTAGGCTTAATTATTGCCCATATAGCATAAGATACAATGTTAGTTTCTAAAAAATAAATAAATACATTAATATTTCAAACTACATAATCTTTGTTTATCACATATTTGTTTGTCTGTGTTTGTACATAAGGAATACAGTTTTAGATACAATAAAAGCTATCTCTGGAGAAGTACTCAGGTATATTAACTGGTCATTTTTACTTTTGTTTAGGAAGTCAGGGTTGCTGCTTTGAGCTTGTGCTATCATAATGCTTCATGGGCCGGATATTCTACTGGGAAATGTTGTTCATTTTCAATTTTATGATCATCACACATTTCATATGTCCTGTCTTCAAGGGGTGCCTTGGGTTTGGTGAATCTCCCGATTCTATCTATTTTCAGTAGTAAAACTCCACATCT